TCTTTCTCTAATTTGCTGGATTTAAGTCCAATCCCAACTAGTAGCATCCAATGGAATCAATATCACTATAATTTATATGCATGTCACATTACATAATCTAGTGGGATTTAATTATTTGGTAGGAATTGTGGAGGGGACTGTAGAGATTGTAACATATTTCATATCCTTCGAGTTAGACTTCGACTCATAGAGAATATTCCGATTCAGGTATGATTAAAAAATTCTACATGGTATATTATAGTTGTTGACAATTTAATTTCCTAAAAATCTCTTCTCGAGATTGACCTAACTCGAATCATCAAACTTAAGATGATTTGAATATTCGATTAATATTGGTTGGTGTAAATAAAAGGATAATTTGAAAATAACCACCTAAAAATAGGTCCATTTTAAAAATAACCACCCATTTAAAATTTATTTGTATTTAATCACCCATTAAATTAATAAATCACACAGATGACCACCCAAATCTAATTTCCGGTGAAAATTCTGTCCGTGGGCCCCACTTTTTTCTTTTTTTTCTTCTATTCTCTGGCTTTCTCACTCTCTCTCCCCGATTCTTTCACTCTCCTTCTTCCTTTCTTCTTCCCAACCACCACCACCACCACCACAGTACAAGGGAGAAAAAAAGAAGGGAGTAGTAGTACTGTAGTGGTTGGGAAGAAGAAAGGAAGAAGGAGAGTGAAAAAATCGGGGAGAGAGAGTGAGAAAGCCAGAGAATAGAAGAAAAAAATTAAAAAAAATGGGGCCCACTGACGGAATTTTCATCGGAAATTAGATTTGGGTGGTTATCTGTGTGATTTATTAATTTAATGGGTGGTTAAATACAAATAAATTTTAAATGGGTGGTTATTTTTAAAATGGACCTATTTTTGGGTGGTTATTTTCAAATTATCCTAAGTAAAAAGACTAATTTACGATGTGAATATGAATTTCACCCATATTTGGTCAAATTCAATGCAAATCAATATGACTTGTAATTCGAGTGTAACTTGCACAATACCTTAATTTTACGAGCAATTATCGTGTCAAATGTTTATCTCATACAAACACATACCCAATTGCTTATCTATAAAAAATACATTAAAAAAATATACATGACCCAATTCAACCAAGCATATTTATTTTTCATTGAATAATTCTAGAGAAAAAGATTTTTATTTCTGTTTATAAAATTTATAGGAACAGGTATAGAATGATGCAGAATTTTTCTTTTGTTGGCTTCTTGGTGTCTGGGAATTGGATTTCTTGACAAACTTTAATGGCTCGTAATATTATCCATCTTTAGACAGGGTATGGGTATCTATCTCACAATCTTATACTTTCAATCTTTCCCATTACTTTTCCTTCTTCCTCCCAATTAATTCTCTAGTTTATTTTTAAAAATTATCTAATGTATTTAATATCATTTCAAAATTATTTTAACTATATTAAAGATTGTGAATTTATTTTTCATCAATTAGCCTTGTCCACACATTAAAGATACAAGAGAATTCCTTGTACTTGTATGCGAGACAATTGTATGGTAAGATTGGGGCCTCGAGATGATTATTAATGTCATTCGCATAATTTATTACTTTTAGAGTATAAGATATGTATTTTCTCTGTCTCATAATATTTCAAACGTTAAAGGTGTGTTTAATAATTTTATTTGAACTTATTAGACTTTATAATTGTAACTTATTTTAGTTTTAAGTTGAATTTAGGCCGTCAAAAAAAAAAAGTTGAATTTAGGCAACCCATTACCTCTGACCCGAACTTATATTCTAAATTGTCTTATTTGAACTTATTAAATCATATCAAAAATTCCTGTCAAAGAAAAAAAATTCATTTCAAAATATATTTTTTTCTAAAATTAGTGAAAATAATGTAAACAAAATTAAACAAGGAGACATAATAATTGCGCGGACTTTTAAGAGATAAAAATTGTGGTTAGGTTATTTTAATTTTAGAAAGTATATTAATGTTTATACATAGCCGTAACGGCTACATATATCAATACCTTTTTTTTATTAATACAATAGAATCATAAGTATAAGATGGGATTACATAACATTTAAGTTTGTGTTCTCTTTACTATAAGATGTTATTGTCTAAGTACATTAAAATCTTGTCTAATTTGATCGTGTTTGATTGAATCTTTACGATCTCGTTGTAAATATTCAACTATTCAGAATCAAAGGGTGTAACCGTGTAAGGTGTGTAACTGTAGTTTCCCATGTAACACCGTGATACCAGTGTCTCATGCAGTTAGGGGTGTACACCGGTCCAAAACCGGACCGGACCTGGACCGGACCTGTTTGGACCGGGGACCTGAATTGGGTAATTATGAGGACCGGGGACCGGACCTGAATTAACAGGTCCGGTTCCGGGCTAGACCTGAAAAATCAGGTCCGGTCCAGGTTTGGACCTGAATGGACCTGTTTTGTGATTTTTTCGTTTTTTTTTTTTTTTAATAAAAAACCTTAATTCATTATTTCGAATACAAAATACCCAAACATAATTAGATAATTTAGCAAAGTACTCATTAATTGAAATTCTACATGCAAAAGTTGTAAATAATCAATTAAATTCAGAATACCAAATCAATGAAAGAGCAACCACGAACGACACTCCAACTAAACGGCTTCACCGCTGCTGCTGTTTCACTTAGGTGGTTTTCTTCACAGATCCGTTGTTCTGCCAGCCCAGAAAAATCAAAGCAGAGCCTCTGAATTCCCGTAGAAAATGAAGGATTACAGAACACAGCTAAGTCACCTCGACTTCTCCGTCCGCTGCTTCGCTTCACCGCTGCTGCACTGCTTTACCGCCGCTGCTCTGCTACTTTGCAGCAGCTTCGCTAGCCCAGAGAACAACCCAACCAAGCCTCCTTCGGTGTTCTTCGCTATTCTGCTGCTCAAAAAGTTCTCCTTTTTTTGTTGCCCAGCAAGATCTCAAGATAAGCTCTAGAATCTCACCACCAAAAACCCCAAAAATAATTTATCGGCGTGATTGCGTGAATGTTAGGGGTTTTCAAGGGAGGAGTGAATGTTAGGGGTTTCGAGGGGGAGGGCAAGGGGCTTCGCCTGAGAGAGTGAGGAAGGCAGGAGGTGTCGGCGGAGATTGGAGATTGGAGTCTTGGAGAAATGGAGTCTTGGAGAAATGGTGTCGGCGTGATTGCGTGAATGTTAGGGGTTTTCAAGGGAGGAGTGAATGTTAGGGGTTTCGAGGGGGAGGGCAAGGGGCTTCGCCTGAGAGAGTGAGGAAGGCAGGAGGTGTCGGCGGAGATTGGAGATTGGAGTCTTGGAGAAATGGAGTCTTGGAGAAATGGAGAATGGAGATAGTCAGATAGTTGTGCCTGTTTGTTAGGGTTGCAACTTGCAGCGTAATTTTGATTTTTGAATTTTTTTTTTTTTTTTTTTTTTTTTAAAAAATACAATTTTTCCGGGTTTCAGGTCCGGACCTGAAAACCCCGGGTTTAGACCGGGTCCGGACCGGAACCGGGAACCTTGATTTTTAAGGACCGGGACCGGACCTGAATCAACAGGTCCGGGTCAGGTCCGGTCCGGATCAGGTCGGTTCAGGTCCGGTTTCAGGTCCGGTCCAGTTTTTGTACACCCCTACATGCAGTCATGCAAGCTAGGATTCACCACCAAACAAATTCACAATAATAATATTCCTAGCCAATTAATTGTGTTCAATTGTTCAAAGTATATTACCAATATTACGATTACTACAAAAAAATTTGCAATAAAAAAATAAAAGTTTTAATTATTTTTAATAAAAAAAGTTGTGCATTGATTCCTCTAGCCAAGTCAGAAATCACGACTGCCAACCTGGTCTTTTTTTGGTACATAATATTCTATGCAAGATGATTAGAAGAAATTAAACCCTCCAAAAAAATTAAAAAAATAAAATTAAAGTTTAAACTTTGCTGTCTTTTTAATTCTCAAAGTAAAAATAAAAATAAAACTAAATAAAAAGGGGAGTTGTTTCTTTGGATTCCAACTCATAATATCCAAATTAAAAAAAAACTGCATCAAATTTGGACTTTAGGGGTTAAAATTGTCCCCACTAAACAGCTGGTTAGCAGTAAAGAATATTGTTACGTGAATATTAATATTTCTAAGGTCATTTCATGTAATCTTATTAACATCACTCAATATTATCCTTAGCCAATTAATGAAGACTTTTGAATTTTGCTTTTAATATCTTGATTATGACACCAGTAATAGGATATATCATTATCATTGCAACTGTTATGGTTTTGTTGATGTGAAAAAAGGGTTCAAGGGAAATGAATTTTTGGAGTTCACCTAGACACTTCACACTAGCTAGGTTTATCTATCGTTTCAATTAATTTTTTGTCACGTTCATGTTATATTCACATGGATGGTCTTTATCTAAAAATATCGGGGTGTTTTTTTTAGATTTATATAAAGTATATGAACTCATGAGTTGCTCATCAATTTTGCCCGGAAAAAACTTTTTTTTATCGACTTAGTGAATTGTCATTGGACAAGAAGGTGAAGGCTAAAGATATTGAATTACTATGCAAGATGGTGTTTTGCTTTTGGTGTAGTGCACAACACTAAGAGAGAAAGGGTAGAACATATCAGTAATTTCCTCCTCAATACATCAAGCACATTGTTATTGAGTTCAAAACATTATCTAATTATTGAAGATGAATAGTCTATCCCAATGATCTTCACTACGATATTGTGAGATCAATCTCATCGGAGCATGAACATCTCTTAAACGTCTTAGGTCTCTATGATTGGAATTTTAATCACAAATTCATCTTCCTTTTTAGTTAGAAAATTTTCATACAGTCAAAAAATTTATCCCGGAGTTGGAAAAAGAAATCCCCCAGAGTGTTAAAAGCTTTAAGGAACACCTGATGGAAGAAAAAACAATGAAATTCACAAAATCACCAAGGTTATGGTGATCTACAAGCTAAGAGATATATCTATAAATCATCACCATTTCAAGCCTCTTTCAATTTCTAACAAGAACTAAGCTTTGTAAAGGAAATGGCAATATATATATCTTCATTAAGTTTGAGAATTAGAGCCACAAACAAAATGGATAAGCAATGTAGTAAGTTCATATTACAAGATAGTGTTGGGAATGAATGCTTTACGTGTCAAAAGCCGGTTGAAACCTTGTTGAACTCCAATCCCTATATGTCTCTACTGCTACAACTTATGCTACATCTATTACATTTGATAATACAGAATTTTCCCATCTCTAGGATAGCAATTAGTTTCTAGATTATACAAATTTTCGAGAGTTATCTTCTAATGATTCTCGAAAAGAAAAAAATGAATCGGCTTAGAGGCAATCTCCTGAATGGGGAGAGAAATATCGAGTCATGGTGGTGGATTGAATCTTGGTCTTGCTCGTAGAATCGTCTGTCCAAATGAACAATTTCGGTATATACATGTTTGGCCTTGTTGAAATGTAAGGCCAAAGTGGTTGAAGTTTATAAGGGTCATAGCTCAACTTTCATTTGACCATTTGGCAATGTACCTATAGATCAATTACCAATTTGCTGTATTAGAAAACAGTCAAAAAGAATTTGCATCCAACAAATTTTAACCATATGAACAATTTTACATGAATTTTTCGAAGATTAATCTCACCTGCAGGTACGTTTTGTGTTTGATTTTGGGCAATTCCCATTTGAACAAGACTTTGGAGATCATCTTCCCAAAGATTTGGTAGCTAAGACAACCAAGAAAAATCAAACAATCCAAATCAGAACTATGTTCAAGATAACAGCTCCCATATGCTAATCATCATTGAGTAAAAGTGATAGTTTTTCTTAAAGACATTAGCAATGTACCTGAGTGATGGAGTCAATGAATCCCTCGATCGAGGACATCGGAATGCTCGGATTTCTCCGGATTCCGGAAACATTCATTGGGTTAGCTGGGAAGGGATTCTCAACACCATTTGGCAAAGGTAGTGACATTTGCTGGTTAGATTGGTAACCATAGGGAAATGCTTGTGCTGCTGAATTCTGATCTATTTGGTACATTGTTTGAGGTACTGATGATCCTCTAGATTGAAACATCTAAAATAACCAAAATTTAACAAAAATTGATCAGAAAATTTGACAAAAGAACATATCCCACTCGAAAACTCGAATTCAAGCCAAAAGAACTTACATCCTTGGAGAGAAGAGCTTCCATGTTAAACTCCATTCTAGGATTCACAGTAGCTAATTTCATGGAAAGGAACTGCAGGGGAAAAAAAATTATTACAATCAATTTTAACTAATTTCACATTCAAGCAACAATTATTGAGCAACAACTAATTATTAACTTTATAATATAAATCAAAATAATATACCTCAACTTGGCGTTGCAATGATTGCACATAATTTATGATTTCATCAAGAACAGTTGCTTTTCCTGTAACCTATGAGCCAAAAATAGGAAATTTACATTCAATTTCATGATCATTTATATAAAAATCAACCCAAAATATGATAATAAAAGTTGTACAAATCTATAAAATTGAGCAATCCAAAAAAAAAAGTACCTTGTTACAACCAGGAACAAGATCTTGAAGAAACTTCATTCTTTCACTAATTTTTTCTCTTCTAACCTGTACATCCATATAAACAAACAAATAAGACCACCAATAAAAATCCACAACCTTAATATACGTGTTAAAAAAATGTTGCAATTAATATAAAACTGCACGAAAATATTACCCTTTCAGCAAGACTGTGGCTATCAGTAGCTTGGCCTCTCCTAGCTCTGACATGAATGTAGTCCTTCGGAGGCTCAGGCTTTGTTACTTCCTTATTTGACTCCCCTGCATTTTGCTCTGTATTTTCCTTTTTACCATCTTTTTCATCTAATTTACTTCTTTTGGCATTTGATTCCTCATTTTCTACCTCCTCAACCTAACCAAAACCAAAATTCAACACAATAAATGAGTATTCCTGTCATAAAACACTATCCCGATTTAGTTGTCACATTATTATTATTATTACTATGAGTACTGTACTAGTCTATTCAAATTACATTATCAACGCGACAATTAATTAATCCCGAATAGTAAAAAAAATATTTAAATTTACCTTGTCATCTTTGGGAGTTGTATCCTTGACTTTAGCCTTGGAAGCAGACTTCCTTTTCCTTGAAATTGGATCAATTTGAGGTTTAACCGCAATTTCAACACCTGGGTTTTGCTCAGAAACTGAAGAACCTTCTCTTGAATCACCCAATTCACCATTTTCACCCAATTTCTTATCAGAATTAACCCTAGATAATTTCCCAGATTCCAATTTCGCAACCAATCTATGATTAGTATTAGAGTTAACACCCACAAAATCATCAAACCCATTTCCAAAACAGGATAATTTAGCAGCTCTTTCAACAAATCCAGGGTCAGCATTAAAAGATCCCAAATTAGATTGAATTGGGTAATTATTATTATTACCCATGATCATCATTAAAGAAGAAAGATTGAATTTTGAAGGAGGAGAATTTAAGGGTGTACTATAACAAGAATTATTATTACTATTATTATTATAATTTCCAGTAGCAGCAATGCAGGATTGTTGTGGTGAGACCTCACCAGCAGAATCACATATACTTCCTAGCCGTCCGATCAATTCCCTGATCATCGTACCCTCGCCAGGACCATTTTTTGAAGCTACACCCGCCGTTGTAGGGGAAGATACAATGGAACTGAGGGCGGACTCGAAAGGGTCATTTTGGTCAATTGAGTTCTCCCAATTAGGGTGGAAATAGCAATTTGAGAGCTGTTCGCCTGAAATTTCCATCAAATTTGAGCAATTTAGTTCTTTTTCCATTGAATTTTGGGTTGAATTTGTGAGTTTTTAGTTTAAGGGATTTAGGAGAGAGAAAGAGTGAAGCACTTGTAGTTCACTCAATTGATAAAGAGATGGGGAAGAGATGGAAAGTGATGGAAGAGAGAGAAAGTAGAGAGAGAAAAGAGGTGGTGGAAATTGGAAAATGAGGAAAGTGAAATGGAAGCAAAGAGAGTTGGAACAAAGAAATACTCCAGATTTTCTCAACTTTTTTTTTTTTTTAATTTTTTCTTTTTTAATTAATTATTTTCTTGTTTAGACATTGATTAATGGTTTTACTTTTCATCTTTTATGTATGCAATGGAAGTAGAAAAGTTTAGACATTGATTTATTTTATTGTAATATTGTTTTATTCATAGGTGTCAATACTCAATAGTGGTAGTGGTGGTGTGGTGGTGGTGGTGGTTGTGAGTTGAGTCAGGTGTTTTCTATTCAAGAGTTTGTTCGTTTTGGGTGAAGGGGTTAAACTAGAGATGATCTAAAAGGTCGGATTTAATTTTTAACTTTATTCAAACTCGGTGTTTTGGGCAAAAAAAAACGGGTTTTTGGATCAAAATCGGAGGCGGACTTAATCTTTAACTAGAAATGTAATTTTGGGTTGCCCAAAACCCAATATTTTTAATAAAAAAGTTGAGCTAGGCTTGAAATTCGATCCCAAAACATTTGCTCAAATCCAACATTTTTTTGAACTGGGCCAACTTTGATCAAGTCTATAGTCATTAGGTCGAAAAATTATGTCAAAGTCGCTAATATTGGATCAAGTCGATTCAACTTCTAAAGAGAATGTTAAATAAAGTGTTCATTAGGTGGAAGAAATATGTCTATAGTTTGGTCGTGTTGAGATGATTTGTTTTTATTGGTGGTACTTTTCGGAATTACTATTCTCCTCCCTTTATCTTAGCTGTTTTTTTTTTTTCAAGTTTAGCTTTCTTCTCGTGTTGTGCTCATAACAACGCGTAACTTTAGTTATGTTGCAGATGGGAAACAAACCTAATCATCTACATCATGAGTTACACTTGTACAAAAGAGTACTTGATACAAAAATTCTATATGTCATCACTATAATTTTGTTAATATTGTTTTATTATTAAATGCAACATATGACATAACTTATAAATTGAGCTTTAAATCATACTTCATAATATCTATCCAACAACATTGAAATAGAGCATAAATTTTATTTATTTATTTATTTTTATTTTTTTACCTTGTATTTATACATTATTAAACATTTCTTTTTAAACTTTATTCACTTATCAACCAACAATTACTATTAAAATTATTCAAAATTAACTAAAAATAGTGTTAAGTAAGTATATTAAGCCACTACAGTGACTCTCCTCATGACTTCTAAAACATGACATTAGTTACATCAGCTTAATTAAAAAGCCACAACCTATATTCAACACTTATATCATAATCCAAATGCACAAAAGATGATGTATCAAATATATACATGAATGACAGGCATCCGTAATACGCAACATATATTCCCTCTGTCCCTAATTTTTTGTTTTATTTGACTGTGCGCGATTTTCAAGACGCATTTTAAAACGTCTATATCTTTATTTTCATATACGTAAAAATTATAAAAACATGATATTAATAAATATATACAATGAGACGAATCTAACAAGATCACTCATGACTATATTATCTTTTATAGATTAACGGTAAATTATGGTCAAAGTTTTCAAAGTTTGACCCAAAAAATGATAATGGGGCAAAAATAAAGGGATAGAGGGAGTATGATGTAAACACTGTGTTAAAAACACAGTAAGTATATTTAAAAATAGTAAGAACTACATTTAACATACATCTATGCATCAAAGTTTAGGACCCGCATACTTCAAGAAAACCAAACTCCCAAATACCATATGAAAACAAAGAAAAGAATGGTGTTAGTTTTGATGTTGGTTTTTTTTCCCTCCTTTCTAAATTTGTGTTGGGAGGTTAAATAAAAAGAAAAATAAAATTAAAAAATAGATAACGTTAAAGGCCAAAACGCCGTAATAGACGGTGGGGTAAATACCGGGCCTTTAACGTCAAACCAACTCTTCTTTTTTGTGTTTTGCAGCCTTTCTAGTTGATTTGAGATTCCAACACACTTAACATAGTTAACAGTAAAATTTTACAAAGTCAATGTCATTATACCATATAATTATCTTTTTAGGCTTCCTTTAAATTTAAGTAATTGGGTAATTGCCTTCAAAAAAAAAAGAAAAAAAAGAAAAAAAAAAAGTAATTGGGTAATTTTTTGCTTTCAATCAAGGGTAAAATCATGAAAAGAAAATTGTACAAATGAGTAATTAAGCACCCAAAATCAATATCTATCTATCATCATTCATTATAGATTGCTTAGAAATGTTCATTGAGGATTTATTTTTGGGAGTTTTTATTAAGAAAGGCTAGTTAAGGTATTATTCGCATTCATGACTCTACTATAAATGTAATTGGAATTCGCAACAAGATACCTAGCTCGACTAAAATAATGTGGTAATTCCATGACATTTATGTACAATCGTCATTGTGTAAGCCATAGCTTACTATTCCACTTTCACAAAATTTTTGATGTAATCGTATAGTTGGTTGTTCATTGAAATCATTTTGACCAATATATTATTTTAATCAACAAAGGTTGGTTTTATTTTAAATTGTAATATCCAATTCAGTCAAACCAAGCCAACAATTTTTGAGATTAAATTGAGCTCAAACCAAGGTCGACACAAGCACAAAGTGCCTTGACTACACCCCCTAGCTTAGCTAGACTCGTCTATGTAATTGAAGGTCAACCAAGCCACAACACTTTCTCTAATTGTACCTAACTTAATTACTATATACAGTACTACGGAGTACCTTATAAAAGGCTTAAATTTGTCGAGCTTGTGTATACAGAGACTTAAAGAGTTAGAACTACAACAATTTAGATGAGATATCATTTAACCTTAGCTAGATTTCGAGTAACTTACCAAGACTTAGCTTGCTTATACAGTTATACGATAAATAATTGACAATCGATAAGGGTGAACTAACATAAATATCTTTACTTTTTGAAAAAAGGACTAAAATCTAAGGGACTAATAAACATATTAGTACAAAATAACAATAAAGAAGTCTACAAATAATGACTCTAAAACAAGAGGAGAAACTTCTTGGCTTAAACTAGTACTTGGAAAATTGAGTCTACATAAATAATAATAATAATAATAATAATAATAATAATAATAATAATAATAATAATAATAAAATTAAATTAATCAATAATTAAATAAAAACAAATAAATTAATAATTAAATAAATAAGTAAAACAAAAAAAATAGTAGATGATGAGATGAGGAAGATGAAAAGAGGAATGTCTGAGAGAAAGAGGTACGAAGCTAAAGTTGTGTGGTAGGGGTGAAGTTGGCCTTAACTGGCGCAGGACGATATTGGTTGTGTTTGTCATGGAGTAGGAAACTTCATTTTTATTTGTAAAATTTATTAATTATACTATAATTAATTAATTAAGTACCATTTAATTATGGATTTATTATTTAATTTGTAGTTTAAGTTAATGTATATATTTGACTATTTGGTTCGTTTAGTTTAATTATTAATATATGGTATGGAATTAAGGGACATAACAGCAGGAAATAAGGTTGTAGATAGCGTGGCTTCAATTTTAATCTTTTTAATTAATTTCAATCTTAATTCCCTTTTCTTTTATGATCAGTCATCTAGCTTATAGTTTATTTTGACCATTTTTTTAAAGTGGATTTTATATTGCATGATTCTTTAATTTTTTTTTTTTTTTGGTGTGTGTGTATGAAGAAGAGCCACGAAGATGTTATGTATACAACGCGAGATTCGTTTATTTATATGTGTATCTATAGTTTGACTTACTTGATAAAACTCTTATCTTAAATTTAAGTTTTTACTAATTGAGGGTGCTTGGAGGTGTATGCCCTTACCGGTGCCTTCTATTTCTAAGTGTTTGATCCGCGAATATTGAACTAATTCAATAAAAGATATATAAAACTTTACTGTATGTGTGGATTGAGGACCGTTCAGCCGTTCAGGGTCAACTTTCTTACTTCTTTTTTTAGCTTGTGTCGACATACATTCATATATCATTTTTTTGTTGCTTTAAAATCTACATATTGTATAATAGTAGTAATAATGAACTAATTAAAAAATATAAATTTATCATCAATATGATTTGGACAAGTTGGGATATGTGTGAATCATAGGGTGTGAACAATCATGGAATAAGTTATTGCCACTAAATGTACTTTTACGATGACTTATTTGCTAATATAAGGTTAATAAACATTAAAAATTGTGGTTTGTTTATAAAAGTTTGTATAACGATCATACGTTGTATAACATAATGCCATATTAATGTACGTATGTACTTATTGTTTTGCTATTTTTATAGTTTATATATGTACTAAATTAATCGTTTTGTTAAACAATTAGTAATAGTAGTTGCACCTTTGAGTAGGTGTGAATTATTCTTTTGTAAGGTTTTCAAGTGATTTATTAGGCAAAAGTTTAGTGCTTTGTGATTATTCAAAACCTCATCTATAGTTCATAAATCATTTAGCTGATTATTATTGTTGTCAATTATTACTAGATGGCTTTCAAAGACAATTATCTACATATATAAATTTCACAAAGCACAATAATTTCATAAGTATGATATACATGTAATAAATTCCTATAATTTTGATGTGTGTAATTAGAAAGACACATTGCTTTTCATCTAATAAAATAACACAATTGTTCAATAAATAAATAAATAAATAACACAACTGATACTCTCCACCCTCCAACCGAAACCCTATATATGTACACTAAATCTACTCAATCAAAAGTTTAAAGGAGCATAGTAATTTAGTCATGGTGATCAATGATTTCAACTCTTACCTATCAATTCTGACTTGAATTTCCATAGTTTGATATTACACCATAATACACTACACACATTGGTGTGAAGAAAGCCACATAGTAAATTATACAAGTATAACCATAATCGAGAATTGATCTCATGTGTTAGATAATAGGTATAACACCTTAAACTTTAACTATCTAAGTTAATAAGCATTATATAATCATATCGAGGAAAACATCTTAATTACATACCAATTAATTTATTAACCTAACCTACTCCATATTTTATACTCCGAATTAGCTAGGTAACAAATAAAATGCTACTCCATATGTACCTTTTTATATTATATTTTATTTGTTACAATAAATAAAAATGGTACTTAATAAATTAATGAAATGTAATTAAGAAAAGTGAGAAAGGAAAAAGAAGAAATGCAAAAGGCTGGCAAAGCGTGTGGTGCTTTTGTCCTTAGATTAATTATCGTACAATTCCAAATCTGGGTTTTGGTGGTGACTAACTCTAACTATGATTGCCAGCCTTTTTCATCTGTTTTTTCTTCTTTTTCTCTGCACCTAAAAATTTAATCTGTGTTTTCTTCTTCTTCGTCCATTCATTTTGAATTATTTTTTTTTTCTTATTTATTATTTTCATTTCTAAGTCAATTTTTAGGTACGATATCAAATCCAACTATGTACTATGTATTATGAATTTATGATTTATAAAATCCAACGTTATACTCTATGTAAGTTAGTATTCATTGCATTAATTTGATCGAGATATGATCCATATAAACGATAGTAAATGTCATCAAATATTAGCATGATTATTTCATCATTTTCAAGTTTTGTATTGTAGATTTTTTACATTGAACTTGTGTAGTTGTAAAATGTTTGTGTTTTAAGCCTAAGCAGAAACCATATATCTTGTACAAGTATATGTCAACTAGCATAATTAGGGGCCGGGTGACAAGCATGAATGCGCATATTGAATTAGTGCTATGTATTTTCTTACTAAATCAAACTTAATTAACTTTAGAAGAGCCTAATCTTTGGATTTAATGCGACAGGTCAATATGGAAGAAGAAATAAAAAGTTAAAATTTTCCATATCAATTTATTTAAATTTTCTTCTATAAGATTCAAATTATCTCCATTTAAGACTTATTTATGAAAGTACAAGTAAATACACTATTATGATGTAACCTCAAATTTGAATATGTTCTTTATTTAGCAATTAGATTGATTTATTATTGATAAAAAAAATCATTCAACAACTATAACATATAATCTAGCTGATAAATACATACTAATTTAAGCATATAAAAATTTCCTTAGCTTTCAACAAAATCTACGGTCGTTGCATATTGAACACTACTCATTTATACTTGTATATACCCTCTTTCATATTATTGTGTTTTCCTTTCATTTCCAACAAGGGAGTTATATATTGATATGTTGTAAAATGAAATTCCAAAAAACCAGCTTTAATCAATAAAAGTAATGTAACCTCCAAGCCTAAGCTATCTACTTGATATTCCCTATGAAATAACCTAGCTATGATGCTCAAATACATATGTAATACTATAAAAAGATTGTGTTTACATTTGACCAAAAAAAATCCAAACCCCTACATAGAATAATAATTTACATACTAGTTGCTCCTATTAGTCTATTACACACACAATTGGACAATTGGTTAGAGTTAGAAACCAACAAGTTAATGAGAAGCAGTTAAAATGCAATGCATTTTCAATTTTCATGCAAAATCAAATAACGAAGAAGATCAGAATATAATATTATTGTCAAGATCCAACCACCCCTCATAACACCTCTCCTTTGCTTGACTTACTACTCATCACCGCCCAACTTCTCTCCTATCTTCAACGTTTTTTTAATCCATCAACTTGAATATGCTTCACCTTGTCGGCATATACATTACAATACATACGCTAATCTATCATATAAGAAAACACATCGTATTACAACTATATATAGGATTGTAGAATAAATCGAGAGTTGGTGTAGTTGGTTGAAGGTTCATTCAATTTGTAATATGATTTTAAGAGGCCGAGTCTTTTTAACTTACCAAGTGATTAGGGAAGATAATGAAATATGTTTATGGCTTTATTAATCAATAGACTACCCCATTTAGGACAATTCCTTTATTTATCCGTATATATAGCTCTATTATATTGGTCCAACCTCCAACATTAAATCTCATTCATAATTTCAATATCAATACAATTGTTGAGAAAAGAAGGATAAAACAAAAAAATTTGTTGTAAAAACTTAACTTTTCGGTTGAATATAATGCTTTATAAATTTAAAGAGATCGAAACATTAAAAATACGATTATAATTACTCTATTTCTACATTCAAGCGACTTTATACCCTCTTCAACCAAAACAAATAAATTATGAAATCAATCAAAAGTCTTTACTTGAGCCTATGATCTAACGTGATCATCAATCATTTAGAGCACACAGATTAAAGCAAATTGACTAAAATAAATTTAATTACTAATTAAAGTTTTAATACGGCTACGTGGCGATACATGCTTGGCTAGAGGGCACAGAACCCGAGGTTAAAGAATCATTATTGTTATAATGCACTAATTTAACCGACCTTTGCAGTTTAATCATTTGATATTTGTTTAATTTTGTTACTACTAATATGCTCCTATAATCAAACAAAAGGAAGTATCCTCTAATCAAAGGTTAAGTGGAATATATCATAAGATGTTAGGGAAAATAATGATTAGACTATGCTTAAATTTTTTTAATTACATGATTAATTTTATCTTATTTGTCATTGCATTAAATTTAATTAGTATGTCAGAAATGTTTGTCAGAAATTAATTTATTTAATTTTATGATAGTTGTGTATTGGTGCATTATTCTTCATTTTCAACCATCATATGATTTGCTTCTGTGTCAAGTTGAGAAATTTTATGGTTTGATTTTGATTTTATTATATAGTATATTTTTTTTAACTGTCGGCGAAGTCAATATTAAGGAAAGGGTCAAAAACTTTAGGGACAAGTTTTTTCTTTTTTCTCTTTTTTTTTTTTTTTCTTTTTCCTAAATTTTTGATAGAAATAACTTCGGGAACAAGTTAGTTGAGGGGTCATGCAATTCACAAGCATTAAATTTAGTACATTATGGTAAATCTTAAAATTCAATCATTTTGCCTAACAATTTTAATATATCTTGCACTCAATAATCCTTGGGCCCAATGATTTAAGAAGACAATTGTCCTTTTTGAAAATTTTCAAAATTATTAGGGTGAACGTTAAACATATATTGTTAGAACTTTTTTTTTCCATCATAAGTAGTTATGAAAATAGCAAATTGATTTAGCCGTGTTAGTGTTTTATAAGTGTAAGTGTGAACTTCACACGCGTTGTATGCTAAGCAGAAGAATTGTCAATAAATAATTATAGTTGGTGAATGAAACTTCCTATTGTCAATTGGAATTATAACAAAATCTTATTATTTTCTCCTTTATTACAAACATATTACATAAATTAGACTTTTGTTATTGATTTAGGTGTTTTATAAGGAATGCAAGTAATACAACTTATCAAACACTTGAATTGGATGATTTTTATAAACACAACCTTAATTCTTACATGACTACATTAATCACCAACTTTCTTTTATTTGATGACATCAACTAGCTAAGATATTATAACAAACCCAAAGTCCAAACCCCATAGGATGACCTTCTTCAATAGCTTTATTTATTCATTTATCATATATTTATTTGTGGGGATGGAAGACGGTTTTATGCATTGTCAAATTTAAATGGTTGTTTGGTAGTCATTCCATTACACAAGACATACAATTTCCAAGAATTAGAAACATTGGAAATAGGTTGTTGGTAAACACATAAAAAAAATTCACAATAAAAGTCTTATTTCCATAAAATAGGAAAAGATGGACTTAATAATAAAAGTTATACAACAAATTAAAGTGTAAATTCATATGCACTACCAAACTACCATTCCAATTCAACCCTCCCTTATACTTCTTCTGTTTACACGAAAATTGCAACACTGACTTATGCACTATTAACAAATTCTGTTTTGACCAACTTTGACTATGGTTTACAGTGTGTTTTGGGTAATGAAAGGGGAAGGAAAAGAAGGGGAGGGAGGGGAAGAGGAGAGAAGGGAAAGGGAGAGAATAATAATGAGTTTTCTTTCCAAATCTCTCCATTGTTAGAGAGATTAATTTCTTACAATTTAATCCCTTTATTTCTCTCCCCCTCCAATTCCCTTCATCCCTCATTTGTTATCCAAATGAAAGATACTATATCCTTCTATTTTCTTCAATCCAAACACACTCTTACGATTAAAGAAATTATAAACCTGTACGTGGCCTTGTTAGATTCGACTCCATATATCCATTTATACATTCAATAAGATCAAACGAGTAATATTTTTTTGAGGAAACGATAATGGATCAATATTGTGATTAAATCTATAAATACATTGGGCGTAAGATGTAAAATATTGCAATTTTATAGATGATATACTTTCGTATGTCAAAAGACTTAGGCCCTATTCACTTCACTTTATTTTTTTCTGAACTGAAATTATTTTTATATAACTGAATATTTTTTAACTGATTCTCTATTATATTTCTTCTCTAAAGTTACCAATTTTTTATAAATTAAAATTATTTTATCAAAACTCATTTTTGCTAAACTGAAATTAGTTTTACTGAATTGAAATTATTTTCATTGAATAAAAATTATTTTTTATTATATATATATATATTGAAGTGAACAAAGCCTTAATATGGATAGCTCAAGTGGTTGGAACTTCCCTCCTAATTTCAGAAGATCGATTCTCACCCCGCCCTTGTGGCTCTCTAAACACAAAAAAAAAAAAAATAATAATAATAACAGTTGATGGACCAAAATTTACCAAAACAAAATGGTAGTAGTATTACGACCCAATACTATTTTTATAGAATTTGGCCCAACCAATCAACCATGCTTCTTCATCTTCAATCCTTCCCCTAAATTCCCCCGCCAAATTAATCAATCAACCCTAAACCCTCAATTTCCATACCAATTTCATATGATTCTCTCTCTAAATTCCAGTAAAACTGAAGAAATTAGCTATTCCACTTCACTTCATCTTCAATTTGAAACTTCTTTAACTCATTTCTCTCTCCTAATTTTGCCATGGCTCCGAAAGTTCTCATGGTCAGCATTTCAAATTTTTTGATTTTTAATTGATTTTTTTGGGGCAAATTTGATGATTATGTATTGATGATGATTGGTTTGCAGGTTGCGGAGAAGCCGAGCATCGCGCTCTCGATTGCAACGGTTCTTTCCGGTGGTAAAGTGAGTTTTTTCTGTCATTTTGAGCTACATTTTCACCTAATTTATTGATTATTTGTTGCATTTTCATTATATATTAATTTTCTTGTATTATTTTTATTGGGAAGAATGGCTTAGTTGAATGTGATCACACACTTTAAGTTGGAGGTATAATTTGAAAAATGGAATATTTTATGGAGAAGGGTTTTAAGGTATGAGAGAGAGGGGAATATGGTAGTTCACACTTCACAAATTAGCCAGGTTTAGTGTGAGTTTTGATGATTTTAAAGCATGGATTGAAGAAAACCCGGTTGTGGCAACGTACAGTGTTAACTTTGATTCTCTTAATTTGAAGGAAGTTTGATCAATTTTGTAGTAGAAAAAGGTTAAGGGGAGGGGTTCTATACTTCCATGCCTTTTGTCTTTTAACGATAGGATCACATTGTTATGACATTATTTTATTCCTTTTTTGATGATGAAATAACGTTTGAGAATGTGATCATTCTACTCTTCACAAACTTATGAACTTTCTTGTGGATCTAAGGTTTTAACTACTTTAGGTAGTGAACGTATAGTTGGTTTGTAATGTTTGAGATACATTCTAGGTTTTTTTTTGCCTTTTCAAACATGGTTTTGAGTAGCTGGCTGCCTAATCATCTAGTTTTTCTTCTATCTACGTCATCTTGGCCCCTTGTGTATAGAATAGATTAGGTGTGTAATAAAGAGTTTATCTAGGGATTTGTAATATCCTTGGCTATTCCTTTCTTATGCAGTGTCCCTCTTTATTATATATCACTGTTTGAGGTTTCTACAAAGACTTGAGGGTTTTAAGTAGTAATTAGGACTTAAGAATCACAATATTGTGGTGTCTGTAGAGGGTGTGGTTGATGCATTACATATTTTATATCCAATATCCAATTGTATCTGCATGTCGGCATATCATACTCCCAAAACCACCTTTTAATAATGTTATATCAGTTGATATGTAATATTCCTTCACAATTCAAAAAGTTTTCGTCTGTTTACTTCGTTGAGTTGGAAAAACTGTACATATCAGCTGATATGTTGCGTATTACTATTGACCAATATTAAGAATAGAAGGTTTGATAGTGGGCTTACGAAGCTGTTTAAGGATATTTTTTAATCTACTTTTGATGATTATGAGAAGTGTTTTTGCTTAATCTGGGAGTATTGTCAAAAATACATAAATTCTGGAAGTAGAACTAGCTATTCTGATACATGGGTCAGTGCCCCTCATTTCAGCAGAATATACCTCAGAAACAAAAACAAGTCTTTTAAAATCCAGGATCTAAGACTTGTATCTTCACATAAAACTTGTTTTGCTTCACAATAATATCATATACAAAGTATATTTGACAAAGTGACATTACTTCACATAAGATTACACTTTTTTTGGAAATTATATATTCCTCAAGTTGATCTCATGACATAGCAACAGACTCATTTTCATGTTTGTCTTGTGTTTATACAAAAATGCTGAAACTGCCATGTTTCTCTATTGTCTTTGTTTCAAGTGTTTGTGTCCTGCTACTGGGTACACATTCTTAACTCTGCAAATCCTTTTTGTACCTTTTCAGATGTCAACCAGGAGGGGAAGTACTGAGGTGCATGAATTTGATGGGAAGTTTTTGGGTCTTCACAGTTATTATAAAGTTACTTCAGTGATCGGGCATGTTTTTAGGTTAGGCTCTCTATTCCTATCTTCTGAGTTATGGCTTTTGTTCCCTTTGCTATTGATGTATGTATCTTTCCATCATTTTGCTTCCTTAAATCTGTTTTACAGTTACGGAAATTACTTCATGGTATTGTGCAAACTTTTATAATTTATGATGAACTGATGATGAGCACTTTAATTGAAATTTCCAGTTTATTGATATTCTCATGATCATAAGTGTAATTTTGGGTGCACTTAATTGTTTGACTGGCCTGTAATGCTATGATTTGACTCACATAGTCTCAGTAGCTTGAGCTATATAAAATTCATATATTAGGACTGATGATCATCTTTGTGTTTTTAGTGTAGATTTTCCTCCAGCATATCAAGACTGGAACACAACAGATCCTCTGGATCTTTTCCAAGCTCCCACTCTTAAATCTGAATCTAATCCAAAGGTGCGGATTGCTAAGTGTTATATCTGTTATTTTCATCACATTCAGTTTATGGTTTATTAGTGATTTTGAATGGAGATAAACTTTTTATTTTTTTATTTTTTATAATCAAGTTGTTTATGATAACTTCTGATGTATAACCTTTATGTGTATGTCATTGAAGTATTGATGGATTGCATATTGACAATGCCAACTAAGTTAGAGAAGGAATTCAAAACATTTTTAATAAAGAGATTATATTGAAAAGGTATATTGTGATTGGTAATGTGGTTCAACAAAGATACCTTTTGTATAAAATCTAGCCTGTAAATATCAATTTACCCTCTCAAAAAAAAGTCTTCTTTTTGGTGAATTGGAGCTGATTTTACATTCCTATGGTTATATAAGCTTTACATTCCATAATATTGGATCACTAATCAAAATGGCAATAGCACTAACTATGCTCTATACTTCCTCCGTTTCTTAATACTTGCTACACTTAGAATTTTTACCTATTCAAATACTCTACTTTGACTATGTATGATGATTTATGTTCAAGTAAAAACACACTCATGTGGGATCATGTTATGTTTGCCTCAATGTATATTTTCAATACATCAAATATATATAATTTTACTTATATAGAATCAAGGATTTTAATGAAATGCATTGGCAAGCGTGAAAATAGAAGTGTTGCAACTATAAGAAATAGAGGAAGTATCAAACTTGTTATGATTTTAAATTTCAATGAAACTATTAAAGTAATATTTTCTGAAAAAAATATTTTTTGGCTTTAGCCTACCCTTTTGTATAAACTTCCGGACCATTTTGTGATCATTTTGAGCTTAGTGTTTGAGCTTTAAGGTTAAAGCCAAAACTTTTCTTTGTGGTTGAGTCTGTTGAAAAAGTTTGCATACAATGAGAAACTTTTTAATGATTGTTAAATACTTGAAGGTAATTTTCTCTCTTTAAGTATCAATAGTTGAAGTCTGTTTTGCATTTTTTTGTTCTGGAAGGTGTGCTTGGTTAAATTTTGGAATGTAGATGGCATTAGGTGAATCTTGGTTGTCGCTTTGATTATCTTTTTTTTTTTTTTTTTTTTTGCCTTTTGCCTCTTTTATGCTCAGGCCCATATCCGGAGGCATCTGAGTCAAGAAGCTCGAGGTTGTAGCCATCTTGTATTGTGGCTTGATTGTGACCGAGAAGGGGAAAATATTTGCTTTGAAGGTACACATCCTCAATCATCATTTAGGTTCACAAGTAATCGGTAAAATCCTCAATCTATGCATGCAGAAAACCCAGTCTGCCACAGGTTCTGACCTTGCCTGCCAAAAGGCAAGTGTGCCGCATTATTGATTGTTTTAACATTCGAACTATCACACTTTGCATTAGATTTTAATTGTTTAATGAAATTCTTTTCTTTATTAATATAAAAATGGAGCTCTTTACTTATAGCTCTGTGTCTATTTGCTGCCTGAATTTTAGAACTTGTTTCAGTCAGACAATAATGTAAGGTTGCTCTGCACTTCAGTTATTGAGTGCACTGGTTTTCATTTCAAAGATGGGGAAGCAAGAGTTTATCGCGCTCGATTTTCCTCTGTTACCGAGAAAGACATTGCAAAGGCAATGGACAATCTTGTTGAACCAAACAGAAATGAGGCTTTGGCTGTGGATGCTCGTCAAGAGATAGACTTGAAAGTTGGAGTTGCTTTTACCCGCTTTCAGACTGGCTACTTTCAGGGCAAATATGGAAATTTGGACTCTCGAGTAATCTCGTAGGTTTCTACTCTTTGTTGTATTCTATGTGTTAGTATTATTTATCCCCAGTTTTCATGGGTAACCTTTAGTTATGTCTGTTCAGCTTCCCCTTTGTCCTCTTTGGATGCCATTTATATGGAAATTTGGACTTTTTGAGTTATCTCGTAGGTTTCTACTCTTTGTTATATTCCATGTGTTAGTATTATTTATCTCCAGTTTTCATGGGTAACCTTTAGTTATGTCTGTTCAGCTTCAGCTTCCCTGTTTGTCCTCTTTGGAATTTGGATGCCATTTATCTTTAATCGTTTGATTATGTGCATGATTGATCGTTTCATCTTAATGTTTCTATCGTGTATATAATTATTTTTCCTTGTGGTAAAAATTTGTTTTGGGGGGGGGGGGGGTGGTAAGTATGCATCTTGTTGCCAATAACATCTGTGCCTTTTGGTAAAAATGTAAGAATTACCCTTTTTTACTAGGGTAATTTTACTTTATACATGTACTTCCTATAAAAAAAAGTAGAATTCTAATTAATCAATTATTTCAGGGGGCAAATCTAGAATATGAGTTATTCAACTTTGAAAAAGAAAATGGGGCTTATTTTGTGGCATCCCAAAACAGAAGTGTGGAGCTTAATATTGAAATAAAGGGCGAAAATAAGCTTTTATGCCTCATTGTTTCTTAGGGCTAGGACACAAAAACAAATTGTTCTTGGTATGTTTTGAACTTGGCATCCCACTTATTTTTTTGTTTGGAGGATTTTTTTCTAATATGTTTTTGTCACATTTAGGCTAGAAATATGTATTACTCCCCCCCACCCCCCTTCTCTCCTTAATGGTGATGTGATTATGTTGATATTAAGAAGCTGTGATAGTTATGAGTGGCTCATGAGTTAATTGGTTGAAATGCAAAGGATTTTAGATTTACGTTTTTACATAGTTGATATTGCAGTAGAATGTGCTGAATAGGGCTAGAATTGAATTAATATCATTTCTGACTTTGCTTTGGAGCTTGATTACTATGGCCTTCATCCTTGCAGTTATGGGCCATGTCAAACTCCAACTCTTGGGTTTTGTGTACAACGCTATTTGAATATCAACACTTTTAAGCCACAGAAATACTGGGCTGTGCAGCCTTTCATTGCTCACAAGGGCTATGAACTAAAACTGGATTGGGACCGTGAAAAGTTGTTCGACCTAGACGTGAGCATCATCCTGCTATAATCTATACTGAACTGGCTAGTTGTGAATTTAAATTTCTCAGTATCTTTTCGATAGGTAATTAAGGCATTGAATAATAACAATGGGAATTTTCCTCCAGGTCTCCTTGATGTTTCAAAAATTGGTGATGGAAGATGGTACTGTTGAAATAATCAATGTATTTAAGAAGCAGGAGCACAAGAGTAGGCCCGCCGGTTTGAACACAGTCAATCTTCTTAAGGTTTCTGCCCCCACTCCTTGCATGAGTTGCGTCTGAAGTTGAGATTACATTATATTTCTTGTATCTCAGAGAAGTGTTCCCTTTCCATTCCTGGGCTTGTTCTTTTTATTGATAGTAAATTTCATGATCTAACTGGAAGGATCTATTAGTGTTTTTAGTGTCAATCTTTATATGTCTTAATCTATAAAACCTCTTCATTTAAAATTTTTTATTGACTTTTGGAGTGGACAAAAAGAAGAAGACATAATTACTGCATTGTTTCCTTTTCTTACATGCCTTGCTATGTATAATTGTGATCCAAAGTTCAATATAATTTGAATTTGGTGAAAAATTTTAAGAATATTTTGAATAGCAGTTTTTCTAGAATTTTCATCATCTATTTTGGAAAAGTGAGAAGTTTGATTCTCTATTTGTAGAAATATTGTACTGAAGATGTTTTGCTAATGTATTGTCTGATTGTGTCAAAAGGAAGTTTGTGTAACTGTTCACTGTTATTTGCCTATGCTAGAAAATAGGGTGTCTATAGCATGGTTAATTATGTTGAACTGGAATTTAAACTTTCAAGTACACTTGATAGTATATTTTGTGTCAAAAAGGAGTATAATAGTAATAATACTGAAAATATTTGCTAATATATTGTGTCAAAAGAAGTTTGTGCTCTTTTATTGATGGTGTCTATTGTTATTTGCCTATGCTTGAATTAGGGTCTGTATTGCACAGTTCATTATGTTGAACTGTGATTTAGACTTTCAGAGTACACTTTATAGTACATTTGTGGGACAAAAACTTACCTCATTGTTATAATCTTTAAGGTTGCCTCAAGTTCATTGGGCTTTGGGCCACAGATGGCTATGCAGATAGCAGAAAGATTGTACACTCAAGGTTTTATCAGGTTAATACTACCTTGTCTCAAAAATTGTTTAAATCATGGTTGCGTATGTCAAAGACTTGTTCATTTTATATTTTTTGGAAAACCTGTTTAGTTTCCATTGTTCAATCAATCAATCAATCAAAGCCTTAATCCCATAAGTGGGGTCGGCCTTCAAGTTTCCATTGTTGATGTATGGAAATTCAAGAAGTATTTAAAAGAGTTTGAGCATTAAACATTGTTTGACATGTAGTGGTTATTCAAGTTTATGCTGCTTAGCAAGTTATCATGTTTGATACTATTACTAAGTAAAGGATATCATAAAGATTTCAATTTTAGCCATAATTTCTTTTTTTTTTTTTTTTTTTTTTTTTTTTTTTTTTTGGCTTAATTGCAGCCCTGTGCTATTTTTGTGCGTAACAGAGCAGTGAATGACATGATTTTCTTAAAATAGTATGATCTTATATATTCTTTGTAAGAGTATATGTATGCTGAATTGGTGATACATGAACTGAATTTTTTCATGCCGTATAATGGTACTCTTGGTGTTAATATGGCACTAAATATGTACTTCTTCTGTTGGATTTGTCTTGTATTTTAAGTGCACACCAAATCACACCTTTCATTTTAGGATGTTCTTCAATAAACCATCTACTTTTGGTACATTTCCCTCTACATCTTTTCCCTAGTCCTTACCATTGGAACCAGCACTCTACCACTTTTTTCCTCTACCTTTTACTCTTCTTAGGTACTGTTCTCTTCATCTGCATTTCATTCACCTTATATTTCTATTATCATATCATATTAGTCCATAACTTATCTTATCTGAATTTATTAGCCTTTATATTATCTTATATAACCCTTATCTTATATAGAGTATTATTTTATCTGAACTCATCAAACCTTATTAGACTTTATATAAGGTGCTACTAGACCTTATTAGAAGTTATTATCCCTTATCTTATCTTAACTTATTAACCCTTATATTATATTATCTGAACGTATTAGCCCTTATATTATAGTCCATAGGTGCAGGGAATTCTGAAATGCCTTGGTGCGCCTTGAGCCTTTTTATGCACTGATCTGAACTTACCAAACCTGATATAAATGAAGATAAGGTGAATAAAAGTATATAACAGAGCCTTAATCTCCTTGCAAAAGGTAGAACATTAACTTCATTATGGGATGGAGGGAGTATATAGGAAGATTAAATGAACTTAGAGACTGAAACATACTAATACATGGACTGCTAGATGTTTGGTATATGGGATACAAATATGATTTGAATCTAGGAAGAGGTTTGTGTTCTTTGAGATACATATTGAAAATTTAATATTTTAAGAACCTAATGTGGTTAGATAACTTGGAAGGTTCTCGTCAAAAAAAAAAAAAAAAAAAAAAAAACTTGGAAGGTTAAGTTAAAGATGGAAAATTTAATTTGTTTGGGATACCAATGATGTATAGTAATGGTAGGAATTCTTGTAAGGTCAAGTTTAAAGATGGAAAATTGAAAGGTGTAAAGTGAAAAGATTGTCTCGGATGTAAAGTTAGATCATTTTAAAATTTGGTGTTGATGAGTTTATGAAGGTTCAAATGCATGTTAACTTTGCTGTGAGAGTTGAGAGGTGAGGCAAATTCTGAAATAATAAGATTGTTATCTCATTGTGTCACGTTGTGTTATTTTATTAGGCTCTTAGCAGGCATACAACTTACCGTGTCTGGTTTTACCAACTCCATATCCTTAATCATTTGTGCTCTTTTTCTTTGATTCCTAGTTCTTTACATATGATTTAGTTGCTTCCTTCCATCATCTTTCTAGTGCCTGTTGATTACTCTATACCTTACCTGTCATCAAGTTTTGTTGTTGATTCCACTTTTGAACAGTGCTATACTTCAAGGCGTGACTGTTATGAGAAATTTCAAGCTCACTGCATATGCAAATCCTACCCTAGGGAGCTTGATTTACTTTCTTGATCTTGAATTGTCCATTTTCGTCATTCTCAGTTTCAGGTTAGAGCGTCTCTTGCTCTCACCTTAGTTTGCTACCTCACCCTTAAGCCTGAGAGCCACACCTGATTTCCATGAGTTGTAAGCAAAGTTTTGATAGTTAATTTCTACCTCCAACAGTCTTTTTCCCATGCTGTTGCATGGCAGTTGTAGAAATGGAGCAGCTGAAGGTGGCGACAACGTTGTTTATTGCAGAGGTGGTGGCTTTCACATTTTAATTTTTTATATGCAACAATGATAGTAGTTGTGGTATTGCAACGCTGAAGGCTGAAGTTGTGTGGGGACGAGACAAAGGAGTCTTGAGGAAATGCAGTGGCCAAACATGTGGAACTGTGGGGGTTTCCTTGTATGTCCTTTATATATTCAACACCCCCCCCCCCACCCCCCTCTGGTGCAAATAACCTAAATGGCTGTTGTTTGTGTCAGCATTCATTTATGTTACTTGGGATTTTGAGATTGAGATCAGACAGGAAGTAGAGTGGATTTAAAGTGTGTTCTTCTGGTCTATGGATGATGAGTATATTGTCTTGTGATATGAGAATCTGTGTGGAGATCATCAGATTGGCAGACCTCAACAAAAGGCATTCAGGGGGTAGTTTGGTGCTAAGCAGTAAGCATACGTTAGTCAAGTGTTTGGCTGGTGATGTGTTCCCTTTACAACCTAAATTCCTATGACATGAGTGACTGAAAGAAGGTATGGTATTGATAGAAGGTGGGGGGATATGTTGGCAGATCCTGTATACATCATGCACTTGTCCATGAAATTTTGCATGCCAATTTTTTTCTTTTCATTGGTGAGATGAGGTGAGGAATGGGGTAGCCTGTCGTAGCCATCAACTTTGCTTTAAATTACCTGCAAAAAAGGACCTTAATTTTCTGAATGTCTTAGGCTTGGATCTGGATAAGACGAGACTGATATATGCTAATATGTATGCATTTATGCTATTTCTTCTGGATGACATTTAGTACGAGTTATAGTAACAGGATAAATGATCTTCTATTTCTTATTACTATCATGTAAACAATGACCAACTTCCTGGCTGTAAAACCTCAAGTACAGAGAATTTTTTAAGGGCAATTGGCGTTGCTCACGCATGCCTGACCCTGAATATTGCATGAAAGTAAAAATGATAATTGATCCCTTCAGTTCTGGACTGTTAATGTCTTTGTCCTGATGAACGAGTTATGGTGCCCTTTCAGTTATCCTCGCACAGAAAGTACTGCCTACCCTTCTTCGTTTGACTTCCGAGGTGCACTTGTTACTCAACAGAGTAATCCCTTATGGGGTGGTTATGTACAGACCTTACTGGCTGATGGTTATCATAAACCTCGTTCAGGAACTGATGTAGGCGATCATCCACCCATTACCCCAATGCGCTCAGCTACTGAAGAGATGCTAGGTTATGATGCTTGGAAGTTGTATCAGTATATTTGTCAGCACTTTATCGGCACCGTGTCTCCAGACTGCAAATATATCAGGTACAATCTCTCTTGTTTTGTATTCTTTTGTCGCACTCGTAGAATCTTATAATCATACTTGTAATTGCTATTATAGCATGGTATAACACTGTGACTTGGTATGACAGCAAGTAGAAAGGTCGTAAGTTGTCTTGTTGTAAAGTATGTGCTGTTCTGGTTGCCTTTCATTTAATGAGGTACTTTCATTTCAGGACAAAAGTTGAATTTTCATGTGGCGGGGAATCATTTAGTTTTACAGGACAGTATGTCACTGCTGAAGGATTCACCTCCATCATGCCTTCGTTGGCTATAAGTGAGAAAAAGCTTCCCGACTTTGCAAAAGGTGAAAGAATTAAAATATCAAAAGTTGAACTATATGAGGTAATCCTCAAGATCTAAAGGTTTATGATATACATAATTTCTGCTCTAAAGCAAATTAGGAATTAGGCTTTTACTCTTGACTTTTGAGTCCATGAAGCTGGAAAGGATTTCAGGATTAATATTTGATAATGCATGCTGGTGGGTTATAATATGCCTGTAAAAACTAAATTCAAGGCTCCAGACATAGGTTTATGTAGGATATTTTTACCATAATGCACCCTGTAAAAACAATCCATTTGATTACAACCCAAAGCTCCTCACGATTATTCAATTAACATTTCACACTAAAGACTTTGATTTTGGAAGGATGGAACCAAGTAAGAAAGAATTTTCATCCTGACTGGGTTGTCTTAAACTGTGCTTGTCTTGGATAATTAGTGTTACTTCATGGTAGTTTAGATTTATTTAAATATATGATGCCAAGGGGTGATATAAGCTATGCAATGGCATAGTGGTGTCTTCAATTGATTTTATTTAGTTAGGGTGCTTTTTAATATTAGAAACAACTTAAAGGTGGCTTTTTGTTTAAAATTCGAGGGAATTATGTTTGTCAACCATCACGGTCTGTTTATTGTGCATTGGTATGTTTGCTGAACTTAACTTAGGGAGTGCTCTCGTTTGTTTATGTTGACATGTCTGAACTTTACTGATATTGAGTAAATATTATATTTTGAGTGTATCTGAACTTATTTTTTCTGAAATAATTCAAAATAAGTTGAGGTGACCAGAGTCGTAATTGTTAATAACAGTATTCATTGGTAAATTTTAATTGGTTTTTGTTTTTGTGAAGTATTTTGTTCAATAACTGCAGCATGTGATGACAGTGTGCATCCTGGGGATTTAGCTACAGCTCTGTAAAGCCATTGTTAATTTCATTAAATAGTATAGATTAAATGGAAAAACTTTTGTTGATTGGTAGATTCCGAGTTGAAATTTATGTACTTTTTGATATAAAAGTAATTAGCTAGCAATTAAATCTTTCATAAGTCAATATTGCTAATTTCATTAGGTATTATTGATGAATGGAAAAAGTATTGCTAATTGGTAGATTCGGAGTTTATATTAAAGTATTTAGAAAAGTAAGTTATATAAATAAAAGTAATAGTCCAGAAATTAAATCTTTCGGAAGTCAACATTGATCTAAATTTTGATATTAGGCACACAATAAAAGGTCATGCTACTTTGATATGTCCTACCCAATCTTAGTAATTGGTGCAAAACACTTGAATAGATGATGGTACAGCAATTTGTTGTTGGACACCAATTTATGCTTTGGATGGTATTATTTAGTAATTGACTGCAAGTATTTGTAATGGTTTAATAAGTAGTGCTTCTCGGTGCTATGTTTAATAAGTGATATCAAAAGGTGAATAAGACTTGTAAGAGACAAGGTGATTGGAAAAGCAGTTTTGGAAGCTCAACTAGGGACTTAGCCCCATGATGTAAAGGTTGCACAAAGAATCTCCTCTTCTGTATTGCTTTATGATAAGGTCTTTGGGACTGTTTGCTTCTATAATTAGGTTAGATTTTGTGCTAGGAAAAGCTTCAAAGCTTGGATAAAAGTTTAGTAAATTGATTTGTAGGCTTTTGTATATTGTAGGGGAACACTACGCCTCCTGATTACCTTACTGAAAGTGAGGTCATTTCCCTCATGGAAAAGCATGGGATTGGTACAGATGCATCCATTCCTGTACACATCAATAACATATGTGAGCGAAACTATGTACAGGTCAATATCACTCCCTGTGAATCTCTTTGATAATTATTATGCACTGTAATTGATACATTAATCATTTCTATTCCGTTATATGCTTCAAAATCTAGGTGCAAAGTGGACGGAGGTTACCAGTGCACTGATCCAGATCTTTGTCTGCCAGACATTCGGAGCTTTATCGAACATCAGATTACTCTAATAGCGAAGGGGCAAGCAGATCATTCACTTGTTGTGAAGCATGTTATTGAACAATTCACGCAGAAGTTTGTCTATTTTGTCAAGCAGGTGAGTGTTCTTTTCTTTCCATCCTATCACCTTTGATTTTGGAGGGATGGAACCAAGAATAGAGAATCTTCATCTAGACAGGGAAAATCTGATTAAGATTTAGGGGCACACTTTAAATTGTATGTAATAAAGCTGGAGGGGTTATAACTCATATAAACAGAATAGCCACATACACACTAACTAGTAGTCATGGTGCCTATCTTTGTTCCCCTGCCAAGCTTTAGAAAAGGTAGAAAGGCAACCACCATTCTACTTTTTTCTATGAAGGTGGTGAACCTGATCTCTATAAAATAAGATTTCTATAGGGCGCTTGAGTGGGTACTATTCATGCAATTTCTGCATCTTTGTTGCTTCATGTAGGGACCATGTACAAAAGTGTAATCAGGTAGTTCTAATCTGGTTTTGTTTTTGGTCATTTTTGGGTGATGAATCATTTGGGCTGAACTTCTGTTCAAGTCAGTTCTGTTTTTACTTTTTAGTTAATTTATCATGAAATAACAATCAGTATTAGAATTGATCTATATTTGTTCAGACTGTCTAGTTTTGCATGTAGTTCAGATCTAGGTGGGTTTTATGTGTCGGATTAGAATTCCAGATTTAACCATGTCAGGAATATATGCTAATCCTGTCTTTTTTTTTTTTTTTTTTTGAAATCAGCTTAGTGACTTGTGATAAATATCTTAGTTTTTTGTAACCTGATGTAGATTGAACATATGGATGCACTATTTGAAGCCCAATTCTCTCCGCTTTCAGAATCAGGGCGTGCGTTGAGTAAATGTGGAAAATGCGCAAGGTACATGAAGTACATTTCTCCACAACCACAGCGTCTTTATTGCAATACTTGTGAGGACGTGTACTATCTTCCTCAAAAAGGCACAATTAAGGTTTTATTTCTAATTCCCTTTTGCAGTGTACTAAATTTGTTGCAAACTCTCTTACCTTTCCCTGCTCTCTTTTTCTTAGGGTAGTTAGTGAGATCCCTAACCCTTTCAAGTTAGATTTGGGCAAGGTTTGGTGTCAACAGAGGTTTTAAAGAAGGTGAAGAGGGGGGGGGGGGGGAGGGGGGGTAAAGAGTCCAACCTACACAAAATATGGTATTCCCAAGGGTGTGTTAGGGGTAGCCAAAGTGTCCAACCAATTTTACAAACGATCAAAATATGAAGTGGCAAAGGTCACAAACTCCGCACTTCCCTCTAGAAAGCTAGGGTGGATGAGTTAGTCTATTAAGCTTTCCTCTCTTTTCTGCTATTGTTTTGTTTGTGCATCATGGATGGAACTATTGTTAAGTACTCATATCTTAAGTCAATTTCTTTTTTTTCATTACTTGTTTGAGCCAGTAAATATTCCTTTCCTTTGTTACTTCGTATCTTATTTCTGTTTCTGTGCTGTTTGCTTTGTAGCTGTACAAGGAAATTGTTTGCCCTTTGGACAATTTTGAGCTCTTGCTCTTTTCCATGCCTGGTCCAGAAGGCAAATCATTTCCCCTATGCCCTTATTGCTACAACAACCCTCCATTCGAAGGTGTAGACAAACTCTTTGGTGCACCCAAAACTGGTCCTGGCAAATTGGGAAAAGGGTCTGGGATGCCTTGCTTCCTCTGCCCCCATCCTACATGTCCGCATTCTCTGATAGCTCAAGGTGTTTGTGCATGCCCGGAGTGCAGTGGTACACTTGTCTTAGATCCTGTCAGTGCTCCTAAGTGGCGGCTTTACTGTAACATGTGCAACTGCCTTGTCTTTCTACCTCAAGGCGCTCACCGGATCTCAACAACCAAAGAGCGGTGCCATGACTGCAATTCTACTATCATAGAAGTTGACTTTAATAAGAATAACTCACCTTTGGCAGATGGAGCTACCTTGCATGCAGGATGCATTCTTTGTGATGAGCTCCTTCATTCACTGATCGAAATGAAGCACGGAAAATCTTCTTTCAGGCGTTTTGGAGGAAGAGGGAGGGGAAGGGGAAGGGGAAGAGGAAGAGGACGAGGCGGAAGGAAAGATATTGATCCCAAAATGAGTTTCCGGGATTTCTGAGACATATTAACCTCTTGTAATTTACATCTACACTCTTTTTCCCTATCGCTAGTTGGTTTTGACTTACAGAATTTAATCTCCTTAATCAGCAAGAAGGTTATTTGTAATTTGTAATGCATTTCTCTTTTTGATCAAATTTTGTTAATCTTTTTCAGACTGTTCATGAATCAGAATTGATATGAGTCTGGTATAACTTTCCTTGTCCTTTCAGGAGGCAAATACTAAGAAATGTGCATCCTAATGTCGAACTACAAATTGAGGCGTAGTTTAATGCTTGTGTGTGAGCTATTGCTGACTTAGAATGTGGAGCATAAAGAACAGAAAATATTAAGGCCGACAGTTCTCTTGTACACCGCCCACGCTGGTGTGAAATAAAAATAATCTTGGAAAGCGTATGTGACACTAAAAGGGGAAAGATCAAAAAGGAAACTACGCATTAAAATGTGAAAATTAAAGAAAGAAAATGCCAGTATTATTAAATGTAGATGTTTAAATGGCTTGATTTGGTGTTTGATTAGGATAGCAAGAAAAGTAATGTTTAGACGATGTTGATTACACACGTTCACAAGGCATGTGGCCTGTGTCTGGAGCAATTAATCTTTGATATGCACCATCAATAATATAACTGATGCCGATTAGATAAACAACGGTCCGTATACCGTGCATCCAAGAACATAGGCAATGCTGGTGTAATTGGATGCTCGTTTTCCCTGCTGCTCCTTGTACTACACATGCTTAGAATCTCCTAATAAACCACCGTTCTTGGTGCACCCGGATGCATATAATAATTTGTGGATATCTTATGAAAATTGGAAGTGCTCCTGTCGGTGGATACGAGTGCTCCTTCAGTTCATACACTACACGTACTTAGAATGCGCTAGCAAAGCACCATTCTCAATACTCCTGAATTAAAATAATTTGTGGATTATTTTATGAATATTGGAAATGTTGCTCTCATGTCAGTGGATGCAAATGTTCCTCCGACTTTATGTACTACGCGTGCTTGGAATGCGTTGGCAGAGCAACATAATCAGTACTCCCGAGTGCATAAAATAATTTGTGAATTACCCTATAAACGCTAACATAATATACTATGTACATTGTGATGTAACAATGTTCTTCTAGCCCCGCATGGGCCTATGAGCATTAATTAGTGCTTTCAAAACATGCTTAAACGAAATGATTTCAATTTATGCATTATGCTATTCTAGATTACCATTATGAGCACCAAACAATTATGGAAGGGACTCGGAGACTTATTTAGATTTTTCCATCAAAAGTTAATAATTGTTAATAAGTTGATAATGCTTAAAAAAAATGGATAATGTAAAGTGCACCTTTGAGAATTAGCAAATTAGTTTACAACGCATGCGATTAACAAAGATGCTAATTAGTTTCGCAAAAGCAATTCATGATGTAGTGTTTCAGTTAACCAAGACATGTATGCACGCCTGATATAAACAGGGTTTTGGGGTGATTAAGTATTTCAGGTAAATAATGTCTTAATAAAGAGATTTCGAGATTTGAAAAAATAATAGGGATGATATATACATCTCAAAAACGAGCCAAACAGTCCAATCTCAGCGGCCTATTTTTGTGTTCTCAGTGTATATAAGGGTGCTTAGGAATTTTAATGCTTGAAAACGATGTATTTTTAGAACGCAAATCCGAGTAGCCAATATGTATCGTGACTTTGCCTTGATCATGCTCTTGATTTCAATAATGCAAGAAGGCACATAAATGACAGCTTTAATACAAATTATATACTACTAAAAACACTAACATTTAGCCATTAAAAAAGAAAAAGAAGAGGTAACAGGCTGCACAAACATTCAACATGCAAGTCAGGACAATGAAAGAGATCAACCTGACAATAATTTCCAACAAAAACGTGGTTACCTCACATTTCTTAGCTGTTTGTAATATGAAAAAATAGATAATAAGAATTAAAAATTGATCATATACAATAATATGATCCCTCAAATGGGGCAAGAACAAAGTTGAGAATCAGCACCTTAATTTTGGGCTGAGGGATGTCATGCATCTTTTACTATACCACTCAAATATGATTTGGAAATTATAATGTTTCAAGTACAAAAATTTGATATTGATATAGATTTTTAAAAAAATAATAATTAAGGATAAAAAGCACTGACTGTAGGAAAAAACAATTCAGTGTATTTCCGAGTGCAGACAATTTTGTGCCCGCGAAAATTCACCTAGAACAACAGGAAGTAAACCCTTGGTTTTGCGTCTTTTCATCATTAACAATGCTTACCCTATTAAGAGATAACTGAGCTTTATAAGAGTCTGAATTGAGAACTCTCCTGCTCACACTGTTGTATATCTCCTTGATCACCATCTCAAAAGCCATCCTTACATTGGTCGAATCTTTAGCAGATGTCTCCATGAAGAAAAGTCCGTGCTCTTCAGCAAGGTTCTTGCCTTCTTCGATGCTTACTGACCTTATGTTGTCCAAGTCACTTTTATTTCCCACAAGCATTCGTGCTACTGTTGTATCAGAATGAGCTGCACAGGAATCCACATTGGTCAAGTTTTGAGACAAAAATTAGAATGGTTCTGTAGATAGGAAATGATAGCTAAACTAAGCTAAAACACACATCTAGGAAGAAATTGTATCAGTTGCAAAAACTTCGAAACTAATGTCAGTATAATTTGATAGTAGTCCATTGGTTGGATGTAGGATGTACTCCGTACCACTTTTCAGGTTGTAATTCTCGTGAATTTACATTGCCAGAAGTTGTTTGATTGAATGAACACAGGAAGTCCTTTACAACTACTTAACTTACATAGGAGACTTAAGTATGCAACAACCACCAATGAGAAGAAGAATTACCCACGTCTTTGTCAACCAACATTAGAGAAATTCATTTTTATTTAGAAGACCAAGTACGCAACATCCTCCAATGTCAGATAGCTTTAACCATTGGGTGAGATCAGAAGACTAGAGTTCAAAGTACTAGTGTTAATGGAACCTTTGGCTAAGAGTTGAGTGAGCCCCGTCTATAAGATGGTTCAAAGTCTTAGGTGAAATATCCTCTATCAGCTGTTGATTGTTTCCCTTTTGTCGGATGGTGGGTGGCTGGGAGAGAAGGAGAAAGACCAATGTATGCTCACAGTGCCAAGTTCACAGTTTTTTGCAAAATCCTACGGTCTCTGAAGACACTAGCTAAGCTACTTGAGAGTTGAGAGCAACCAAGAATGTTGATGAATACCAGATCTACTAAAGTTTTGATCTGGAGTAGACAATCAATGATGAAAATGCCAATAAACTGCACAAATAGCAGAACCTAGGAATTGCAAGCTTTAAAGTGACCACATTGATCCTTACCACTCTAGCTGTTCCTCGATACTAGGTAAAGGTCACATGAAAAGGATGATGGAACACATAACGGCGGTAACACCAATCTAAGGAGAAAGTAGAACTAAATTGATGTTAAGTTTGGTGGATTAAGTTATCACAGATTCACAGATGTACCAACAATCAAGCTCATCTTGAAGAATTAGAGAATTCAAAAGCAGAATCTGTTACTTACTTACTACTCATTTGTAAGTCCCGAATCGCCACAGACGAATTTTCTAAGCAGTCCATAAAAATTTCCTATATTTATGTCCAAGGGAATACAAATTAAGTGATTGCTTATCATAATTCATAAAGGTGGTGTCTGTACAAAACATGATGGCTTTTCAATATTCATGTTGCTCAATTAGTTTCTCCCATTGAAACACAATGAGATCATCAATCCTAATCATCACACATAAAGTAAAAGCCGAATCTTCAAATGATATTCCAATCTAATCTCAGCAAATTCAAATTCAACAACCATTGCAAGAAAACAAATGCAATACATAAATTAAAAGCAGTAAAAGCCAGCTACCCCAACTACTTACATTTTGCTAATTAATATCATTTACAAGAATCCCAAATTTAATATTCAGGTACTTGTTTTTTTCAATCCCTGATATGCTTAACAATGCCTTCAACAAAACATAAAAGACTAAACTTTCTTAAATCCCAGATCAATTAGCCAAACAAATGAGCAAACCCAGAAAAATTCAAGCAAATCTCCAAAATAACACAACTTTTTTAACAACAAAATATAAATTCAGATCAATCAACAAAAAAGATGTCAACTTTGAACTAAATTCAGCAAAATAATATCCAATGCTAACCCAAAAAATCATATAAACACCTAAATTTCACCAAATCTGATATAATAACCACATAAACCCACACAAAATCCACCAAAAAACACAAAATTATCAACAACCCAGATCAATAAACACACCATAAAAGCAACCCATCAACCAAAAAAATTCAGAAAAATTAAAAATAAATTAAAATTGAACAACTTACTGGTAAGTTCATCAAGCCAGCGACCAATACTATCAAAAGTAGTTCTGCGAGAAATATCATAAACAAGAAGAGCACCAACAGCACCTCTATAATAAGCAGAAGTAACAGCTCTAAATCTTTCTTGACCAGCAGTATCCCAAATCTGAGCTTTTACTTCTTTTCCCTCAATTTCCATACTTTGTGTTTGAAATTCCACACCAATTGTTGCTTTTGAATGCATATTAAACTCATTTCTTGCATATCTAGATAATAAATTAGATTTACCAACAGCTGAATCACCAATTATAACAATCTTGAAGAGGTATTCTTCTGCTTCATCATCTGAAGACATTGTGGCTTAAAAACAGGGGAAATTAGGGATTAAGTGGGGTTAGATTTGATTTATGGAGAAAATATGGAGATTTTGGGGAATTGGGTATTGGAAAAGGAGAGATTTTGGGAAGTGGGTTTGTGTTAGATTTTGGAAAGAAGGAGAAATGAAAGAGGAAAGAGAAGAGAGAAAACAGGAGAGTGGACCTTTTTTGAGAGCGTTGTTTATGTAAGAAAGAGGTGCTTTTGAGGGGGAGTTCAACTGTTGAAGTTGAGGCCTGGAGGGAAAGGTTGAGGATCGAACCCCGGTCACATTAGGGAGGGATTAATCATTCTTCCATTCTTTAATCCTCATGTGTTTTTGTGATATAACCCTATAGTTTATGGGAAATTTCTAAAATAATGTTAATGTACTAAAATCTTTTCTGGTAGTCTCAACTTATAACTTTGTTAGTGTCCTAAATCCTTAGTAAGCATATTGATTTTATTCTGCTATCGCATAGAGATATTTTGGTGTGGAGAGAGTCACAAAAGATAATAATGTAAATCTTTGATTTTGAATACCACCACAAGACGTTAACCTAGTTATAGTTGACATCTACTAATAAAAAAAGGCGTGTCGAAAAAGCCTAAGACCATGTACAAAACTCAACAAATAAGTAAAATGTTGGCTAAGCATATCGACCTAAACTTGATTTAATGGATGTGTGGTTTCGGGCCATGCTTGGAGCCTTGGACCGTCCTTTTGAAAATCGAGGCATAATACTTAGCTCTAACAGCTTGGTTGTGGCTCGCCTACACGTCGGTAAATGTTTTTGACTGAACCTCCCGTTGTTCTCTCTCCGGGCTAAAGCACTTTCTTAAAGCCTTAATTAGGGAAGACATCGAGAAACATCATTGTTAAAGACATACCAATACTTTGAAATATTCTCTTATGTTTATTTGAAATATATTTCTATGAAAAACATCGTGATTTATATAAATTATTTTAACTATTTATAATCTTATAAGATTAAACTATACTCCCTTCGTGTTTAAATAAATGAAACGTTTTTCTTGTAATGCTATGCTTTAATTGATAATATCTTTAATTATCAACAAGTAAAAATTATAACAATTGAATATAAATAAATTATATGATTCCAACAAGTACCTATAAGACTATATTTATTCGTATGTATAAATAACAAACATTAGTCAAAGTGAATTAGATAAATAGTGCAAAAAGTCAAAATATTTCATTTATTTAAACACGGAAAGAGTATTATAAAAAAAATAATAAAAAATAAAAAATATTTTATCCGACTATGTACCCCTAAATACATTAATAATACTGGTCGAAAAATTAAAATAACGATGTAACCTTTAAAATGGAGTAAATGATAGAGGCGCGTGAGACATAAGCAAGTGATTAGAGTACATGTACTCTGTTATTGATGGAGTCACACTTGAGTTTCTTCTATTCTTCAAGAGATAAAAGTATATGTAACTGTTATAAATGGTGTCACACTTGACTGTCTTTAATTCTTCTTCTACTGCAATATCTGTATTTAAATTAAATGGGGTTGCAAAATAAAATATGAAAAAGGGGGATTTTAATGTTTGAGTTTGACCCATCTCTCGTCACTGGGCTGTTGATGAGTGATGACCTGCACGACCATCCTCGTCAGCATACTACTTTAGTTATCTTTAAAAAAAAAAAAAAAAAAAACATGCTCCTATATAATATGTCGAACTTTAACTAGTTTAATTGATTAAAATCTTAAAGGGTGATATTCAAGACCTGAAATCAAATCTCGGCTACATCATTTATTTCATAACTATCACTATGCCAAATGGATTAATGTTAAATTTATACTCAAGAGTAGTCATCAACCTTTTGAGATTTATTGATCAAGGTCACTACATTCAATCAACATCTTATGGTATTGTATAATAATCAAATTCTTAAAGGGTCTTCTATCTAATTCTGTATAATATCTAATTATTAAATTTTGATTTTTTTATTGTAAATGTTCTACTTCTTCCGAACTTTTTTACTTAACCCGCTTTGACTTTTACACTAATCACCACCCCTCCTTTGACCGCTTTTGTGAATTAAGGAAAAACATATTCATGTGGGATCCTTTTGAATTCGTCTCAATAAGTACTATCATAATACCGTAGTATATAACTTTTAAAATTTTTGCTTGAGGAGAATTAAAGTTATTGATTGCTAAAATTTTGCATTGACAAGCGTCATAAAAGAAAGAAGTCAAGTAAAAAATAACAGAGGAAGTATAACTTTGAGCTGACGGATTAGGTAAAAAAAAAAAAAAAATGAACCATATGTCGAATCCTATTAGTAGTGCTATTAAAAGCTAACACCTCATTCCATTCGTGATCTCTACTTATAGGGTTCTAAATGAGTCACTTGGACAATAGACACTTAATATAATATTGTTTCTACTAGAAAATTACAAAGTGTTTATTATTTCAATTAAGTAAATATATTCAGTTCAAATACTTTGTAAAAAGAGTTGTCCGATTGATCAAATATGTACCCACTCGGCCAATCTAGGATATGTTCATATAACCATATGTATATATTGAAGTACTTTGAATATAGTTCTTATAACCATATGAAGTAGAGAAGTCTTGTATTGGCTTTACATCCAAGAAATTTGGGTAACCCAATATTAATCTTAATATCCACTAAAAACGTAAAATGGATGTCACAGAATTACAGAAATAATGAGTCCATATCTAAGATACCACCATTTTTTGTGGGCACAAAAAAGACACATAGCTTTATAACATTAATCTTTTTATTCATCACCACCAAAAAAAAAAAAGAAAAGAAAAGGCAAAATAGACCCTATTCAAGCTCACTCTAATGGCACAAACCCACTAAGCCCAGAAAATCTATAATTTTCCCAACCCGAAAAACCGAAAAAAAAAAAAAAAATCAAGAAATGCCAATTTTAAATGTATCATCTTTAGGAGTAGGCTCATTAACAAACCTTTGCTTTCATTCACAAAATATAGCCAATGATTCAATTACAAGTTCTTGTTCCTTATCTTATGTTTCATATAATTACACACCATATATTAATAATAATAATAATAATAATAATAATATAAATCTCTTGAATTTGTACCGTAAATCTGGAATTAACAGATACCCAATTCAAGCTGCTCCAACTAATGCTTCTTCTGAAGCTCAAATTGATGAAAATTTGGATGATTCTACTTTGTCTCTTGAACCCCCTCGTCCAATTCGGGTGAGTTTTATTGCAGCTTTTCTCAATTTATGTTCTAATTTTTGCATTTGTTTTGGATATTTGATAGAAAAGATTGCAACTTTTTAATTTTATTTTTGTGGGGTTTTTGAATTTTACAATGAATTTGCTAATTAAAGTTTCAATTTCAGTTTGTACCCACTTTCACTTTTGTTTAACTTAGCTAATTGGCATTCTCTTATTGTATAATGATCAATAATTATTAGTCTGATTGGATGCCCAAGATATCTTATAGATGATATGTAGAATTATGGTTTGTTTAAGTTGGTGCTATGGTTTGATTATTGAGAGCAAATAAAAAAATGAGCTGTAAGAGTTTTAGAATGTAGATTGTTGTACTTGAGTTGTGTGAATTGATGAACTTTACATGGCATTTAAAGTTATTCATGTTAGTTGATTTTTAGTTTTGACTGTTCATGCTCAATGAAGTTCAAATATTTAATATTCTTTGGCTTTTTGCTTGTGATGGTATATATTTAGAAGAGTTATGGAGTATTAAAAACTTTGTTAATGGTAAAGTAGCAACATCACTACCCTTGGCCTTGGAGTCTATTTTGAGGAATGTTAATGTTAAAGCTTCTTTTAACCCCTCTTGAGTGATTAATTAATCTGGAGTTGGATGCTTGTTTTGTTTCTATATGCTAATGCATCTATTGCTATGAAGAAATAGAGGCCTGCTGACTGGGAAGCAGCTAAGAAATATAAAGAAACTGGATCTATCTACGAGGGAAGAGTTGAAGGCTTCAATAATGGTGGCTTGCTAGTTCGTTTCTATTCGCTTGTCGGATTTCTTCCTTTTCCACAGTTGAGTCCATCATATTCTAGTGAAGGTACTTCACTTTCTTTGTTCTGTATGACTTTGTTCTTTGTTCTGTACATGGGGTGTTGACACATTCATTAATCAATTTTGCTTATAATTATGAAGTGATTGAATTTTTTGTTGATTTATCATAGTTTGGATAACTTTCAGTCTGGTATTTCTCTTTTGTTGGCTACTCATACTGTAGAATTTTATCAGCCTTTCACTATTATATTGTGCTTGTTATCAATTTTATTATGTAACTGGTGAAAATTTCTCCTTTGTTCATAACAACAGTATCTGTTACATCTGAAATAATAAAATGGTCTATAGTTACTCCGTTCCACCAATGTTGCAGGGAAGCCATGAATGAAGTAATAAAATGGTCTATAGTAACTTATTGTTGTCAGTTTGTCACTCAGTTGTTTACTCAAATGCTTTCACTTTATTAGTTTGTCACTCCGTTGTTTACTCAAATGCTTTCACTTTATTAAAAAGCATGAATATTTGGTTGCCCTGATGGACTTGTCACAAGTATGGTTACGTTTAGTAATTATATTGCTGACTGCTGACATTTGATGCAGAACCAAATAAGACGATACAACAGATTGCAAGAGGACTTATTGGATCTGTCATCTACATGAAGGTAACCAATATAAGCATTTCATTCTGGAAACCTTTGTGTTTTCTGATCTTGTCCTTTTAAGCCATGAGTAAAGTTTGGGTGCATCTCTGGTCACATAAAATACTGGAGTAAAGATTGATCCTCAAAACTTGAATCTTGTAGAGGTGCAAGTTAAGCCTTCTTAATGTCTGCAGTGCCTGCCAAACTTATGGATTGTTTCTATCATAATGTTTTGAGCTGGCTTATTTTGTCATGTAAGAATGTATTTTGTTTTCAAACCCTCTTAGGATATGTTATCGGACTTTTATTTGCCATTGTTGGAATAGGTGATTGAGGTAGATGAAGGTAGCAAGAAATTGATATTCTCTGAGAAGGAGGCCACCTGGTCAAAGTACTCTGAAAAAATCAAAGAAGGGGATATCTTTGAGGCAAGAGTTGGTGTGGTTGAGGACTATGGGGCCTTCCTTAATCTGCGCTTTCCTGATGGTATTTTTAAGCTTGAACCTTTAGTTACTGTGATTGTTTTTTCATGGTTTTTTTGGCACCCTGATGTATACAACTTACATTACGCAGGCAAATACCATCTTACTGGCTTAGTACATGTTTCGGAAGTTTCATGGGATTATGTTCAAGATGTCAGGGATGTATTAAGAGTGGGTGATGTTGTAAGAGTAAAAATTGTCAACATTGACAGGTAAAAATTACTACAAGTATCTGCTAATATTGTCACCTAGGGAGCTTGGACAGTGGCTTGCTAGAAATTGATAATCTTGGTAGTAAATAATTATTTGACATCTCCATGTTTTGTGGCTGCTTATCTGATTATTCAACTTCTTTGCTTGTTGAATATCTGGAGGAGAAGACTTATGTTTGATATTGGTTAGGTTGCTATGACAAAACTTGTCTGTGAACCTCATTATTTCAGGTCAGATCATCGAAATTTCAGATCGGATTTTTTTGAACACCCCTACCTACTAGTCTGGAGTCTTGACTTGTCATTAGTATTATTGCCTAATTCTGGACCTCCCTAGACTCCGACAATTAATTAAATCTTCCTTGGGTGGTAGTGATTGTTCATGTTGAATGAAAGTTTTGTTATTTTCTCTTTTGTTTGCATTATTTTCAAGCAAATCCACTATATGGCTCCGTTCTCATAGAAGGTTAATGCAGGGAGAAATCAAGGATTACATTATCAATTAGACAACTTGAGGAAGATCCATTGTTCGAGACCTTGGACAAAGTAATTCCTCAGGTACGAGTTATGATCACTTCAAATCATTATTTCATTCATTTAAGGATCAAGTTTGCCCCCTTCTGATTTTTAAGTAAAAAGTTCAATCCGTATATTGAAACAGGACGGTACAAGTCCTGACTCTACAGGCACAAGTGAAAGCTTTGATATTCAGCCACTTCCAGGGCTTGAAGAAATATTTAAGGAGTTGCTAGAGGAAGAAGGGTATTGTTTTCCAATCCTAGTGTGTGTTTTTTTTTTTCTTTTTTTTTTTTTTTTCTCAAAAAGTGTTAATTCTTATTATCTACTAATTTGATAATGTGTGAGCCAACATCCCCCCTCCCCCCCTCCTGCGGCCACCCTGTCTATTTTCTATAACGTGCAAACATTTCACTTATCACTGCTATGTTAAGACTTTTCATTTTACCTCAATTACCCGTGTTGAATCCTGAACCTTATGGCAATGAGTATATCGGCACTTCATTTTGGGCCGAAATTAAGGAAACTTTGCTTGAGTTGCCAAGTTTGATAAATGAATATGTACGTGTCTTGACACTCTGACTTGAGTAGACACTGACTATCCACCAAGTATCATAATTCCTTAGTATATTGTTCATTTTTTCCCCTTAATTTAGATAGTGAAAGTCTCTTACCCGCTTTATACTGGTACTTAATAATCACTGGTTAATTGGTCTTCCAGTCATTTACATGAGCTGGCTTTCTTTGGTTCATATGGAATGCAAAGATCAGCTGTTAATTTGATTTATAAACATACAAATACAATATACTCTTAACTCTCAAGCTTTCACTAGTTTAAGGCTTTGATTGGTAGGACCTGCATTTGTTGTTTTAAATTTTTCAAATTTACTTGGGTGTCTATTGTCTTTGCACATCATGATTTTATTCAGCTGAATTTGCGACTATTATGTTACTATCCTTAAAGGATTACTTTTTTGTGCAGTATAAGTGAGGTCAGAATCAGACGGCAAGGCTTTGAGAAACGGGTTGTTTCACAAGATCTCCAGTTCTGGCTTTCTAATGTTAGTGTCTTTTCTGTCAACTAATCTAAGTACTTAGCTGCCGTCTTTCATGCCATTGCCTGAGCCTTGAACTTCTCAATGTCATTTGACAGGCACCAGCAATTGACAACCAGTACATCTTACTTGCTCGTGCTGGAAGACAGGTACGTGGTTTCACATCTTCATCTCCTTCCCAAATGGGTATATCCCAGCAATATATAATTTGGAGTCCAGACAATATACTCCCATACCCCTAAATTTTCCATAGAACTTTAAAAACTTGCACCGTGCATGGCCTATCAGACTATCTGTGTCACTTCTTCCCACCCGGTCACTCCACTAGTGCAATACTTCTCATCTGATCACTGCGCAATTGTATGTTATAGCTTTTTTCTTTTCTTTTATAGGTTCAGGAAATACAGATGACTACATCTCTTGATCAGGAAGGTATCAAAAAAGCATTACAGCGGGTTCTTGAACGTGTTCCATGATTTCAAATGTTGACAATTTCCTCGCTATGTCTCTACCAGTGTACAGTACAGATATGAGCAACAAATTTAATAGTTTTTGCACCTATAGATCCTTCCCAAATATGTTACTCAGTGTATTCATTGATCCTATATGGTTAATTGGTATAGGCGGTGTGCTATGTCATGCCAGAAAATGAAGGAAAGCCAAAAGGGAGAAAGAGAGATTGTAATTCATATACTATAACATCAACAAAGTTTTTTTTTTTTTTTTTTTTTTATTAATTTTTTTTTTATTTTGTTTTTTTTTTATACTGTTAGCTTTCCATGCAAATCTTGTCTAATTATAAAAGGGCGTCTTTGGGAAGAAAAACCTATAAAATGAAATGATTTTGTCCGTCTTTAAGATTGTGTTATCATGGCTCGTGTTATAAATTCGTAAGGTTACAGGTTACTTCATTCATGTATTATTGTACTCTTTGCTAATGGCTAAGGTATATGCAACCTATGCTCGTGTAACCTACGTAGCATTTGGTTTAGAAAAAATGATGCTGCTTGGGTAATTCTCATAAAATTAACGCGAACTTTAGATATAAGCCCAAGAGCCATTCAATTATGAGTCGTTGATTATTAGAGTCTAAAGTCAAGATGGATTAAAAAAAAAAATACACGAAAACCACAGTATATAGTCTAGGGATAGTATTGGAACTTTATAGCTCTTACTTAGCCTTCTAACATGCTACTCCGTATTAGCCAAACCCAACATGCAACTCACACAATAGGCAGCACAAGGTGAGAGAATAGATGGCTAAACTAAAGTTTTTTTGGCCTTTTAAGAATTTACATGACTTAAAATGTTGTAATTGTTGTTATTGGGTAGAGTTGTTGATTTGGATCAACGGATTGGATTGAATTGACCCACAACGGTAGCACACTAACCTATTTATTGTTTACTATTATGTAAGAGAAAGAACATTAGTACGAAGATATTCTTCATCATGTGCTTCTTCATCATGTGCTTAACCCATATGATCCATTAGTCCATTACTCATCTTCGGTATGTTCCCTCCTGGATATGACTCGATCATTTGAACGTGCCACTCGAACACTCGATTGAATGAGTATGAGTATTATAGTGCTATTTTACCACCAAAAAGACATAAATTAATCTATCATCAACCCCCCCCCCCCCAGCATTTCTACAATGTCTTCACTCCTAGATTTTTGTTTTTTATCTTTCCGTTCATGCCACCATTGTCCATAATAATACTGCTATGGAAGCTCGACGAACATCCATAGTCACATGGAGGCACCTGCAATTCCAAACTAAAACGGTCCTTTCAAAATTTCCATCATGAATCGTCATTCTACTACAAAGGAATACTTTCACCACCTTAGGTTGACAACAATCGTGAGTAAAAACACCGGTAATAATGGGAGGCTAACTTTATATGTCAACCCCTTGAAAGATCGAGAGCATGATCAATATATATATTTGAGTATCTATATGTCGATCCCTCGAAAGATTTGGTCTCACAAGTCACAATCCCCCATGCTAAAATAAACCTACAACATGTCGACTCAACACAACTCTTTCTACTCCCTCCATTTTATTTAGTATTGTACTTTGACTTTTCTTCCCTCTTCACGTAATGGCTTTAACTTGACTCTTTCACTAATATATTAAAAGATTTTAAGTACTTGTATAATATGTTGTTGAATTGGTCACAATATATAATTTCGTAATATTAATTTTTTATTTTTTTACTAACATATTATTAGTGATATTAATGATCAAAAGCATATCTCTATCTCTGCATGCATACGTGGTTGATCAAAATGTAGACGGTACAAACTTTAAGAAACTGATGGAATTAAATGAGGTTCAATGTCAGTCAATAAATGACCTGAATGACCTTCTCAAGAGAAAGTTACATCAAATGTAAAAAAAAAAGGGGTACTTCAGATCAGCGGAAGAAAGTTACAATGCATCAGATTGAGGACATAAAGTTAGAAAAGCCTAAAAAGTAACCAAATCTCTAATTTGAGATTGTTACTGTGCGTTGATAAAGAGAGAGTGTGAAGGATTTTATCACACGCCACTCCAGATTGTGTTCATGCACAGATTAAACACACTTTTGTCAAAATATGATAATTTGGGTCAAGTGTATGTTAATTGCACTGTAGATCTGATTTGGCGGGGTGGTACCAATATATTTTGTCATTAGTACATGGGTTCATTTACTTGAATTACAACCCAGGGCCATTCAAGTGTTTGCTAGGGATCACAATGAACCAAGCGATACTCGAGCTAGACTTGGCTAGTTGGATCGACTGGAAAAACTATGACGCAAGCTCAAGCTTGAAACACCTTGCTCAATTCAGCTTGCAACAAGATTTGAGCTCCAGCCTAACTCAAGTGAAGTAATTACAAGCAATTTGCAAGTTTCTGCCTAAGAAATAGTATTAGCTTTGCTTGCAATTCCTAATGCTAAATGTATAATAATACAGTACTTAATTTGTAATTCCTCTACAAACATTTAGGAGATTTTCACTACGACAATTTGCTTAATGTTGAAATACAAGGATAATAGAAGATGCAATAAACAAAAGTTGGAATGCCCTTTTGAGCCAAGCACAATTTTGTTTGTTAGACAGACCTGTTATACCAAGTAAAGTTCAAGTTCAGGGCAAACCCATTCAAGTCAAACCTTGATAAGGATCAAACTAAAGTAACTGACGAGCAAGTTACCGCTAAGGCACTAATCACACTACACAAATAAATAGCTCAAAATGCTAAAAAGGATAACCATGAGAATAATTACTCATAAAGCAATCGTTGAATTACAATTAGATCATAGAATTTATACACAAGATTCATAGTAGGATCTAAAAACCCCAAAAGGCAGGTCCATCCACCCCAAAAAGATCAAAAGGGGAACACATAATTTGGGGGGGGGGGGGGGGGGTCAGTCTAAAATCTAAAAATTAAAAGGGTATATAACTGAAAATGACAGATGATATAAGGTGACCTAGTCAAATAAGCTTAATTATGATTCATTAAGCTTAAGCTTTTTATCAACAGGGTTGTTGTGTTGTTGTTGTTGTTGTTGTTGTAATTAAGCTTCTTCGAAGAGCCCTTAGAGAGATTAATTGGGTATTTAAGGGCATTAAGCTCAAGCTTTCTAAGGGCAGCTTTACCAAGATCAACCCCACAAATATCAGAGAGTCTTACAAGGTATAGTAGCACATCAGATAGCTCTTCTCCTAAATGTTGCTTCTCTTCTTCCTTCCAACCTGGTAATCCTCTTGGCACCTCCCCTTTCCATTGAAATATCTCAGATAGTTCTCCTACTTCCCCAACCTGTAAGAAAATCAATGTCAAAATTGATCAATAAGAGTAAGGCGAAATAGCTAACATGTTAGCTATCATTTTATCGAACAAACAAGTCTAATGTTACTTGTTTGACGGACAATTTTGTTGATTTATTAGGTGTTAGATTTAAATAGCAAACATGATTAACATCTTTTCTTGAAGTTAAAAGCATTTTAATCTTCCCACAATGTAGCTAAGACTTTTCTTCGATTGAACGAGCCCCACATCAATCAATTGTTCCTTGACTTGAATAAGGTATAAGTTTATCAATTTACTAGATGTTAGGATCACAAACATGATAATCATATTTTCTTGAAAAATTGAAGCATTTTAATCCTCCTAGCTAACATGTTTGCTATGGTACAAGGACCACAAGATTTAGCCATTTTCGGAGTTATTTGTATTTTACTTCAATTTTCCACCTTTCATCTTAAGAATCTAAAACCCAGAAAACCAATAATTCAAACTCAAATAGGCATTCAAAAAATCCTTGAAATACTAATGAAATTATTATTTCTCAAAAAAAAGGTTCTATTTTTAAAAGTGCAAAGAAAAACTCAAAAACCCAATAATTATTGTGACTAGAAAAAGTTTTTGGGTTTCCCAAAAAATTGCAAAAGTAACAAACTTTGCTGAAAGCTCCCCTTAAAAATACAAAAAATTGATGCTTATACAAAAGCAAATTATAATTCTACATTGAATAATTTATTAACAAAGCAAGAAACAAATATCACAATACAACCAAAAAAATAAGAGAAAACATATAAAATGGTTTAATTGGTAGAAATTTCTAGGGTTTAACATAAAATAAAATGGGGTTTAAGAAAATTACCAAAGCTAAAAGGAGATTTCTTGGGCTATGAAATTGATCCCAATCTCTTTCCTTAGCAAAATCCGCCATTTTTAACTTCAAATCTTCGAGACTGACACTGTTTTTCTCCTCACTTCCTTCCATCTTTCTCTCTCTACGGTTGGAGTTTTGAGTTTTGAGATTTTTGTTTTGGTTGTGCAAATCTTTGTACAAGTATTGTTTTTGTTTGAACCTTTTCAATATGTTGGTTTTGGGCTTTTTGTGGAGTGAGTAGACTTACTAACTTTCTAGTCAATGGCCAATTTCTTTTATTTGGCTACATTTAATAGATGAAGTCTGTGCAATTCACAATTTATTTGTATTTTTGTAAATAACTTTTTGTGTATTTATAAAATTTGTGAATTTCCATTCATTTGTTATATATTTAGATAAAATTCTTAATTTTAAAATATAATATATTAAATATAATTAATTTAAACTTTAAAATTTCATTCGCCAATTTTGCTTATTTGGCATTTGATTTATTTAATTCTAAAAGAATTTGTAAATCTCTTATTTGATTGGCTATCACTAAAATTTCTTATTCTACATGGCACGTTAAGAAATTTTTTTCCTACGTGCCTCTCTAAAAACTCGGAAAAAAACTCTCCTTTATATATATACTAGTACGTGCCTCGGGCGTTGCCCCGAATACCCCAATTTAAAGAGTGAACTTATTTGTGGGCATATTTTGTATTATTATTATTATAAGTATAATAATAACAATAATTAAAAATTGACATGAATATTATGACATTTGCCCGGTTTGCCATAAATAAAACCACCTTTTGATAATCCCCCAATAAAACAACCTTTGCACACAATCTTCCAAAAATGGGGCGAAACCGGTTGGTAACCTGTTTAATGGGTTAATATGACACGTGTCCCTTTGTAAGGTTAATTGCCTTTTTTTTCTTTTCTTTTTTTTTTTTTAACAATTTTCTTATTGAAAAAAAAAAATAATAAAAAATAATTTTTTTTAAAAAAAAATCACCCCCACGTCCCCTACCCCGTGAAACTCCCCATCTTATCCCCACGAATCACCGACGCCAACCACCGCCGATAAGAAATCAGACGAAATCCTCCACGCCGTTAGTCACCGTCACTAGCACATTCTTTCTCCTCCCTCCGCCACACTCTCCACTCACCCCCACCACCTTCCGCACAACTCACTTTCTCTCTCCTCACCACCACCACCTTCGGCTTTTGGAGGGGAATGTGGGGTTGTTGGATTTGGGAGGGGAAGGTGGTGAAACTCCAACTACTTCAAGATTCTCATAGCTCGAAACCCCTCGATTTAGCATAGGCGTAGGTTGGGCGAGGATGTCTAACGGTCTAGCAAGGGTTGGGTACCTCAAGATTGGGGTTGATTGGTTGCGCGGTTGCGCTAAGGGAATGAAAAGGAGGGGTTGGGTTGTTGTGTTGTGGGAGTGAAGGGGAGGGGGTTGGGTTGTTGCGTTACGGGAATGAAGGGGAGGGGGCTGGGTTGCGCGGCGGTGTTATGAAGGGAAGGAGGTGGCTGACCAGATTGCACCGTGGCAGGGGAAGGAGGGGGTGTTGAACAGGCTGAGATCAGAGAAGGGGAGGGAGGGGTTTTTTTTTCTTTTTTTAGTTAAGTTTTTTAAAATTTCATTTTAATTTTTAAAAGGAAATATGTTAAATTTAAAAATAAAAAATCCTAATCAATCACAACATGACACGTGTCCAACCTTTGAACAGGTTGCCAGTTTTTATCCTATTTTTGGAAGATCATATGCAAAGGTTGTTTTATTAGAGGATTATCAAAAGGTGGTTTTATTTATGGCGGACCGGTCAAAGGTCATAATATTCCTGTCAATTTTTCCTTATTATTATTAGTATTTAATTTTTTTTTAAATATTAGATATAAAATGAGAGTAGAAATACTATCTAATATTTTTTTTCACGTTTGTTATCATTTTCTGTTTTTATAAGTTGCACTATATTCACTTGGTCTACTACAACCAATGGTTGTGAATTATACACACACACACAGATATATATATATATATATATATATATATATATATATATATATATATATATATATATATATATATATATATATATATATATATATATATATATATTGTTTTCAAAGTTTTATGTCGACATATGTGTTAAATTTCAATGGGACGCTAAAATAATAGAGGGGGTATAATTTTGTGAAAAGAAGAGTGCGTTGGTAAAAAAATAAAATAAATAAGAAGTTAAAAGTAATTTTTTTTAACACGTAAAATCAACAGATTATATATTTTTATTATTGGCCAAATTGGACCATTTGTAATAATATATGGCTAGTAAATGGGCTATGGAGGCTTTGTAAAACCTGTAAAAAAAAAGACCTTGCTAACATTGATTTGAATTCATTTCAAGTTTATCTTGTATTATACAGTTTTTGTTGTGTCCTAATTTTAGTAGTTTTTGACTTCTTTGATTTCATTAACTAAACCACAAACATACACAAATATTACAACTAAATTTGAAGAATACCTTATTAAAAAGCTTTGATGGTAAATCAATAGTAGAAAAAAAAAATCAATGATACATGGTCATATTTTTAATTAAAATTACGTTGTTATTCGTATAGAAGTAAAATTCTATTGTGAATTGGATATTCATATTAATTATAATATGTGGTGTGTTGCTATAAATAAAATTATATTGTCAATAAAAAGATAAAAAAAATTTTAAAAAAATTTTAAATTATTTTATGTATACTTTTTTATCTTAAACAAATTTACCCAATTTAATCACAATAATATCTATTTGTCGCCTACGTGGCTCGCCACTTGACGAAAAACTAGAATGTCAAGTGTCGTTGTCTTGTGGCCTGACTGCGAGACCGACTTTAATTATTAGTGATATGATATTAGATTGTATAAAAGTTCTCTTGAGGAAAAAATATTGTATGAATGTGTATAAACATATGGAATACGAGAACTTCCTAGCAAGTACTTCCTTCGGTCCAGAATAATTAGGACACTTGACTTTATTATCAACTTTGACCATCGTTTATTGTTATTATATCACATCAAAATCTCAGTGAATACCAAGTTATTATTTTTTTATTTTTTTTATTTTTTTGAAAGAAGTTAGTGATTACCAATTTATAGTTGAATGCAATGGCAACTTCATTGTATTTATTTATTTATTATTTAAACAATTAGTTAGTCATATTGTGAAAAATATAAAATGGATTTAATAAGTTCAAATTAGCTTAAGTCCAAACAATGGTTAATAAGTTTTAATTAAAATAGTTCAGACAAATTCATATGATAAAGTTTATTAAGAGTAAGGTTCAATTGATAGCTTAAAAAAATTCCACTAAGAATCAAAAAGTTCAGTGAATTCAAATACGTGAAAAATTGAAAAGTAGCGGCACGCATTGTGATATTTGACAAAGTAAAGGAGGAGGAAGAACAAAGGTGTGGAAGTTCTCCTACACGATAAGAAAGTATCCTCAAAAATTCCTATTTGGCATATTTCTAGTTCACAATCTAACTTGACAAATTGGAAAGAAAGAGGCATATATATAACAATGCGTACTACTTATCGATTAGAGGAGGACTTGTCAACACGGCAACACATTACATATAGTGCACGACAATTGTAGTGGACGTACACATTACATATAGTTCACGGCAATAACAGTAGATGTACTATAACTAATCGGACTATTTTATGCTGAAATTAGCTTATTTTTACTTAACTAATTATTATCAAATTTAAACTATGTTCGCTAGATTATTTTAATAAGATTAACATTATCAAATTTAAACTATGTTCGCTAGATTTTATTTTAATAAGATTAACTAATTATTATCAAATTTAAACTATGTTCGCTAGATTTTATTTTAATAAGATGAACAGAACAAAACTAAGCATTACATTAGGCCTATCTTATTATCAAATTTAAACTATATTCGCTAGATTTTATTTTAATAAGATGAACAGAACAAAACTAAGCATTACATTAGGCCTATCTCCAAATTTAAGAGCAGACCACTTTCAAGAGGTCATATGGATTTTTTTTAGAGTAAAACCCATATCATGTTCATATCAATAGAAGTTATAGACACATGAAATTCTCCCCACTTAATTGCTTGAGTAGTAGCCAAACATAAATTAGTGATGCCAATGAAAACTAACAAGGAGTTCGTACCACAAGTATTATACTTTAATTTTATGTACGTACCCGTCCAAACATCACATTATCACACACAAAATTAAAGCACTAAATTGATACCGTAATCTACTTGCAAACATTTATAAGATGAAAACATAAAATTGCAAAACACACTGAAAAAAAGATATATCCGAACATACCAAGTTCACTAGCATACACACATGCGCATAAAAAGGTTGGTTTTATCTATGATAGTATGATCATCACTACCATTTTATGCTTAGACAAAAACTCTAGGAGTAGAATGAGCTCCAGCACCACCATGGCAGTCCACCTCACGTAGCTCCGTCCTTAGGCCTTTCCCTTCTGCATTCGCCAAGGGATGGATTCCGTGCTCCAACCCCTTCATGTATGCTCGATTTTCTCTCTCTTTTTCAAAGTTCACATTGTACTTCTTCTCCACATCTATGTTGAAATGCAAAATTAAGCACAAGAATTCAACAAGTGTATTGCATTTAGTTAGTTTGAAATCCTTATTTGGAAATTATATTTTCCTCAAGAATATTTTAGTATCAACAATGTACAATATCAAAACCTTAATCCCAAAATAACGACATAAGACCACCATTTTAATAATATATAGGCCAACGTCTAGCTACCAACATTTTTCCTTTTCAATAATCATTAAACTACGTGCTTTATTATTTTCATAAAAAAAAGCATAGGAAATTAGGAAGTAATTATTTATGATTTATGTGGATACCAGCTAGCTTAATTAATTATCGGTTAAAGTTTTAAAAATGTGTCAACCGACAACCATCAAATATTTTCTACATCATTACCCATACATCTAAAATAAATTACGAATTGATTATGAAACATGCAATCAACAACTCCAATCCGTAAGTTTTACCTGAAGCAAGATGAGTATAGAGTTGTCCGTCACGAGTTAAAGCCATCATAATTTGGGGTAGTCCTAAGGGGAGATTATCCCCGCGGTCAACCTGCCAAAAATGGATAGTCTTCCCATAAGTTTGAGCCACCTTAGCGAGGTCCGGGCGCTGCATAGCACCCGGAACCCCGGGTAAGAAGAGCACCCCACTTTTAACCTCGTACTCATGAGAATGCCAGAGCCGCTTCTCGGCATCAGGCAGCGTCATGAAGAGGTCCTCCGATACGATGTACTCGATACCGATCAGGCGGGCATCGGCCTCGGGGCTGTCATAGATTAAGCATTGACGCATTTCTTCGTTTTGGTGTCCGCAAAAGTGGTGCGCTTCTACTTGACGAGTCATGTCATTTCCGTAGAAGTGGAACCTGTGAAAAGGGCAATGTATTTAATTAAGCTCAAAAGTGAGAATTTGCATGCAAATAAATCAAATCTATAAAAAAAATTTACATCCATGATTTTGATAAATACTTTAATTTGTAGGTTGTTTAATGAATTTAAGTTTATTCATACTTTATTATCAACACATATGTTGATTTCGAAGCTGAAAATTATATAATAACGTGAGACGATCTTGTCAAACTCATTTCGGGTTCTAAATATCAAATTTTTAGAATTTTTAATTGAAGATAAGTAAAGATATTCACAATCAAAATTATAATCATTAAACTTCAAATTGTCCCATGTTAAACAAAAATCGAAAACTATCTATTAAAACCAAGATTTTGTGAGAACTAACTTAATCAAAAAAATGTGGTAAGAAACTACCTATAAAAGGTAAATGTCGTAAAATACTACCTATGTCTAATCTGGATTTCCACTGTCGACCTAATTTTTCGACGTTGATCCACCTCAAAACACCCCCAAAACCAACACAAAGGTTGGTTTTCAAGGTGGTAAGACTATTTTCGGGGTGGTTGAGAGATATTCCGAGTTGGTGGAGTAGTTTCGAGCTACGAGATAGTAGTGTTAGGGTGTTTTGAGGTGGGTCAACGACAAAATTCAAGTCAATAGTAAAATCCGGCCTATTTTACAACATTTTACTTTTTATTAGGTAGTATCTTGCAACATTTTACTTTTTATTAGGTAGTATCTTACAACATTTATTTTATTAGATAATTTTTCACAAAATCTTGATTTTAATCGGTAGTATCTGACAAAATATCCAAAAATAAATAAAAATATTACAAAAATAATAGATTAGAGAAAAAATTACGCGCAAAGATGCTGGTGGATGGCGTTTATAGGGCCAAACTTCTGAACCGCGGCAGTGGCGGTCTCGAGCATGGTGGTGCTGGTCTTAGTCGGCTCACCGGGAACTAGAGGATGAGTTGCCATCTTGTATGGTTGTATTTTTTATTTCCTCACACTTGTATATTTTTGATCAACTTATTATTGTACGTGTTAGTTCTTGTTCAACGGCAAAACTATAGTAAGGTGTTTATATTTTTGGGAAAATAGGATGTATTCAACACTTGGGTTTTCATGCAACATTACACGTACATGCTTAAGAGGAGATCTAGATATAACGTGGCTTTGCCTTATTTAAAGTTTTTTGTCTTTGGGAATTTGCCATTTCTTTAGGATCTGCCACCCATATGCTCTTATGACTTAGCCAAAGCTTACCCGTTTCGAATTAATAATATCGCATATACTCTTTTCGTCTTTTAATGTTTGCTATTTAATTTTTTGATATTTGACCACATATTTTGATTATCTATAAGAAAACATGTTTCAATTGATCTTGTTAGTTTTATTGTAGGAGGAGCATGTAGTTTCATAAGATCTACTTTATTCTTTTTTACTTGACCTGTTTCTTTTATCACGCTTGTCAATGCAAAATTTCAACGATCAATAACTTTAATTATCCATAAATAAAAATTATATAAGTTATATATTATGATAGTACTTATTGAGACGAATTCAAAAAGATCCAACATGAATTTGTTTTTTCTTACGTATTATTCATAAAAGACGATCAAAAGAGTGGTAAATAGTGTAAAAGTCAAAGCGGGTCAAGTAAAACAGAACAAAGGAAGTATATTTTTTATAACTATACTCCAAATACTGCGTTAAATCATATAGTTTAAGATAGTAACGATCAAATGTATTTCTTGAAAATCCTAAAAAATTAAATTAAGAATAGACGAAAACTTTTCTACAAAATCCACCATAAATAAAAAAAAATGTTAGTAGCTATGTACTTCGTATTATGTTACCTTTGGTTGGGCCTTTAATTGGAGATTTGAAGCCCAATTTATTGGGCCAGTTATGGACTTTGTTGAAGTAACACCAACTAGCCTGGCCCAACCCAACTCACTTATCATTTCATCAAGCACTGTAAAACTTAATAGGTACGGAGTACTTGGTAGTTGGTACCGTAATATACTGGAGTAATATGACGTACAATAGGAGACAAATCGGACAACAACACAAAACCTTGAAGAAGAATTCTGAAGAAAGAGTGAGATCTTTCTCTACTTAGATCTTTCAAAGCACTTCCAAGCTTTTCTTCAAACTTGTACTTTGTATATTTTACCCGTAAGTTTCAAATTGGTTTTGGTTCCAATTCAGGGTAACTGGAATTTTTGCTCACCCCTAGTAGCAACAACTTTAGGTGCATAAGATTTAATGAAAATTGGTGTTGTAATTTAATTTATTGACTTTTAAGTTAGAGGAAATTATATACGAGTAAATAGTATAAGTTGAGCAGTAGATACATGGAGTTCTACGACTCTCATCTCTACCAAGTCATATGTAAATGAAAGTATTCCATACTAGGAAACAACACTTAATGTATTATTCAAGACCAAAAACTAGTTACAGAACGTTTTACCAAATTGAGCTTTAAACGGAAACTATTGACAAAAATGGTAGCGTGGAAAAACTATTTACCAAACTAAGCTTCCAGGGTAAATCGCTGTCTCGGACAGCGTTTTACCTTCTGTATTTTTTTAAAAAAAAAATTCAACTGGTAAACGCTGTCCCAGACAGCGTTTTACCTTCTGTATTTTTTTAAATTCAGTAGGGCATAAAACGCTGTCTCGGACAGCGTTTTATCCTTGGGTTTTTTTTAAAAAAAATTCAATGGGTAAAACGCTGTCCGAGACAGCGTTTTATTCCCTGTTTTTTTTTTTAAATGAAACGCTGTCCGGGACAGCGTTTCATGGCCATATATCAGCATGTTCACTTCAGCAGAATGCGCAAGAACTCAACCTCAACCTCAACGCTTTCCCTCCTCCCTCTCACACTAAACCACGACCGTACTCAAACACCCGCATTGCCGCCGCCGCCCACCCTTGCGCCACCGCTGCTGCCGCCACCTTGCTGCTGCCCTCCTCCCTCTCACACTCACTCACTCAATTTCGTGGTTAGCCCTAAACTGAATTTAGTGTAATTGCATAGTTATTGTGGTTAATTATTGTGAATTGTATGTAATTGCTCTTACTTGTTGTTAATTCATGTCAATTGCATGTAATTGTTGCTAATTATTAATGAAAATGTGGTACATTGTTGATAATTATTGATGGTGATGTGGTACATTGTTATTGAAATTGTTCATGACATTGGTGAAGTTGATGATGGTGAAAATGTTGAAGTTGTTAATGGTTGAAATTGGTGAGAAGAGATGAAATTGTTGAAATTATTGAAATAGTTTAGGTTGAAATTGTTGAAATAATTCAAATTGTTCATGAAATTGTTGAAATTGGTGAAGTTGTTGAAAGTGAAGTTGTTATAGGTGAGAAGAGTCTTATTTCAGTGTTGATAATTTACCTCGCTCTAGATTTCGATAATCCTAAAATGTGTTTTGGTTATGTAGAATATGGCGTCACAAAATGTAGTTTTGTTATGCCGGTGGGGAGGAGAAATTCTGTTTGATGGACCCCGGGTCGAGTATAGTGGGGGAAATATGGAACCACTAACACTAGAACCGAACATGACTATGAATGATTTGATGAATGAGGTTCATAGTAGTATTGGTTCAGACCCGATGACCGTTGACGTACACATTAAAATGAGGTTTGAGACCGGCAATGGGGTTCAAGTGTTACCGGTTTCTACGAATAAGCATGTGACAGCTCTAAGGAACGTTGTTGCAATGAAGGGTGTTCCCACTGAAATATATGTGGAAACGGTGCCTATATGTACCCAACAAAGTACTCGGCCAGAACAATTGCATAGTTATTCGCCTACGCAAGATGATGGTCAGGCTTCACCGTCTCAGCATGCGCCGAATCATCTTGAAGATATTGTGAATAACGAACTTTCTGTGTATGATGTGTACACAAATGATGAGGCCGATAGCGGAGAGGAGGAAGATGGACTTCAGAACATGGATGTAGAACCTGCTCGGATGGAAGTGGGCGAGCCCCTGGTTAGAACTCCCATTCCTTGGTTCAGTCAGGTGAACGAGAACTACGAAGTTGATCAGGATTGGGCCGAATCGGGTAGTCATACGTCGTTTGTTCCGGGGGGGGAATTTGAGAAGGGGATGTGGTTCGAAAGTAAGAAAGTGCTCCAAGAAATGGTGAAGATGTATTCCATACAGAGGAATCAGTTCTACACCACAATTACATCGAATGAGAGTGTGCTTCATTTGCGGTGCAAGAAAAAATGTGGTTGGATGCTACGGGGTACCAAATCTAGTAAGCACTCGCGTGGCTTTGCCCTAGTCACATACAAAGGCCCGCACCGGGAGAACTGTGTCACGGAAGTATTGTCCACTGATCACCCGCATTTGGATTCGTCGTTAATATCAGATTTTGTGAAGTCCTTTGTTCGGAAAGATCCGTCTTTGAAAGTTGAATTCATACAAGAACTCATCTCCAAGCAATTTCATTTCGATGTCCCGTACCGGAGGGCATGGTATGCAAAGGGGAAAGCAATAGCTGATATTTACGGTGATTGGGAGAGTTCTTACGGCAGACTTCCGCACTTCATGCAAGCCCTCCAACAGTCAAACCCGGGAACGTGTGTTGTGTGGAAGTACAAAGCGTTGGTTGACGGTGTTTACTACAGCAACATGGAAGTGTTTGAAAGAGTGTTTTGGGCGTTTGGCCCTTGTATCGACGGTTTTAAACATTGTATGTCAGTTATCTGTATCGATGGGACGCACTTGTACGGGAAGTACAAAGGAACACTGTTGGTTGCTACAAGTGTTGATGCAAACTTCCAAGTATTTCCTCTAGCATTTGCGTTGGTTGAGGGGGAAAACACCTCCAGCTGGTCTTGGTTCCTGGGTTGCATTCGGGTTCATGTCACTCAACGAGATGGCCTTTGTGTTATATCTGACCGACATCCTGGGATCATTGCAGCAATGACTGATCCGAACGTTGGATTTACCGAGCCGCGAGCCTATCACAGATTTTGTGTTCGCCACATAGCTTCTGACTTGAAGACTCACGTGCGACGAAACGACATGAGAGATATGTTCAAGGCTACGGCGTACCAAAGGCAGGAAAGAAAACTACACGGCGATCTGTGTTTCATTAGTGAGGCGTGTAACAAGGCAATTGAGTACATTGTTCAAATTCCGTTCACCATGTGGTCCCTCTTTCACGACGCTGGACGTAGATACGGGATTTGCACTACTAACTTCTCTGAGACATTCAACAACGTGTTGAAGGGAGCACGGTTTCTACCGATCATGTCCCTAGTCGAGTTAACTTTTCATAGAGTTAACAAATATTTCACTTTGAGAAGGGAGTCTTCTGAGGCAAGATTTGAACAGGGACTTGCATACCCCCCCAAGGTCACTGCCATTCTAGAGAAGAACACCGCAAAAGCCAGATATCACAGAGTGGATGCGTATAACCGTCGATTGCATATTTACCAAGTTACAACAGAAAGGGGAGACCGACTTGGTAGTAAAGGAGGCCATAAACATACTGTTAACTTTCAGTTAAGAACGTGTACCTGCAACAAACCTACGATATTTCACCTCCCATGTTCTCACGTTCTAGCCGTATGTGCAACGTACTCACTATCAGAGCGGCCGTGGGTTGACCCGGTGCTGCAATCGGAGGCATACACGAGCACATACGCGCCGCAATTCTGGCCAATCCCTTGCGAGACAACCTGGACGCCCTATAACGGTCCCAGAATCATTCCCGACGGGAGCATGTTGCGTGGAATAGGGCGACCAAGGTCAAAGCGCATACGTAATGAAATGGATGAGACTAACCGGCCCGCGAGCAAATGTAGTCGTTGTCACGTTCAGGGCCATAACCGGGCAACGTGTCCATCGAGACCCTCAGAGGACCCATGACTATTAACTGAAATTCGTTGTAATCGTAGATGGAGGAATTATTTTGTAATAGAAAATTTTGATTTAATAACATTTGGAACATTTTGATTTAATAACATTTGGAACATTTGATCGTTAACATTTTGGTTAATTGCTAATGCGTTAACTCTGTTGGGATTGCAGCATGCAAGCTGTTTGCTGAAGCTGTTGGAGGACTGCAGCATGCAAGCTGTTTGCTGAAGCTTGTTTTCTGCCTGGATGCTGGTTGCTGTTTCCAGCAGAAAAGCGCTGTCTGAGACAGCGCTTTATGTTCAAGCATAACGCGCTGTCTGAGACAGCGTTTTATGTTCAAGCATAACGCGCTGTCTGAGACAACGTTTTATGTTCAAGCATAAAGCGCTGTCTGAGACAGCGCTTTATGTTGAACATATAAAATAGTTGTAGTTGAATTTTTTTTTTTAAAAAAACCCAAGGATAAAACGCTGTCCGAGACAGCGTTTTATGCCCTACTGAATTTAAAAAAATACAGAAGGTAAAACGCTGTCCGAGACAGCGATTTACCCTGGAAGCTTAGTTTGGTAAATAGTTTTGCCACGCTACCATTTTTGTCAATAGTTTCCGTTTAAAGCTCAATTTGGTAAAACGTTCCTAGTTACAAGTACAAATTAGTAAATCACACAAACAAAAAGATCATATGAAGTATGAGCATATTTTCCTGGGAAAAATTTACAAAACTTAACCTCTCAAAACGTTGTCCAAGTCCAAAAATTAGGTACGAATATAGTGTACTAAACTTTAAAAATGATGTCCATGCACGACCCATGACTCACCAACATACCTCTCGTAACCACCCCTTATGCTAACGAGTACTCGTATAAATTGTATAAAGTATAAACCTATAAATCACCGAGAAATCAAAGAAGATCATATGAAAGTATAAGAATTTAAAATTGTCTTTTTAGGTGAGAACAAAACTTAATTACGAATGAATTCTAACCGTCGGTATAATCTAGATCTGACGTGTCATCGATCTTCCTTCTATGTTTTCATTTCTTCACCCTCTCCTCTGGAGCAGTTCACTTTTACGCTGCACCTCTCTCTCTCCTCCATTGAAGCGTACTCCGAGTTCTCCATTGAAGCGGTTTCTGAGCTTTCTCTCCTCCATTGATGCAGTTTCTGAGGTTAGATGTTTTTTCCATTTTAATTTTATCATCGAATATCAATTTCACAATCTAGGGTTTAGTTTCGTACTGTCGTTGATATTTTTTGTCAGTAAAATCAATTTAGGGTTCTTCTAAGGTGGATTATTAAACTTCTGATTACAGTTACTGAAGTTTTGAAGGATTATAACGAGTGATTTTGTTGCTTGAATTTTGCTGTGTGCAAATTTACGTTGAATTCTTGAACGAGAAGATGTTTTTTATGTGATTCGAGTCTAATTTGAAATTGAGTCAAATTTACGTTGCTAATGTGTTGCATTTTTCGAGGCGAATCGAGTCTAAGAGCCGAGCCTTCTTGAGTCTATTAGAGCCCCTGCCAAGCTTGGGTTTTGAGGCTTGTTGAGCTCAAGGCTAAATCCGATTAAGCTCGAGCCGAGCCTAATGTCCGGGGCCTTTTTTCAGTGGTCCGGTGGGTTGGCTTGGATTACTTAGTGTTGCGTGCCCGCCCCTCATGGCCTGGTTCAGGGATGGGCATGCATGATTTGAATTGGCTAGATCGTTGGATGTTTTTTTTAAAATGAGGGTGTTTTATTTTTGTTGTTATTGTTGATTCAGTTAGAGATTCGCGGTAGTTTTGGCAACTATGGCTTCCAAAGGTCCAAGGTCTAAACTTGATCACGAGTCAAGAGCTCGACGTCAAAAGGTTAGATAATTTTTATTCGTTGTTCAGTTTCAAGAGTTTCTGTTAATTAAAGTCTTATGTTGCAATACTTGTAGATGCAGATAATCTATATTAGGTTTTATTTTATAAACATAACTTTGGAGTAGTTGTTGTATATTGGAACTATAACGGAAAACATGCACGAATTACGCTCCATTTATTTGATTTTTAGGATCTATCATTTGATGAACTTTATTTACAGTTACATGTGCAAAATAACCTATATTTGAAGAAGGCAAGTTCAAATTCCACTTCTAGATACTGATCTGCTGGTTGTTACACGCATGAAAGTATTACAAAATGTGCTAATATGTGCATAATAACCTATGTTTGTAGAAGGCAAGTTCAAATTCCACTTGTAGATACTGATCTGCTGGTTGTTGCATGCATGAAGTATTACAAAATGTGCTAATAAGATAGGATAGTCTGAGCTTGATACATACTGATCATAATCCAACTGCTTTCCTGCTAACATAGGGGAGTAATACAAGGGAGGTACTTGGGGATTGCTTAACTGTAAAAGTTAGTTCCATTACTGGAAGTCATTCTGGCTAGCTAAGACACCTGAAGTGTTTGACTGAATAAAGCTCTTTATTATTTAGCAAGAGGATACTTAACGTTTAGTCGTTTACAATATGTTCCATAGAGCTGCCATGACATATTGCTCGATAATTTGTATTTACAACATTCTTCAATAATTCCATGGAGGCACCATATGATTTTAAAAATTGTTTCACTTAGCATGTGATAGTTATTTTAGTTTTAATTAATTAATTAATTAATTAATTAGTCTTTTTTCACTTAGCATGTGATAGTTATTTTAGTTTTAATTAATTAGTCTATTACAGACTAGGCTTTAATTCCAGCTATATAATAAGATTAATTATTTTCTTATAATGTTACTGCATTGATACCATGCTAAAAGGAATTATTAGCTGTGCCTTCATTACTAATTAAATCAAGAGTATCATAACTTTAGAATACATTATCCTTGTCTCCCGCAAACCATGCTAAATGTCAGCTAAACCATGGGTTATGTGTGATTTTGTTGCTTAAGTGTGCCTTGCCATCGGATAAAACTAGTTCCAGACTCATCAATATATGGCATTACCTTTAATCTTCTGCTATAATATGCTTTGTAACATTACTTGCTATGCTGCTACTATTTCGTGCAGGCACTTGAAGCACCTAGAGAACCTCGCCGCCCAAAAACACATTGGGATCATGTTTTGGAGGAGATGATTTGGCTATCAAAGGTCAGCAGCTGTCTTTGTGTGCTGTAATTGCTTTTGTTTTGAAGTGTTCTTCAGCTTTGAAAATTTAGAGACAGTGTGTCAAGCCAACCCAAATTTAATGATGACTGCTTTTTATTGATACCATTATGGCAGGACTTTGAGGCAGAGCGGAAATGGAAGTTAGCACAGGCAAAAAAAGTAGCTTTACGAGCAAGCAGGGGCATGCTGGATCCGGTTACAAGGGAAGAAAAGAGAATGAAGGTTTAGCTCATCAACTTTCTATGTAGTTGACAAAAGATTATTATCCACATGCACAAGCACGAATGTAAATTGTTTGAATATATTTGTTGTTGCGTGACACTAAGTGAAACAATTTACTCTACTACCTTATGCCAATTAAGACGATCTTTCCTGTTGGCGCATTCTGTTGTACATATCTGCCAATATTCTTTATTTATTTTCTTTCTTGATTTTCTCTTTTATGCTGGTCATTGTTACTGAAACAGGAAGAAGAGCAGCGAATGAGAAAAGTTGCACTCAATATATCAAAGGATGTCAAAAAATTCTGGACTAAAATAGAGAAGCTGGCAAGTTATAAAATATGTTGAATTGGTATTTTCTCTTGGGATAGTTGATGTATGAAGCTCTCTAAATTCACATCTGCTCTGAAAATCACTTGTGCAGGTGCACTATAAGCATCAGTTAGAGCTAGATTGTAAAAAGAAGGCGGCACTTGACAAGCAGTTGGAGTATCTTTTAGATCAGACTGAAAGGTGGTCTCGAAATGACCTTTGCATGACCTTTGTTGTCTTTTTTTGGTCTCCATATGTAAAGATTATATGGTGTTACAGTTGAGCATGTGGAATGATGAGGAATGAACAACTTGGTGGAATTCACAGGTATTCAACTATGCTGGCAGAGAATCTCTTGGGCACGTCAAACACCTGTCCTTCAGGACAGACATCAATTCAGGAGAATACTAGTTACTCTCAGCAGAAAGAGAATGATGAAGAAAAAGTGGATGAAGGATCTATGGAATTGCTTGCTGGTAAGTGGCAATGTGGCATATTTTGCTTGTTTTACTTGCAAAGAAGAATGCCTTAATATATTGGTGATGATTCATTTTCTTCAGAGGCTAAATCAGATACAGAGATTAAAGTGGATGCAATGGATGCTGATGATGATTATGATGTGTCATCTGAGGATGAAGCGGTGAGTTTACAACTCTTCGACTGTTGCCTGATATAGTTTTCTTAAGGTTTTCATTGTTTTGGAGATCCTGTCATCAAAATTGAATTGATGAGAATCAATGTGCTGTTATCAATCTTAGTTGGAAATTTAATGTTCTTCGAGAGGGTATCTTTATTAGTAAGAGCCCTAAGAGGTCTTGCTCCCTGTGCTACATAATAAGTAGAGTTTATGCACTTGGTAGTGACTTAACCTGGATTAGACGCTTTTTATTGCTATTGAATGTTAGATGTGTAACAAGATGAAATAGTGTATGTAGTTTAGAATTGAGTGGTAAAACTTAATCTCAAAATTGAGCAGGCTTAGCGGACCAGAAGGAAAAATAAGCTCTTGTGTTTCAGTTAGGAAAGTGAATGTAGCTCCAAAACTTTATTGTGAGTTGTTCAGCTGAATTTTGTTCTTATTAGATTTAATCCTGTGCAACACTTGCTCTTATCTTAATTAATGTGATTAATTATGTGCGTGACTAGATCCTTCGGTTTTTTGCTAGCCTTCAGCTTGCTTCTGATATTCCTCCTTCCTCTCAGTCTTTTGGGCCTAGGGCCTAATCTATTTCCATAGTCACAGAGGTGGTCTGATCCCACTTGGCTATTTACTTTAATTATGAATTATCCCCATGTTGATGGCATGTCCATTGTACTCGTATCTTCAAATTTTTTCAAGCAATGCCTCTCCCTTGTTTGTGGTCATGTACTTATCTTCCATGATGTGATCTAGGAAGATGACGAGCAGACTATTGAGGAAGATGAAGCTCTGATAACCGAGGAAGAGAGATTAGAAGAGTTGGTTGCCCTACAGAATGAAGTAGACTTGCCACTTGAGGAGCTACTCAAACGCTATTCAGTGAGTGAAGGTAATCTACTGTAAAAGTTGTGATGTCTTGTTTGGGCATTCTCAATTTTGTTGTGTCTGCATTATTAGAGTGAACTATTGTTGATGCTATCCCTTGTTTTAGCTAATGAAGAAAGTAGTGCTGAGGTCTCTCCTATTGTAACAGGGAACAATGATGAGGTTGGCCCTGCTCAGGGTAAGTTAACATCTCGTCTTGTATGCATTTCATACTAAAATACTGAATTTTCCTTAAAAAATATTTATGTTTAGGCTCCCTTCATTTCTATCACTTTTTCCCCCCCAGTTACCTACATCATTAATTTCTTTTATTTTGTTTGTTTGTGCATCTTCCATGGTTTGCTTGATTTTAGTCAATGGAGAACATTATCCAGATGGACGTCAAGTTTCTGTTGAAAGCCCTGACGAGGCTGGTCCAGGTAAGAGTGTGATCCGTGAACTGACCATGTTTCTCTTAGTTTTGGATGTTACTAATTCTCAACAAGAGAAAGCTCTTGGAGTTTATGAGTAATCTGTAAAGCCTTTGATATTTGGTTTTTGACTTGCTACAGGTGATGGAACTGATTTTCTTGCTGAAGCTAAGGTAGATGCTGACTGCTCATCAGAGTTCACTAGTTGTCGTTGTGTAAGTTGTATGTGTTTTTATGTTGTTCTTTTGTTATGAAGGTTTAGAGACCTGTGTGATCCAAAATTTTTGTTTCCAGGAAAAACGCAATGGCCATGTATCTGAAGTTGAGGTCTGTTCGCCCAAAAATTCACCTGATGGCACAACTACTTCTGATTTTGTAGATAGGGAGTATGATTCTGATGATGACCTGGTATGTAGATTCTTAGATGTAGTTGACTTGTATCTTCTTTTATTCCTTTGGATGAGTGAAATTGGCGACTTACATAGTTGATTTTGTTCTATGTTCCAATCTTGTTGGTTTGAATATTTGCTCAATATATGTTGTTTGTATTAACAAAATAAGAAACATGTATTCATCTAAGGGACACACTTACATTAGTATTGTGCTAGTTGGCCAGGAAAGTTGTATGTTTTAAAGACTCACCAGGTGGAGCTGAAAGAGAGATGGGAATTTGCAGGCTGGTTGAATTTGCAAAGGATTAGGGGTTAGAGTGCCAGCCAATAGGCTTGTGGAGATGGATCAGGAATTATAAGACTGATTGAATTTACATCGAATTGTGTTTGTCCAGGAAAGCTGATGTATGTTTTAATGATTCACAAGATCGAGCTGAACAATAGACAGAAGTTGCAGGCTAGATATATTAACAAGGGTTTAGGGGTGGGAGTATTGACCAGTAGCTTATGGAACTGGAGCAGGAAGTATAAGAATCCTCTCCCATAAATAAACAAAAAAGGGAAAGATTGAAAAATAGATTGAATGCCTATCTTGTTAAAATTCTGAATTTAGTTAGCTTAGAATAATGTGAAAAATGTACTATGCCATACAAAAGAATAACAACCACCCAGTGTCAAGTAGTCCAGGAGAAGTAGAGTATAATGAACTCCGGATGTACGAAGCCTTGTCCAGTTGCCTCTATGATGTAAGAAGTCATGTGAAATGGGGCTTTTGTAGTCTGAAGATAGCTGCATCTATTGCGCGTCTTCTGATTGACTTTGAGTGTTTGGGTAGTTTTTGTCGGATAAACTACTCATATTGGTGGTTTAGATCAGATGCTTAATGTTTGTTTGCATATATTCTGCTGCTTTCTTTTACCTTATTTCCCTTGTTCATGAAGCTTTGCTGATGTGTTCTGCACTGTCCAGGCAGATGACGAGTTTATCATTGCCACTGGAGAAGAGAAGGTATTGCTCTATGTAACTTTGCTAATGTGTGACAAGTAAGGCGTTGTAAGCTGGTCCATGTTTACTTCACATTTGGCTTTGTCAACTGGAAATATGCTATTTAGTTTTATGTTGGAATCTTTGCGATTGAACATGGATTAGTTTGCACCGTCTTCATATGCAACAAAAGTTATTTACAAGTAATATGGAAAACTATGTTCCAATACTCAATGCTCTTTCACTGATCTCATAATGTACTTTATTTCTAAATCCCTAATCAGCTTTATTTTTTTTTACCCCCCTTTTTAAATTCATTTTTGGCTCTAATTCAGTATTTTGATTTGCATACATGTAAAACAATCTGGACTGGCTCTGGCGTGATAGGTTCTAGTCTAAAATGAATGAATGAGTAAATCTTTGGGTTGTCATTTTTCTGGTAGAATCTTTTAGACAAGTTTTGATTGTATGCTTCAACAAAGGAACTTGGTTGCAGTTTCCATGAATTGTGGTGATTTTTGATTGTTGAAGAGAGAATGGAATGGAAAGAGTCTAAATCAGGAAAGTAGAGGGAGTGATTTTTGAATTGGGGCAGTGAAAAATTTAATTCATATTTAATAGCTGAAAGTTACCAAATTACCAATTTGATGAATTTGATGAGGAAATAAACTTAAAGAAATGAGTTAAGAGCTACTATATCCATCTATTTTGTCAGTTGCAACCATAATAATTGCCAAGGATCTGACCACTCCTGCTTACAAAGTTACAAGTATAGGGAGGCTAGGATGTGTATAACCACAAGATGATGATTAGGGAGGATTTGGTGGTACCCTTTGAAAGGAAGAACTTAAAGGTTTTTTAGGTTGTAATTACTTGATTTATTTCTTGATAGACAGATAGGTCAAGGTATTAAGTTCTGGGCGATATTGATGTATCTTGATTTGTACCTAATTACTTCTTGATAAACAGATAGGTCAAGGGCGTAAGTTTTCTAAGTTGTTAACCTTCCTTTTGTAAATGGGTGACACCCTGCTGGTATGTTTTGGATATATCTCCTTTTCATAATTAGAAAGGTTATAATGAAGACATGTCTGCTGCTGTGTGCTTTTTGTTTGATTGAGGATGGAGGAGATGATAATTTGTTGGAGAAACTCACTTCTGCCGTTTTCTTTGGAGACAAGAGAATAAAAAAGGGGGGGTGGGGGGGTGGGGTGGGGTACAGCTGGTAGAGGGAGAAGGAGGTGTGTTTGTTTTTTTTTTATTTTTTTTTTATTGTGGGGGGTAGGGGGTGAATTGATTTGTTTCAATTTTAATTCGTAAAATGCAGTGGCTCTTTTATCTTTTAGATTACGGTGCTTTAGTTTGATGGTAGTTATGGATTTCTCTCTTAACTAAGTTGTTATTACTGTTTATATATGGGTGTCATCTGTATATTGGTTTAGTGTTGTTCAAATAGGATTACCCTGTCCTTTTGTGATTTGTGACTATGCTTATTGATCTAATCTAAAGTTTTTGGATCGACTTTACTAGCTTCTCTTCTAGTTTTCTGAGGAGACTTGTCTACATATGACAGGAGTAAAGGACTGCTATATAAGTGGTTAGTGTGGTGTGAATAGAGAAAAATGGATGTGCTATAATTTGTTCAATAACACACCTATATTAAAGCCACTGCCTTAAATAGCTGCTGGTGATGAAGAATATCATCAAAATGGCATAGTGTTCATGTATTGTTATGGTTCACGTTACTGGTAGCCTCGAAACAACAAAATGACAAATTTTATTGTAATGATATCCAATGCATTTACGTAGGAAGTGATGGACTTATTGAAAAATTTAGGGAGTTACATGTAAAGGGGTAAATGTTCCTAGTGTATCTATTATTCTTTTTGGTGGGTTTGGAATTGATCATATTTATCCATTCTATGTATCTTCCCACTTATAATGGCCAGTGAAGGTATCATTGATTCACATGTCCTCTCTGGATGTGGTAATTGGATAATGGGGAAAGAGAGGAATGAGATAGGTAGACAGATCTGACATACTCTCACCTGTAGGTTCACCCAGCTGCCACCACCCTAAAGTTTGCAGATCACCTCCATAACTTTCCTTAAGCTGTCATTGCTTATTGTCCATGGTGATTGCTTGCATCACTGACCTCTTATTTTTATGCTGAAAATAGATTTGAGTGACTAGCTCTAATAGAAGCCCTGTTTAGGGTGAGGGAAAGGAAGAGGAAATGGGGTGGTTACCGGTGTCTTAGGGACAATGAGCCTTATGTAGGTGTTGGAAAATGACTTGAGCTATTAAGTTGATGTTATCAATGGTTGAAATTGCGGCAAGGAGGGGGTGGTAAGGAGATCCTTGGGGATGGGGCTGTTAAAATACTTAGAAAATATTGATTATCCTTATATGTGGGGGAGTAGATCACCTGTTTGTTCAATTTATTACCCTCAATTGGTCAATCCACCCTTAAATATTTCCAGAGTTTCTTACTCCTTTGATTATTTTGCTCCTCCATCCCTTGATCAAGGTACCCCTTAAGTCTCCGACATAGCTTGTCTATTTAAGTTTTGATGTCTTATGGCATATTCCTCAAGAGATATCACTTCTATATCTATGCTCTTGTCCTGGTTGCCACGTGTTATAAATAACCTTAGATATTATGCAGTTCTTCTGCTTGTATGTGGCTATAATACTGATTTGTATTGCTAGGATGATGAGACAACCTTGGTTGAGGAGGAGGAGTTGGCAAAAGCAGAGCTTAAAACGCCTGAAGATGAGGTATGCCCAATTGATTGCAAGCTTAGGTTTTTTTTTTTTTTTTTTTTTTTTTTTTTTTTTTTTTTTGTAATTGTTGTCTATGAAGCTTTTTTATGTTAATGTTTTCTTGGTGTGTGTGTTGGTGTTGGGCAGATTGCATTATTGCAGAAAGAAAGCGAGATTTCCTTGGAAGAATTGTTTGCAAGATATAAAATGGTTGGTTAGATATCCTATGTGCTTTTCTCACTCCAGTGACATGGTACACATGTTATATTTATCTTTGAATCATTGTGCTTCGTCTATCAGAATTCGTCCGAGGCTGGCTCTGCTGACAGTGAATCGGATTATTGTTCTGCTCACTCTGACATAGATAGTCATCCAGCTGTGGAAGTGTCTGACAAGGAAGCCCAAGATATATCTGTAGCTGAAGATGACTCTGGGGAGATTAAAACAATTTCACCTGTCCCTGATGAAGAAGTTGTTGCTGGTCATGTGATGAATTCTGAAGAGGAGAGTCAAAGAGAAGCTAGAATTGCTGATGCAGCCGCCGCTGCCAGGTCTGCACAACCAACAGGAAATACTTTCTCCACAACTAGTGTACTGACAAAGTTCCCCTTTCTTATTAAACACCCTCTTCGTGAGTATCAGCATATTGGGCTTGACTGGCTTGTTACCATGTATGAGAAAAGACTCAATGGTATTCTTGCTGATGAGATGGGTCTAGGAAAGACAATTATGACGATTGCATTGCTTGCCCACCTGGCTTGTGAGAAGGGGATATGGGGGCCTCATCTCATTGTGGTACCAACCAGTGTCATGCTTAACTGGGAAACTGAATTTATGAAGTGGTGCCCTGCATTTAAGATCTTAACTTACTTTGGGAGTGCAAAAGAGCGCAAATATAAGAGGCAAGGTTGGATGAAACCCAACTCTTTTCATGTGTGCATCACTACTTACAGACTTGTTATCCAAGATTCAAAAATTTTCAAACGCAAGAAGTGGAAGTATTTGATTTTAGATGAAGCTCATTTGATAAAGAATTGGAAATCTCAGCGTTGGCAAACTCTTTTAAACTTCAATTCAAAGCGACGCATCTTGTTGACGGGTACACCATTGCAGAATGATCTGATGGAGTTGTGGTCTCTAATGCATTTTTTGATGCCCCATATCTTTCAATCTCACCAGGAATTTAAGGACTGGTTTTGCAATCCTATTTCAGGCATGGTGGAAGGACAAGAAAAGGTGAACAAAGAAGTGATCGATCGTCTTCATAATGTATTGCGGCCATTTATTCTGCGTCGTTTGAAAAGAGATGTTGAAAAGCAGCTACCTATGAAACATGAGCATGTCATATACTGCAGACTCTCGAAGAGGCAGAGGAATTTGTATGAAGATTTCATTGCTAGTTCAGAAACCCAAAGCACTCTGGCTAGTGCCAACTTCATTGGTATGCTAAATGTTATAATGCAGCTACGTAAAGTTTGCAATCATCCTGATTTATTTGAGGGCCGCTCTATTACAAGTTCTTTTGACATGGAGGGGATTGAGATGCAATTGAGCTCAACTGTTTGCTCAATGCTTTCACCTGGTCTATTTTCTTCCACAAATCTTTCTGGCTTGGGGCTCTTATTTACACATCTAGATTTCGGAATGACATCTTGGGAGTTTGATGAAGTTCAATCTATTGCTACTCCTCCTAGTTTGATTAAGCATCGTGTTAGTTATAGTAATCTAGAAATTGTTAGGCCTAGATTTAAATACGGGAAGAAAGGTTGTGGGACTAACATTTTTGAAAAGATTCAAAAGGAAATTCTTAATGTAAGATTAAAAGAAGCAGAACAGCGGGCTGCTGCCATTGCATGGTGGAATTCATTAAGGTGTCAGAGGAAGCCTGTATACTCAACAACTCTACGTGAGCTTTTGACAATAAAGCATCCTGTCTACGACATACAGTGCCACAAGGCAAACCCTGTATCTCATGACTATTCCTCAATGCTTGCAGACATTGTTTTGTCACCTGTGGAGCGATTCCAGAAGATGATAGATCAGGTTGAATCTTTCATGTTTGTTATTCCAGCTGCACGAGCTCCGCCACCTGTTTGTTGGTGCAATAAATCTGAGACATCTGTTTTTATTGATCCAAGCTACAAGGAAAAATGCTCTCAAAAATTGCTGCCCCTTTTGACTCCAATACGTCCTGCTCTTGTTCGAAGGCAGTTGTATTTCCCCGACAGGCGTTTGATACAATTTGATTGTGGAAAGCTCCAGCAGCTTGCTACTTTGTTAAGGAGATTGAAAACAGAGGGTCATAGAGCATTAATCTTCACTCAAATGACAAAAATGCTTGATATCTTGGAAGCTTTTATAAATTTGTATGGATATACTTACATGCGTTTGGATGGATCAACTCAACCGGAGGAGAGGCAAACTTTGATGCAGAGATTTAATACAAATCCCAAGATATTTTTGTTTATCTTGTCAACACGCAGTGGAGGTGTCGGAATAAATCTTGTTGGAGCAGATACGGTGATATTTTACGACAGTGATTGGAACCCTGCTATGGATCAACAAGCTCAAGATCGTTGTCATCGCATTGGACAGACCCGTGAAGTCAACATCTACCGTTTAATAAGCGAGAGCACCATTGAAGAGAACATCTTAAAGAAAGCAAATCAGAAACGAGCTCTTGATAACCTAGTAATACAAAGCGGTGGCTACAATACTGAGTTTTTCAAGAAGCTTGACCCAATGGAGTTGTTCTCAGGTCACAGAATAGTTCCCATTAAAGGAATAGGAAAAGAGAATAATTCGGATAATGGGGTTGAGGTTCCTGTTTCTAGTGCTGACATAGAGGCTGCTTTGAAAAATGCTGAAGATGAGGCAGATTACATGGCACTGAAGAAGGTTGAAGAGGAAGAGGCTGTAGATAACCAGGAATTTACTGAGGAAGCAATTGGGAAGTTGGAAGATGAGGACCTGGGAAATGAGGATGTTATTAAAGCTGATGAAGCTGCAGACCAGAATGCATTGGTTACTGTTTCAAATGTAGAGGACATTGCTGTTGCAAATGGGAATGATTTGAGTGGGGAGAATGCTCTCACTTTAGCATGCAATGAAGATGATGTTGACATGATCGCTGATGTCAAACAAATGGCAGCTGCAGCTGCAGCTGCTGGACAAGAAGTTTTATCCTTTGAAAATCAATTACGTCCTATTGATAGGTATGCAATGCGTTTCCTGGAGGTTTGGGATCCCATAATAAATAAGGATGCAATAAATTATCAAGTTCAGTTAGAGGAAAAGGAGTGGGAGCTGGAGCGTATCGAGAAGTTAAAGGAGGATATGGAAGCAGAGCTTGATGATGATGATGAGCCTCTTGTGTATGAGAGTAAGTTTTTCCAAATCATAATGAGTTTTAAGCAGTTTTCTGCTCTTTTCCATCATATTTTGTCCACTGATCTCTGCATTTTTCTTTAGAAGTAATAGAATTTGCTGAGCTTGGTTACTAATTAACTAATTTGAAGGAAAGAATGACTCCTGGCCGACTTCATATTGGCAAAAAAATTTACATTTATTGTTATAATTAAAAGTAGGATCAATTTTTTACTCCTTAGACTTTGCTGGGAATAACTTATTCAAATGGTGTGTTAAACTTGATTGTATACTGGGTTCTCGATAAATCTCTTACATGTTATCCAATATTGGAAAGTTACTAAATCAATAGATCAAAGATTAAAAACTCTCTTTTCTAGTGATTCTTCCAAATGAAATTGCACATATGACCTTTTCCATATTGCAATCAGTAGGGAAACAACTAATGAGTAATTATTATTATCTTATACTCCCTCTATCCCTAATTGTTTGCTCCATTTGACTTTTCACGGTATCCGAGATATGCCTTGAAACATGAAAATCTTTAATTCTGTGAGTAGAAAAATTATAAAAATTTGATATTCTTAAAGTACACACATCTAACAAGATCCCACTTGACTTTACAATTTCTTATTGATTAGTGAGATTATGTGGTAAAAGTTTCTAAAGTTTGACCCCAATTTATACAATGGGACAAACAATTAGGGGTGCAGAAGTTGTATTTTAGTTTATTGGGGATAGAGAAAGTTGCTTGGATGAATATACATTTGTCAACCTAAGAAAACAACAAAGTTAGACATACCTGACTAGAACGTGGATAATGTATCTAGGAAAGAGGTAGCCTAATTTTGTTTAGTGTGTTCTATGAATTTCACTGTATGCTCTGTCTCTAAGATCAGAGCCATTAGTACAAATCAGGACCTGAGGAGTGCACTTATTCTCTCAGCTTTTTTTGAAAGATTATTCTCTCAGATTTTAGTCCTTTGTTTAGTTATGCACTACGTTAAATATTTGTTATGTTAGTTGCCAAATAAAGTGAAATTTGTAATTAGTACTTCCTCTATTGTCCAAATAAAGTTGCAGTTATTTTACAAGAGAGGAGAGAGATAGAGAGTAAAAAGCAGAAGATTCATGTGGAGAGATAGTGAGAATCATTGTCCGAATAAAGTTGCACTTATTTTACGAATTACCAAAAAGATTTACGTTGCAATTAAAAAGGAACTGAGGAAGTATAAGCTTTGATATGAAAAATCAAATAGGGAAATTATTTGAATGTTTTCATGGTGCCCATCACCCCCAAAAATGGATAAAGATGGCATTTAATTATTTATTATTCGTGTTTCATCTTTGTTTCCCATGTTTTAGAAAGAGGCTGCATGGTTTTGAAAAGGAATTAGGACATAGACCAATAGATATTAAGGCAAGAATTTGACACTAAAAGCTGAAAATACAATATGATTGCTGGCCTTTGCATGTTAATTCTTGTTAAATCAAAATTTTCATGGATCTGGTATACTTCTGTGCTTTATTGTGCGATAGGCCCTGTAGTGGCCTGAAGTGCATTTGTTACATCTGGTAGTTTACATAGTCTATGAACAGTTAATATTTACTTTGATTTGGGCTCCAGCTTTCATCTTTCATTTTAAACTTTTTTATTTGAACTCCTTTTTATCAGAATGGGACGCTGAATTTGCTACCCAAGCTTATCACCAGCAAGTTGAGGCTTTAGCTCAACATCAGGTCAGTGCTCAACTTCATATTAGAAACAAAGTGGCTGAAAGGTCTAAAGTTATTTGCTCGTAATATTTTGTCCTGTTGCTGATTTAACATTATACCTTTACTGTAGTTGATGGAAGAACTAGAAAGCAAGACCAAGGAGAAGGAAAACGGCGAGGATATGAATGGTGATTTCATCAAGTACGAGAGCACTCTGACGTTTACCTGTCTTTCCTTAAATGCAAAACTTTCAGTCATGCAATGAAAATTATGAATTTATTTACTTTGGTTATAATCCTGTTTTGTCAAAATACTTGGGACGCAGGAACGAAGCATCTGGTGGTGGTAAATCTAAGCCAAAGAAAAAGAAACCAAAGAAAGCAAAGTTCAAATCTCTGAAGAAGCACTCTCTGTCCTCCACATCCAAAGCTCTTAAAGAGGATGACGTAGTAGAACATCTGTCATCTGATTATGAAGATAATTCTCATGAAGCAGTTGATTGTGCAGATGTAAGCCCAACTTTTATCATGTTAAAAAAGAAACGAAAAAAGAACAAAACTGCTGCTACTGAAGAAGAGACATCCACAAAGATCAAGCCCAAAAAGGCCAAGAAGACTGCTCTAGTACCCACATTGCCATCGATGGAACCAAACTTGTTAAGCATGTTCAATGAAGAATCAAAAGACTCAAAATCATGTGAGGATTGTACTCTTGATTTAGAGCTGAAGCCTGCTAGCAGGGGTAAAATGGGAGGGAGAATTTCAATTACAACTATGCCAATGAAGAGGATATATACTATAAAGCCCGAAAAGTTGAAGAAAAAGGGGAACTTGTGGTCAAGTGACTGTTTCCCTTCTCCTGATTCTTGGTTGCCACAAGAGGATGCAGTGTTATGTGCTCTTGTACATGAGTATGGCCCAAATTGGAGCTTGGTTAGTGACACTCTCTATGGAATGTCAGCTGGTGGTTTTTACAGGGGAAGATTTCGACATCCGACTTTGTGTTGTGAAAGATTCAGGGAACTTGTCCAAAAATATGTTTATGGTGTCGCAGATTCTCTCAATAATGAAAAATCGAGCACTGCTGGACCTGCAAAGGGGTTACTGAGAGTTACTGAGGTAATAATTTCTTACAAGAAGTTGCATCAAATCCCCCCACCCCCTTCCCCAAATCCCCAGCACACACACACACATACACACCGCACTTACACGTCCACTGTCTGGAACTAGTGCAAATAATCTGGCAACTTTCTATTCATGTATTTAATGTTCACAGTTCCACACACACACACACACACACACATACATGTTCACTGTCTGGAACTAGTGCAAAAATCTGGCAACTGCTGTCCTTTTCAGTGTTTTGATTTATGATCCATGGACTACAATATTATGTAGAATTTCTGACATGTGGAAGGTGGGGGTGTTTCTATTTCAGATTTCCATTTTGAGATTTTATACTGCTGGATCGTAATTCATGTGGAATATTTAAAGTGTTACGTGTGGAAAAATAATGTTCAATTTTGGTGTTTAAAGATTTCTATATGTTTGGTGTATATGTTAAGATGTGATTTGGGGTGGCTTCTATGCTATTTGTGAGACTATAACTTAAGCCTGGGTCAGTTATGTTCAAACTTCAGTCTATCTAATCCCCATCTTATCCTGGTCTGCTGGAATTTGTGGTGTTTTCCTTCAAATAGTGTGGGCTGTACACATCGGCTGAATATGTTAACTAAATTCAACAGTTAGCTTCATTACTTTGTATTATGGCCATATGGGATGTATGGTTCTTGTCTGTTTAAATCTTTAGTGAATATAGAGTAATACCTTGTGGAGAGGTATTCTGATCTTCATTGGAGTAGGAAGCACCCTGAGTTGAGTCTATATATAATTATATAGAGCTTCATGTCCTAACTAGCGGGTTGGACATTGTTGATTAATCTTGTGTGTTTAGCTTTAAGATTAAGCTTTGAGATCCTGATGCAGGAAACTCATTCACCATATATCAGATTCTAAGTTTTTAAATTCGATTTTGAGAACACACCCAGTGAAGCTTAAGCTTTGAGATCCTGATGCCAGAGTGAATTTAGCTATAGAGTTTAGTCTCTCTATTAGAGATTCAGAAATTTTTATCCCTAATAAATCACTTAGCCTTGCATTATAACAGATTCTAGTTCCTATATTTGAATTTGAGAACACATCCAGATTTAAACAAGCTGTCAAATTATTTTTCAACATTCCATCTTTTTCTAAAGAAACTGTTTTTCTGCAAAGCTACACTATGGTAATTCCTCTCATTGAGTATTGGATGTACCGACTACAGAGCTGTCTTTAAGTCCACTTCGAAATTTGTGACTAAATGGACTAAAAGTGGAATCAGTCCACCAATTGAGTGTTTCTTATTACTTCCCTTGGCAGTTTTGTCAAGATCTATATTAGCAAAGTAAAATAGGATTGCTAGAAGACAAAAGAAGAGATCTGGCTACTGACTCTAATAAGAAAAATAGATTTACCATAAAAGTAGGGACAACCTCAGCTGCAGTAGTCACAATTTACGGCCAACTAAGGCATTCAGAGTTTACTGGGGATTGAACTTCCCTTCCTAAATTAAGTTATGATTCTTAACAACCATTGCATCTTGTTGCAACTGCTCAGATTATATTTTTTTGGCAGGATCACATTCGGGTCCTGCTAGATGCTGCTATGGAACAACCAGATTCCGAGTTACTTCTTCAAAGGCATTTCACTGCTGTGCTCACTTCGGTATGGAGGATGACATCCTCACGTGATCAGCAAAGAAGCCATTCAAATACCCATAATAGCCTGTATCCAAGTCAAAGCATAAGGTTGTTTGGTACATCTGTCAATCCAAATGCTCAAAATTCAACCAAAGGGATATCTAAGAAAAAGTTTGATTTGGGTCAGTGTGGAAAACTTATACATGCAGCACTGCTTGATGCGGAGAGTGTAAGCTGGAATGACAAAACCTCCCAATCCAGCCAGATGGAAGAGGACCCGGCCACTATGGAGAAGTTAGATGTCACAGTGGAGTTCAGAAGAGAGAGAGATGAGATAGGTGACTCCACTGTTGGTTTTCCGTCTGTGGTTTCATTGTCAATACCTGGCTTGGATTCATTACCACCTGTTAACTCACCTTCAAAAGAAAATCAACTTAGGTCAACTCAACAACTGGCTGAGAGTCGTTTCAGGTATGTGTTCTATTCCATGGAATTGGTTGCTGAAAGCAGTAGGTTTGTGGCCTCCTTGGCAACCTTCTAGTTGAGTTAAGAAACATATTAAACATAGTAATACGACTTGTTTCTGTAGCATATTTTCATACTGAATGGATTTTCTTAAAACTTAAGAGATGAGGAAACCGAGCTTTAGAATGTTTATCTATAGTTCTTTGTGCTTTATTATTACTAATTTTTGGATCCCAAGGGATGGACTGATTATGGTAATGTCAGAAAAGATATATTTTTCAAACCACACAACACTTGTATTTTAATACAAATTTCATTCAAAATTTGTTTTTGCAGGGCCTCTTCAAGTGCATGTCTTCATGGCTTTTTTGGTTGGGCATCCTCTGCTTTTCCAATAATTGAATCTCGTAACCGCTCGTCACTAAAATCATCTTCATCAGGGAAGCACAAGCTGGCTTCTGCTGAAACCAGTAGACCTTCCAAATCAAAGGTCAGAAAAGTTGCAGAAGCTGCTGAGGCTCATATTCCATTCGCAGAACCATTGCTCCAGTTATTGCCCACCATATCTAACCCTCCAAGTACTCTTTCTGTTTCGCATCCTTTCGGAATCTCAGATAGTTCTTTAGAGGATCATTTAATTGACCCTCCTTACATTGCAGAAGAAATTCCTTCATGTACAGAGAATGTTGAGATAATACCCCATTGCTATAATCCCAGCTTCATTTCAGGTCTTGAGGATTGTTCATTGACCGACTATACGGATATTGGGTGAATTAGGAACCAACTTTGTTATATGTTGAATTTGGGTTAGTTTTTAGCTAAGCTTGGCAGTTGAGCCCCAGCATGAAGAATTACCATGCTGGCACTCTGGCAGTTTTGCGACTAGCTGATTGTGCGTTCGGGTACACTATTGAATTGCACAGTTCTTGCCCTTTCATGCTGTGGTAGCTGCATTTTCCCTCAGTTACACAGGATAACACAAGGGCCTAAAGGCTAGCTTCCAGAGAATCGTGGTGCACACGGACAAATTTTAGAAGGCCACTGAATATGCAAAGTACAAGAGCTTTGTGTCGGTGACACATTTTTCCTGATGAGGCTTAGGTATGCAAACTAGCTCAGCGGCAGCATTCTTTGGAGACTACAACTTCCAGAGTACACCATTTTGTAAAGTAGTTAGGCATCAGTAGTCCTGATGAATAGATGTAGCTCTTCTTGTATATATAATATACTAATTCGATTATAGTGTGTAATCAATGGTCACTTAGACTCAAAATGCGTACTACCTCTCTTTTTCTAATTTAATTTAATTATTTATTTAATTACTAGTTGCTTTTTTAACACTAGTAAGCGTATATTCCGTCTGCAAAGCTAAATGAGCAACTCAGCACATATACTCACTATTTCTCATGCAGGGTCTCCGTCTCCAAGAGGATTTAGATACTTCAGTTGTTTGGTTTACGTTACAGCACTTTGATTTTCACGTTTATGAATTGTGCAAAATTTAATACACATACTGTTTTATCATTCGACTTTTGTACTTTGTAACTTAGCTTTGGACTGATTATCGGGTACTCAATATATCCGCAAGGGCTATGATAGTCTTGGAAGCTGGAAGAGCTTACTCCAGCCTCTATTTTTTTCTAATAATACCCATGTTCTTAGGTCTTAACTCCCAAGTGTATCAATTTGCTTGTGTGGGTGCATTCATATGGACATTTATGTGCCTACAAGTGCTTATATTTGTGTTAGTGTGTGTGCACGCGAGCAAATAGTTACATTGTATCTCTATATTACCATCTTAAAGTGTATCATCATTCAAAGGCCAAATACTTGTACATATGCCATTTTCAAATACTCCGTATAAAGGTATAATTGGACGAACAGAACCCAACAGTATTCAATGTTAGTATGTTGCACTTCCAGCTTCTATTATCTTCTCTGAGTTCAGCAGACAAAAAAAAGAAAGCTGCTCATTTCCATTTGTTGAATGAGGTGAACCATCTATCTTTTTTTTTTTTTTTTACCAATCATACGAGATCACCACAGATAAAGAAGACACGATTTAAGAAAAAGCTAAATGCCGGGCCTGTGATAGCAACCCAGAAGAAGATATATATATTCTGAAAGGAGAAAAAAATCGTAAGAAACTTTCAGGTTTCATACAAATATCTAATCTGTATAGCTAATGCTACGTTCTGCAGAGCGCAGCCAGGTTCCTTCCATGGACATGATAGTTTTGTCGTGCTAGCTTACACTTGCTAGTACAGTATGATGGAGGCCCTGGCAGTAACCCCATCAATTTACAATGGGCAAGTAAAGTAAAAATTTCATTGCATAATGCTACTTTTACCCAGCATGCTGCGAATCAATATTTGTGCAATGTATCAAGCATAATCAGGCATCACTCTTTTAAGGAATGAAATCGGCTGTGATTCTTCAGGAACAGCTTTCTCAAATGAGACATAATTTTCTTCTTTATCATAGATATGACATGTTGTCATAATCGTTCTCATCAAACGCCAATTCCATACAGCCTTGTTTAGGTACTGCCATAAGCAAAGGAAAATGTCATAACTCATAACAGCTACCACAGCCATAACAACCAAAAGGACCAACTCCAGAAGTAAAATAATATAAATACTCTACCCTTTGAAATTATATATTTTACGCAATTTTACTCCTAGCAAAGCACAGAGGCAGCTAAAGACCCTCAAAGTCCTGATTCATAAGTACTAGATGAAAAGGGAACCCAGCATAAACAAGCCTGATAAAACTCAGACAATGCATGGGATTATTTTGAGTTATGAACATGATTAGCAAAAGTGAGACATATTTACTTACGGCATTAATCAACCGTCTTCGACAAATACCAACAAAGCTATTAAAGCTCAAAATAACTTTTAACTAAGTTTCAACTATTAATTCTATCCAAAAATATAATGTATAAACTACAGATATTACGAGTTGGAAGCTTTATGTAACTCGATCAGCAAATTTTAAATGAAAAACTGACCAACATATTAGAATTATGAGACTAACTGGCCATTCCCCAAAATAAATTAAAAAATTTAATAAATAAATCAACTCTTTGCATTGCAAAAGCTCCAGGACAAATACACTAATTAAACACAAGGACTCCCATACATACAAATTAAACACGAGAAAACATACCTTTCCCCAGTTCTCATTTAGGGATTGATTAGCTGCTCGCAAATTGTAGCTTGGAATTTTAGGAGAGATATGATGAGGAATATGCACATTGATATCATGGCACAAGACCTCTATCCTGGATGTAAAAATGGAAGATGTTAGCAATTAGAAGTTTAGAACTATTACAAATCAAGATATAGTTTTCAATGCAAAGATGGGTACAAATTACAATACCAACGGGGATAGTCACAGTGTACAGTTCCATTAAGCTGGGCCTGTGCTGCATTCCACTCCTTTGAATCCTTAAAAGGTATGTGCGGCGCTGTATGATGGACTATTGTGAAAGTACTCATCTATAAATCAAAGAACAAGAGAATAACAATGAGCCCACATAGAAGTGAAGGCAAAGAACTTCAAGAAGATCCAGCAAACTATAAGACAGTTTAATGATGCAAAAGACATGATACTCATCACTCAAAAATTTAGTGTTGTTAAAAAAAATGAAAGAGCTCTGTTACCCAAAAATGGTAGCCCAACCATGGCATTAGCCAGAACTTGATCCATCCCACTATTCCGGTCTTATATATAATCAGGGGCCAAGCTATAACCATAAATGCGGAAACAGCAGCTATGCTTATTGTGGCACGCTTTACTTCACTCTTTCTGAACTTCTTTAAATCAAAGTGAAACCTTAACCTGCTCACATGAAGTGACGTACCTATAGAATTAACATCAAGTGATTTGAACAAGATCTTTGGAAAGCAGATGCTGATTAATTTTTTAAGGTCATACCAGTGAGCTACTGACATCCAAGTTCGAAGGGGGCCATAACCTAAAATTAGAGCTTTACGCAAGGCAGGGGATTCCTCTATATCTTCTTTCATGATAGGAAGCCAGGCTGTATCTTCACGCAACCTGGTTAAAAGAGCCGAATGGGCTGTCAATCCCTTTGTGAAACATGAGAAGCTAATGTCTCAAGTGGCATCATGCTTGTCTAAGCTCTATGCTGAAGCATTAAGCTGGCCTACATTATCAGATTGTAAGGCTTGCTTAAAGCATACATGTAATAATTTAATAAGTATTGAACCACCAACGGAAATCTTAAGAGGAAGCGGAAAATAATGCAAGTATTAGGAAAGGAACAACTGCAGTAAACTATACTGTTGGGGGGGGGGGATCTAGACTCTAGAGGAACACTCTATACAAAGCTAAGTGATTACTGTTGACTGCTTACATATTAGTTTTGGCATGATGCTGATCATGCTTGAAGCGCCATGGTTCATAAGGATATATAAGCGGCATAAATGCAAGAGTCCCAACAATATCTTCAAGTAGCTTATTTTTTGAAAAGGATTTGTGAGCACAATCATGTCCAATCACAAAGAACTGAAATCAAAAAGAAAAAAGGGATTCAAAGTCAAAAGAGCAAACAATTGGCAAAGTAATGCAGGAGTTTGTAGATGGAAAGATAATTTATACTGATCTTGAATAAAAGGAACATACCCCTGTAATAGCAGTGCCTGTCCACGCCCAGGCAAGAGGAAGCAAGTACCAAGGGGCTTTAGCAATCATATATATACCCAAAGCATATGAAGTCACACTTATTAGAACTGTTCCCCATGCTTTCATGTCATTAATCTCAAACACCTAAGCAGAAATTGGATTCCCTGGAATGAGTCTACATGTTGAAACTTTGATTTAAACTGCAGAAGCAAATAATAGCTTTACCTTCTTAGGAAGGGAGGTAATTATGTCCCTCATAGTCACATCATCAGGAAGTGGTTCACCAATTTGCTGGAAACCATAGCTCTCTGCTAGCTGTTTGAGGTGTTCCGTGTTATCGGTAGGGGGAAGTTCTGAGGGTGGTGCAACAGGGACAGCAACAGCCTGCACCAAGGCTGACTTTCTTCTCGTACCCTTCCATTGTTGGTTGAGTCTCACATGGCTTAACTTTCTTAGGCATGGTTTCTGCCATTTTATGCAAGATATGCCTGCCAATAAAGTGAGCAGCATGGATTAATCAAATTTTATTCCACCGGCATGTGACACAACCAATGTATAAAAAAGCTCAAGATGCATCAAGGCAGCTTGGAGTCTCCAGTGCTAGTGGCCCAGTGTGCCTCTTTGAAGTAAGGTACATATAATAAGCAATAAAAATATTTGTTGGTATGCCTCAATATGCTTTAAGGTGCATCTCAGCTGCGCTTCAATGAAATCTCTAAGCCTAGATCACAAAAGGCGAATGACCCCTAACGTACTGCATCTCAGCGCTCTTTTACAAACACTGGACACAACTTGCACGTGTACTCCCTCCGTTCTTAAAACCTTGCTCCATTTCTCCATGCATGGAGTTTTAGGAGATTTTGGAGAAAGTAATAAATATGGAGGTAGTGGGGTAGGTGAAAGAATAAAAAAAATTGTAAAAAGCAAAAGTAGTTGAGAGAATTGGAGGAGAGAGAATATGAAATTAATAATATATGATTTATGTTGGGTCTACTAGTTGAGAGAAATGAATTAAATATCGTAAAAGCTTTCCAAACAAGGAAATGGAGCAAGTATTTAAAAACGGAGGGAGTATTTTCTAAAATGATTCGGTCTGGGGCATCCAAGATCTTCAATTTATGGTTAGGACATATTTTTTCGAATAATTTGTAGAACATTACATTCAACAATTAACAAGTTTCGATTCATAACCAACTACTGAATATGTCACTACAATTGCCCCCAGCATTCTGAAATTCATATTTGATGAAATCATATCCACAATATTCCTTGCCTAGGATTATAAAACTGGTTGTACTAATCATAACATAAACACATAAAATTCAATTTATGATACCCAGTATCATGGTAAGAGCAATAAACGTTAATAATTTCATATATAAGATTCACAAGAACAATAAGCCAGAAGACTATCCCTTTATCTAACAATAAAAAATCAAAAACCAAAATTAAAATGGTTTAACTTTTGTTCTCAGAATAAGAATGAAAAATAAGTGACTAGGGCGTTCTCATGAAAACATGTTCCAAATCATATACTCTCTTAGTCCAAAACATACATGAAGTATATAACTTTCCAGCAGGTGTCTTCTACTGTGATAATGTCAATGGTCTTAGCATTTAACACCTAATTGTCTAATTGCCTCCATATTACCCATTACTCAAGAACTACACTTCAACTCCATCACGACCAAGCCATTAAAGCACTGTACAAACAGTTAACGCCTTAACGGGGCAATGTATTTCTAGATAGAGATATAACTGGTGGATAATCATTAGAAGTCTAATAACAGCATAAACAACCTTAGTGTGGTGATGAGGGTTACAAGCAATCGAAATGAACAAAGAACCTAACTATCCAAGAAATTGTTCCTTTCATGTGCTATCCTTACAAAGTTAAACAAATTGTTCCCATTCAAGAAAGATGCCTAACCTTCCTCCATCCATAATATGATACAGGCCTATACGGCGAATTTGGTGGCATACTTTTGGTTTTATTAGATTTCTTAAAAGGGAAATTATTTGTAGGCATTTTACTTACATTCTTTCCATAGAAGTTGACCCATCTACTTAGGGTCTCTCAAAGGAAGCTAAATGACATTTCCTGTTGAAATATCATGTTACTTATCTATCAATTACCAGAAATATTTGTTTTCAATCAATTCTACAACCCCACAACAATAATAACAATAATAATTATTAACAATTCAATATTAAAAGTAATCACTTCAATTAACTCCAAAACAGCAACAATCACAATTCTACCATCAAAGTTCATAACTTTAATTAATCCCAATTCATATATTTATACACCCTACAACTCAATTCATATAGTATACAACTTCCTTACAATGCAGCAAATTATAAAAAAGAACAAATTTTTTAAAAAATACCCAAAAAGAAATTGATAAGAAATGAGTTACCAGCAGCATTTTTAGTCGATAAACTGGGGTTTCTGGAGATAGATAACGCGAGAGAAATGTGATTGCTGGTAATAATTGCAGACTCCATTCTTGTTCTTCTTCCTCTGTTATTCTCTCTTCTCTCACCTTAAAATGTTAAGGAGTGAGAAGAGAGATGAAGGGGAGAACAACGAAAGGAGGAAAATGTGAATACTTTGTTTTATTTGGTTGGTGGCGGCCCTGACTCAAACCAAATCCAAGTTGTAGCAATTCAATTCAAGTGGTTCTCAAATTCTGAATTATAGCCACAAGAATGTCAATTTGGCTGTCCTTGTAAAAGGAAGATTTGGATTTTGGAGTTGGACTTAAGGCCCCGTTCCTTTGAGCTTTTGGACAAAGCAGAGCAGATAGATCAGATTTCGACAACAGAGTTATTATTATTATTATTATTATTATTATTATTATTATTATTATTATTATTATTATTATTATCAAAAACCTACAAAGTCAAACAATTTACAAGAAATTAATAGGGAGTCGAGACACAATATGGGCCCCCACTCCTCTAGCTATAGCAAACCCGATCCTGCTGAAGATGTGAGCAGCAGCACGAGCACCTATATCTTAAGTCCTTGCGAACGCCTAAAGTCGCTTCAGGAACGCTACATCATCCTTCTCTAATTCCCCTATTGAAGAAAAGGAGAAAGGAAGAAAACCATAGCCAATATCCCTGCAACGCGCCCCATACTTGTCTCACTTCCGCTGAGTCGCAACCGACACAACACGACTAGGAACGAAGTCAGACAACCCAGATTGCGTCAAAGGAGAAGACCCCATCAAGTCAACACATACATCAAGGCCTCTATCCCAGGAATAAAGCAACACATCTGCTGGTCGAAGAGCCCCGTCGTTCCCTCCAGTCAACCCAACGTTAACCTCCTTTCTTGCAGAAATCCCAAAGCGAAAACAAACATCAACAAGGGTATCACGAACAACGTTGTGCCGATGTTTAATACCCACCATCCCAGCATAAGACACCGCATGATCCCTATAAATATCCCTAACAAAAACCCTTGAGCAAGAAGAACACAGGGCCGAAATGGAGAACAAGGGAACACCCAACCGGTAGCAAAGAACACAACGGTAAGTCTTACCATTCATAGTCTGACCCAAACCTGATATTGGGACCGCTCGCAACCAGGCAGAAGTGTGATCCCCCTGCAGGGATTTCCATAAGGCAACCTGACGCGGAGATAAGGAGAAAGTGGATTCTACAGATGCAGTGACCTTCGTGAAATATATATCTGCCAATTTCTTCATGAGTTTGGGGGCAGCGATCTCACTAGGGTTACGCATAAGGTCAGTTTCCACAGTCCTATTAAAAAGACTAAGAGCACCATCGAAGGCTAGTTCTGGATTAACAATACCAGAATTGCGAAGAAGTGTAGCCCGAAGACCAGAAGACTACAAACGCGACGCAAGGAAAGCATAATGCCGAACATCACCCGCTGAATAAACACTGAATCCACCATAAGAAAAAGGTAAGGTGGCAAGTCGCCATTGCCTATCACCAAAACCAGGCCCTGAAGCAGTTATAACGCGCTCCAAAGAAGCTTAAAGGGCCATATCAAAAGAAATCTGGGCCGTTTCAAAAAGATGAGGAGGACAAGTGCGCATAGAAAAGTAGAGTTTTGAAACCCATTACACGCACGAAGTAGTAACAACTCACATTACTATTACTATTACTATTACTATTACTATTACTATTACTATTATTATTATTATTTATTTATTTATTTTTATTTTTTTAACAATGTAAGTCCATGTTTTAAAATATTATGTAAGCAATTCCTTATATACTGAATTTTAGCCAGTACAATCCTATCTCTACAATTATATTGCTTCTTCTTTTGCTTAACTATTATTATCAGTTAATTATGCTCCTTTTTTATTTATTTATTTCTCCCTTTTTATCTTGTATATACTAAAAGGGCTTTAATTTCATAAGTTTCAACAAGGCATGAATGATACTAGGGATTTAAGTTTCTTGAAAGTTGATGCTTGAGGCTAATATGGAATTTTATTAGTTTCATCTTAGTTTTGTTTGCCCCTTGTATTTATCTATCTCTCCCTATTACACAAAGAATTTATTACCCGTGTTTATATTACTTGCTTGCAGTTTTGCATCAAGAGAAGCCACCCAATAATGTTCTCAAGGTTGTGCCTTGTGAGTGGTTTGCTGACTATCAATCAACGGAGAATCTTCGAGCTCTTTTTCATACTCCTCGGAGACTCGTGTGTCACAGCTATTTTAACTTTATATTATTTTATTTTACGGTTTTTTTACCGTATATACTTGAGTAATTCGTTAATTCACAATATACCCATGAAACTTTCTAATTAAATTCACCATATACGCCGGAGTTTATCTAAATATCACCAAATACCCTTAATGACTAACGGCGTTAACCTCTCCGTTTGTCACTGTTAGTCATTGGCTAATTATGCCGCGTGGCAACATGTTATTGGTGCTCTTTTAAATTATTTAATTAATTAATTAATAGATTTTTTTATATAAATTATTAAAAAAATCCCACCACCCAGCCAAGGCCCCCCGCCTGCCGGCACCAGCGCCGGGGGAGTAGGTTTTCTAGCGTCAGCTCCGCCGTGACCAGCACCAGCCCTATTGCCCCTTACTTCACGCACCGCATTTACCCATGCAACCAATCAGCTACCAACCTGCTACAACAACAAACAAAAACATCACACACCACCACGCATCTTCCAATTCCACGACAACCAACTCCAATAACCACCTCACACACCACCGTATAAATTAGCCACTCCAGCTTTTCCCCTGCCATGCATGCCGCGTTTTTAAGAACAATAAGGAGTAGCAGCTTATTTCGATTTACCAAACACCAATTTGCCATCAATTTCATCGATTCCGGGCTCCATTCGAGTAATTTGGTATTAAACAACCTTAAAACTGGACTCTAATTGAAGATCCAAAGGGTTTCAAAGTGTTGTTTCGGGGGAAGGGGCGATGAGTTCGCCAACGTAGGGGAGGGGGTTTGGGAGAGGTTGAGGGAGGGGCAATTTGGAGGTTTCATGGATGGAGTTTGGGTTTTTTGTGGGGGGTTTTGTAGGAGGTCAGGGTGGGGGTATGGTGGATAGAGAAGGGGGGGGGGGGGGGAGGGGCGACGCTGCGACATAAGGGGGGGAAGGGTTTGTTGGCACTAAGGGAGGGGGTGATTTTCGGTAGGCGGTGGTGGCGACGTGGGGGAAGGGGGTTGTGGGGGCAGGGCCGGAAGTGGCTTGGCTAAGGGGTGGTGGTTATTTTAATTTTTTTTTAAAAACTTTTCTAATTAATTCCATAATTTAAAAGAAAACAATTAGAAATTGCCACGTGGCACATATAACCCTTAATGACTAACGAAGTTGACGTCCGTTAGTCATTTGGGCATTTGGTGACATTGTTATTAAACTCGGGAGTATATGTTGTATTTGGAAAGTTTCATGGGTATATGGTGAAAAAACGAATTACTCAGAGGTATTTGGTGAAAAAACTGTTTATTTTATACATTATTTGTTGCCAATATACCCAAAAATCATCAGCATCGGTTCCTTGGGAACAACGACCCTGACTCAAGAGGTATGTATAGCCCGTAAAGTATGAAAGAAAGGTTTCCGGTTAGGAACAGAGTTCCTCTCCGGGAATAGAGACTCCATTCGGGTTTGCCTCCGCCTACCAAGGCCTATACAAAACTATTCAAGAATCCGAAAATCCGATCCGCAACTAATCCGAATTTTTGGGTATCCGATCCGAGTTTTTATTCCGAATAAGACAACCGATCCGAAAAAGCGGATATTGGATGCGGATTTAAATATTGATTATCCTATATCCAAAATACAAAGGCTAAAATCAAAACTAAAAATTAAAACCAGACCCCCAACTAATATTTTTTTCTAGGAAAAGGCAATCTGTATGCATGGGTGGATATATATGGGCTATGAAGGGGAGCACTTGCATCCTTTTTGCAAAAATGTATGAAATTCAAGGTAAGTAAAAAAAAATGTATTTCATAATCTAGCTTTTGCTCTCCCATTCCGAAAAGTTAATTTCCTTAAAAAATAAAAACTAGAGGTTTAACTTATATAATTATGATATTTCTAAAAAAAGGCTTAAATTGTGAATTGAGAAGCGTAATTACCACCAGGCCATATTGCATTGTAAATGAACGGAGGATGTATGTAGACTTACAGACTAAATATGAATCAAAAAGTAAAAGTATTACGCAATATTGAAACGTTAATAATATCAACAACGTAAATAATATCCCTTTTTTGGGTTGTATAAGTTTAAAAAAATTTGAACCTCTTTATAAAAATAGGACGGAAAAATATACTTTAATAATCCCAAGTATTGCCAATTCACTTCTAATAATCCCAACTAAGGTTTATTTTTAAAAAAAAATCCTAACTATGTCCTGACTTTGCCTTCAATGGTCCCAAAAACATGTTACCTGCTGAAAGGGTAAATTATTATTTTTTAAACGCCACATGTCAGCACATGATTGGCCTAATATTAAAAAAAAAAAAAAAACCGATCCAGGAGCCAATCGTGAAATCCCTGCCAACCCACAGCCAACCGAAAACTGACTGGCCACCTCCCTAACCCCCCAAAAATGGCTAGCCAGCCCTCTCAACCCCCAAAACACACACAGCCTCATCGAGCCCGCGATGATATCGAGGTGAAATTGGGGTTTTTGAGGGGCCGAATGGTGGCGGCTGGAGATGAGTCGGAGAACGCATTAGATTTTTACCTTAACCTGTAGGTCCTTGAGCGGATCCTACTTTAGCCTCGAGACATTGATCTCTAACTAAAAAGGTATATGCTTGAGCTTGAGAAGCTTCTGGTCTAGTAGGTTTGTAAAACTCATTAGGATAAGCAGTATTATTAAACCAGACAAAGCAACAAGCAATGAAACCAAAGATAGATAAAGCACCCAAACTATAAGTGTTTCGGGGTTTTCTGATGTCATGCGGGAGAGTTACAATTCCGAGACTGGAACCGGACGCCTGTACCTGCAAAACAACGGAGACTCCTGGTGGTGGGAGCTCCGCCTCCGACAGTCAAGTTAGTACTTGATTAAGGAGTAATTAATGCGGAAATTAAAGTGATTGGGTCTCTCTAGGTGAGAGTGTTTAATGTGTGTAATCTGCGTTTTTAGCGTGTTCTTTCCCTTAATGGGGATTAAGGGAGGTATTTATAACCTCGGGAAACGTGCCAATCTAGGTTTAGGTTAACCTTGGGCTGATTGGGCTTCCCTCGGAAGTTGGGCCTAGGTGACCGGTTATCCCAAGTGTCATGGGAAGGACACGTGTCGTGTCGTAATTGGTCCATAGTGGACGGATCATTGCTTGACACGTGGCAGACTCCTATTGGCCCATGTGACGGACACATGGCGGAACCTGATTGGTCCACTTGTCAGATGGTGATTGGTGGGGAAAAAATCCCCTAATCAATAAGACAAATAAGTCTCTCCAGACTAGAAAAGTGCATGGCGAGCCCATGCAAAAGGTTTAGTTAAGATATGCTAGCAAAGTTAGGGCATAGTTAGGATTATTAAAAAATAAACCTTAGTTGGGATATTAGAAGTAAGTCAACAATAGTTGGGATTATTAAAGTGTATTTTTCCTTAAAAAAGTACCTATATATGAAAGGGTCGGAGATGAATGTGGTGGAGATGTGTATGTTGCAATGGATGTGTGGCCACACAAGAAAGGATTGGTTGAGGAATGAGATAATAAGGAAGAAAGTAGGGGTTACATCGATTGAGTTTAAGATGAGGGAGAATAGCTTAAGGTGGTTTAGCTATGTAAGAACGAGATCAAGTGACGCTTTGATAAGGAGGCTTGAAGAATTGCAAAGTGTTGGGATTGCGAACAATAGGGGAAGACCTAAGAAAACTTGGAAGAGGGTGATTGAGAGTGACATTAGTGTTTTGGAGACTTGAGGAAAATATGGTGTTGGATAGGGCGATGTGGAGGGGGAAAATTCACATCAACGACGTGTCGTGATTATATATAATTTTTATATTTATTTTCGTATTTTAGTCCACTAATGTTTTATAAAATGTATTGTTTCCTATTCTAAAGTTTTCTCAAACCTTTATGTTTTTTATTCCAATGTTTTAACCACTCCTTAAAAAAGCCAAAAAGGCTGGTCTTTTTCTAAGGTGGAAAAGTGGAGAATGACATTGATTATTAACATCTCCTTTTTATTTAATATATAAATAATAATAATAAAAAAAAGAGCAACTAGATTCAATGTCTTTTATATGTGATTTTGATAACTTTTTCTTTTTAAGGAATCAACTTATTAAAATATTATTTTAATATTTAATTGTCATATTACAAGTTCAGATAATAAATATAAAAATTAAAGTCAAATCTTTTAATTTATTTTTTTTCATTATTAAATCATGCATAAAATCTTTCAAAGAAATCTATAATTATCCTAATTTATAATCAATCGTATAGTATTCATATTAGCTAGAGGCCATAGAGTTAAGGAAGTAAAATCGTAAAATGAAAACCCTTCAACTCCGAGCATCAAATCTATATAATCAATTTTTTTTTTTTTTTTTTTTTTTTTTTTTTAATTTATTTTTACTACAATAAAGAAACTAAATCATTATGTTCTACTCCCAAGTGTACCTAATATTAACACATTCCTACTTATACACGCGTTGCCCAAATATACATATGTTGTCCAAAACTACGATAAACACATTCATATAAAAGGAACCACAACTTAAAACACAAGTCCTACCACAACTTATTAGTTTGTCATGGCCCATATATAACAAAAGATACAATGACCTCCATCAAAATCACCTCTCAAGTCTAAATGCAAAGAAGTAACACACATTTTCTTGTTTTGGTTTAGAGATGATGGGATTGTAAAGTGTAAAAAAAGCAAAGAGATGTTGATATGCAATGTGATGATCAGAGAAGCACATGCAATTCCCCAACATTAACAGTTCACTTTTAATCCCATCTTTTTTTAAGGACCTTTCAATTCATTATTTCCTCCTTTCCCACTTCATATGTATACCTTTATTATATATTTATGCTTGTTCATATGATCTTATCTTGACATTACCACTTATTCTAAGTAAGGCCCCATGTTTGATCTTCGCTTATTATTGAAAAGCAGTTTGAAATTCGCTTGTGCTAATCTATAAGATAAGATGGTATGAGTTTTGGAATTAGGAATGAAATTGAGCTGATATAATTGTTAAACTTGACTCTTAATGCCATGTGTTTGATTTTGTTAAAAAATAAGTACTGTCTTTAATTTGGCAGGTCCCAGGTTTGGTATGAGCTATCCCCTCCTTGAGTTTATTATTGTAACCTTAACTTTATGGTTAGAGGTATAGGTTTACAAATCAAAGTTATTTTAAAACAAACACTGAGTTCATTTGTTAGTTTTAGTTATTCCAAACACATACCTTGCACCTTATTTTCGTGAATCATCTAACCCTTTTTATTTTTCTTTGAAAACAACAACCCACTGAATAAAGAAAAAGGAACGAAGAAACACATGAAAAAGTTGGTGGAACCCTTAGGGAAACAATAAACTTGAAATGAGAAATTTAAATAGTGCTTACACCAGGTATATCTATGCTTTTTTCAACCAATTATGTGACACGAATCTAGCTCCCATACTAACCATGTTCTTTGTTGTTTTAATAAATGTAAGCTAAGCATTGAAATTTTTGCGTGTTTTATTTATTATTAAAATGGTTTTAAAATAATAATAAAAAAAAGTGTAAATTTTTTGTCAAGAACAAGCTACATAACACCATATGATGAAATCTTGAGCCTAATATTGTATTGGTTATAATAACTGTAAGTTCTAGATTATAAATTATCGCTTACATACATTCTAGTTATATTTTAACTTAAAAAAAAAATCATATAACACTTGCATCAGTTTATGTCACTAGAATGTTGCCATTTATTCTAAATGGTCTATATTCGCCCTAAAATTAACTACTTACTCGTAATTAGGACCGGAATACATAATCTTTTTTTAAAAAAATTACATACGTTTCTTTAAATACATTAATTTAAAATTGAAACAAAAAAAACACACACACACTCAAAATCCAACACAAATCATCATCATATATAATTTGCCTTTTTAATTAGGTATTTTATCAATCTTGCCCTCATCAACAGTCATAAACATGTCATACCTTCTAAAAGCCAGCCCTCATTGATAGAGAAAGGTATATTGATTTGGCCTCATACCAAATTTTCTGGCTCACTTAACTTTTTTCTTGTGATGAGCTGACTCAAACCACACCTAAACCAATTATTGGGCACATACACACTATATACCCTTATATTTTGAGTTAAGACATAATTATGATCGAATTTTTCTCATCAATTATTTTCATCACAAAGATACATAATCCAATTGCTTGGTTATTGCTATCTTAATTTGCATGTCATGACTCATTATTATATATTATTTCATCAACTCATCATCGTCTATCTTTAATTTGATAGTAATAAATTCTGTCTACATCATTTGATTATTTGGTGACACAAATTCTCTTTACACTTAAAAGTCATACATTTTATAGTTTATAATAAAGGATAAATAAGACAGTGAATATGTGACAATTGTTGTTTATTTTTAACCAAAAAAAAAGGGTAGTTGCCATTTTTTTTTTCTCATTTGAGTAAGTTTTAAATTCTTTTTACTTAAAGGTTATGTACTTTATTTTCTAAGTGAAACTACTATCATTGAATCAGTTAAAACAAAATGATAATCGTAACTTCGTATTTTCATTACACTATTTATAAGTAATTAGGTGTTGTGGGTGGGTCCTCCATGGGTTCTCTATTCTTCTCTTCCATATCCCTATTACTTGCTGTACATCTCTCAAATTGATAATCAAAAGCTTGGAAAGTTACAAAAGAAGTAAGCAATTAGGAGTTTTCCACCTTCAATTTTTACAATCGATCCCAAAATTCAAAGTGAAATATAATTTTTTTTTTATAAGTTCGCTTATTGGCAAATTTTATAATACAATGTTAAAATATATATAGACCTAATCGATAATAAATTAGTATTAAGCTACTAAAGATAGAGATATAGACAAAAATTGATATAAAGTCTTTTATAGTAGACATACGAATAATATACGAGTATGATATGTCGGCTATTAAATACGTGGTATAATTATTGGGCTTTTTCACAAGACAAGAAATATATACTTCGTGCATGGTATGTATTCAATAATTATGACAAGTACAATAAACAAAACATGGCTGGGAACTAAAGGTTTTGCCTACTGCATCCTAAGTTAGGACAAATTGTTTACTAAGTTCGTTAGGGACTTAAAATAAGCAATTAGATCTTCATCCAATTTCACATGTTTAATTTACTTCCTAATAATTTACAATAATGTGTTTTTAGTGGACATAATACAAAAAAATAAATGAAAAAAATAACAATAAAATCCTTGCATTTTTTCAATAGCAATATTGTAATATTCTGTTAGAGATATGAGATATCGGAAAATATCGGAAAATATATGTGTTATATTTCCGATATCTCATATCTCTAACATATTCGTGTAGATTTGCACCTTTTCTCTCTATCAACGAACTTATCTTGACCAAATAATTAAAAATATCACATTTATATGATTTGAAATAATTAAATACACAAACATTAAAACAAAAAATCTACTTAAATGAACCTCTTACAAAAAAAATACTCAACTCTGGCCCTTCAGAATAATCAGGATTAATCATATACAATGCCTCAGAATCCTTAGACCCTACAACTCTTTCAAATCTTGCTCTCAAATAAGTAAATTGATCACCATCATCTTTCTCAACCTTCTCATCACCACCACCATCGTTGCGATGATCACGACGACTTTGTTGATGATAATGATGGTCACTAGGTGAAGGAGGTAAAACTCCGGCACCCATTGACACACCGTGAAGCATTTGCATAACATGGACTTCATCGTCGGACATTTGAGTCCTTCTAATGGAGTACCCTACTTTCCTACCATTACAATAAATAGCCCATACAAATTCTTCCATAACTTTTTTTTTGTGTGTTTTAGTCTCACTTTCTAGGGCAACCCTTAAAATGTCACATGACATTTCTTTGTAAAAAGTTGAACTAAGGATAGGTAGCTCAATCATAAAGAAAGGTATGCTATGAGGGTTTTCTTGGATGGCTAGGGTTATACGACCTCGCCTCGTGCCAAAGAGGGTGATGATGGTTGCATGATCGGTTATCATGGGACGGCGAAGGTGGTGGGACTTCGCGAGTAGTGCCACCACCTTACACCCGGATGTAAGGAGTGGGAACAACTTGAACATCTTTAAAAGACCGCCTTTAGAGGAGGAGGGTTTGGAGGTTGATTTTTTGGAAGAAGTTTCATAATTAGGGTTTGTGTTACGTAGAAGTGAAATTAAGGAAGATGGATTTTGGAGTTTTTTGAATGGAATTGAATAAATGGATGGCATTTTTTTTTTGGATTTTTTGATGATGGAGGAAGGAACAATAGCAATAATAAGTATATAAATATTGGGAATTTATCTAATTGTTAATTATAATGAAGTTTAAGATTTGTGTATCATTTATGATTTATAAGTTTGTTTGTAGGAGAAGGGGGAGGTATGGTGCCAAGGATATATAATTGAAGGTGCATTTATATTAATTGAGATTTTTTTATTTTTTTGTAGTTGGATAATGAGAGGACCCTCCCCTTGAATTAGAGTTCATGTTAAAACTAGAAAGTTGGCCATACAATGTTTCTTCTTTTTTTTTTCTTTTTTTGTTGTTGAATTTTTTTAACGTAATAGAGACATAGGCCACATAGAGTATCTAATTCTAGATAGAAAGTGAATGAAAATTATTATAAAATTAAATATTTGAGCACCATATAAAACACCCTCTTATCAATCGATCATCATAACAAGTCTGGTGGGTAATTGTTGAAATTACCTTAATGAATAGTTTATTATATTATTTAGTGATATTCAATTCTTATAATTTATACTTATAAGGACGTTATGGGTCAAAATTTTATATCAATCGACATACATGTTCAATTAAAATGGAACACGTAAATAAAAACAGAGGGAATAACAACTAACCTTATGGAAATATGAGAAAGCACAATTAATAACACTCAAGAGTCAAGACTCAACTAACAGACCATGCATGTGCCCTCAGTGCGTATTTAGATCAGAGGTAGTGACCACTTTTAATTTTTATGGGACCTTCAATTCCTTCATATTTTACTTGTTATATACTTATATATTAATGTATGCCCCTATTACTATTGAAGACCATCCCTCGGCAAAGGACGTTAACTTCTTTGAACGTCTACATTCATTCATTTGCAATTTGGTAAGCTTTTTAGACTTGATATATTCCAGTTTCAAGTACTATTGTCCATCTTAAGTTGATGATTTTTTTTTAATGTGTTCTTTGTCTTATGTCCTAAACTCCTAATCAGTTTAACCAAATGTGCAGTGATATTACTAAACATATTAATTGATGTCAAGGATGCACGTGCCCTCTGAAATATAATTGTTTTTTAATTGCAAAATTTCAATGCTCAAGTTGTAAGGTTTTATGTACTTTAAGCGTAATTTCATGAATAATCTTATTCATGCGCATACAAATAATTTAACCTATTGATAATTATACAATAACCCAAGCTTTATACCCCTTTTTTTTATTAGACCAAATTGGTCACCTAACCTACAACAGAGTAGGTGGGTGAGGGGTGGGGGGAGGATTGAGAGTTGGCTGGAGAAGGAGGAGGAAAGGTAAAGGGGTGTGTGTAAAGATGGCATTGGGTTGGGCCGGCCCGAAGCCCGACATGACCCAACACGAAAAAAACATGGCACGACACGACACAGGCACGAAAAAAGCACGACACGACATGGCACTGTGCGTGTGGGTCGTGGGTCGGGCCTAGGCCGCCTTTATTTGGGAGAAGCACAATAAGGCACGGCACGACCTGGCCCGGCACGACAAAGCATGCTAAAATCAATGCAATTTTGCTTAGGCACGCAAGCCCAACAAAACCTGGTAGGATGGCACGTGGGCCTGGGCCGTGTACGGGCCAACCTTTTGAAAACTTCGGCCCGGCACGGCACAACACGAAACTCGTGGTCCGAGCCTTGGCCCGGGCCTAACTAAGCCCAAAGCACGTGGGCCTGGTGCGAGGCACAACTCGGCACTGCCCAGAGCCAATCTTTAGGTGTGTGTGTGTTTTCTTTTTCCTTTATTTATTTTTTGGTTATTTTCAGATAACCGGTCATTTTGGCCTTAAAAGAAAGGATGGAGAATAAAGCTTGGATTATTGTATAATGATCAAAGTATTGAATTATTAAAAATAAATGACGTAAATGTTGGATTAATAAAATTAATTTTTCCAAAAAGATTGAGGATTAATAAAGAACTCGGAGAGTATTTGATATGTAAACATCCATTTTAGATAACGGATGTTTAGCACAACAAAAGGTTGAATTCAAAATATTGTTGTTGCTAATATGGTCCCTCACTTAGCTTTGAAATCAATCCCCAAAATTATTGACACATTGATGAAATAAATAAAGCTTTTCTCAAAAACAAGTTGTATACCCCGTACTTTGCAAATTTAAAAATCTTATATACTCGTATATTGTACATATAAATTTTGTTACATTGTCTAAACCACAAATTTACAATATATTACTCCATACTATTTATTAAAACTTTAAAAGGAAATAAGTAACGTCGTCTACATTCATTTGCAATTTGGTGAGCTTTGTTCTCCCAGGATTGCTCGATCATATTATCCATAAGTTATATTTTAAGATCAAGATTTGTACTTTTGGCCGTTTTTGTTTAGATTCGTATCCCCAACTTCGAAAATTGTGCATCGTTTAGAGTTTTATGATAAAGAGATAATTTCAAGTATCGTCCATCTTAAGTTAATTTCAAAACAATTAACAAGACTCGAGCATATACCAACTAAAAGGTTTAAACACCACAGATTAACAAGACTCGAGCATATACCAACTAAAAGGTTTAAACACCACAGATTATTGTATAATCATTAATTCATTAGATAACATAGAGAGGGATTGGATGGTAAATGATAAAGTGTATGAACTTCAAAATTAACAAACTCCAAGGCAGAGAATTTGCATGGTTATATTATAGAGGTATAAAATTTCATATATCGATCTTTAGAATTACCCTACATCTGTTGATTGCAGAGTGCCATGACTCTGGGTTTCTCACTTCATTTGGCGAGGGTGGTGAGAGTTGGATGTTCTTTGTTTTTACTAATTTTATTTATTTTTTATATCAACGTATGTGTTAGTTCTGCCATTTGCATACAGAGTTGCTCATCAGTTCAAACGTATCGTGTATGAGCTAAGTGAAAATCTGGAACAAAGAAATATCAAGTGTGTTTGCAACTAATACTATATAGCAGGTAGAAGTAGATTGACAACAGTTACGTCAACATCTTCATAGTCTATACAAATAGTATGGTGATAAAAGAAGGCCAGAAAACCTAGCAAAAATAGTAGTTGCTCAATATCAGTAATCAGGAACAAGGCTAAGCAATTAAGTTGCAATAAGAAAGGTTCAAGAATATACCTTTTTCACAGCTTTTTTAATGCTTTGGAACACTCCTCGAAGTCCTCAAATTGGATGGAGACATTGTTGTCATCAACATCAACATTCCTACAATTATAAATTAACAAGTGTAAAACACCAGAGCGAGATATTCATAAATCTCGAGAAATCATATGGATCTCCTATCTTTTACTCCGTCAGCTGTTGTGTTTATATTCAGTGCACAAGCATTCTCCCTTACAAAGCTATCTTGCATAACCACCCTCAATCCACACAACTATATGACTTCCTAGATTTCATAAGATTCATCTCAAATAAAGCAACGATGACATTAAGAAAGATTCTAACCAACCATTAACATCAATTTGCTTTCACCTCCTTTATCACAAACAAGTAATATTGTTGTACTAAGAAAAAACCCGCTACAAAAACCAGTAATTATAAAAACATATGCAAATAAAAGCGATCATTACTTCGAGCTTTGTGTTAATCAGAGGCCCCTTCAAGAAGTAAATAAAGTTTCAAATATCTAAACAACAAGTAACTTAATTACACGCAACCTCCAAGGACATTTGCATTTTCCCTTTCTTATGCACTCAACAGCATATTTTTTATGCCTGCACTTCATTCACTCGAAATGTTTGATGTTTGGTAATAGAGTTAGTTTGATGGCATCTTTTAACTGAATAAAGCACTTTTGGGTTGTCTACCTCCGGAACATTCTTATAATCGTGCGTTGGTGCACTTTCCTTAATAAGAATATCATTAGCTTCTCTTCATAATCATCTTAACCCTCATCACTATCTACCATAACATCATCACCTAGCAAATCTACCTCGGGGTTTAATGAGTTATGATCACCAAAGGAATTCGGAGGAGTCACATCCGATAAATAATTAACGAAATGGCACATGGACTTTGGAGGACTTGCCTCTAGGTAAGAAGGCTATTGGTAGTGGTTAGGTGTATAAAATTAAATATGGTGAAGTAGAACGCTTTAAAGGTCGTCTAGTTGTGTATGGCAATCGACAGGTTGTAGGTGATTATAATGAGACTTTTGCCCCTGTGGCAAAAATGGGGATTGTTAGACTTTTTCTTTCTGTTACTGCTTCTTTAAACTGGGAGTTACATTAAATGGATGTTCATAATGCTTTTCTTCATGGTGATTTGAAGGAGGAAGTATATATGCAGCTTCCTCCGGGTTATAATTGTCCTACTATAGGGAAAGTTTGCAGGTTGAGAAAATCTTTGTATGGTTTAAAACAGGCTCCTCGACAGTGGTTTGCAAAGTTGTCTAATGCTTTGAAATAATATGGTTTCAAGCAATCGTATGCAGATTATTCATTATTCAGTTATATTCAGGGATCAGTCTCTCTGCATGTACTTGTGTATGTTGATGATCTTATCATTGCCGGTTCTTCTCATGATGCGATTATTCGTTTTAAATAGTTAAGTACATGTTTTCATACGAAAGATCTTAGTGTGTTGAAGTATTTTTTGGGCATTGAAGTTGCTCGTGGTCCGGAAGGTATACTTTTATCTTAGCGTAAATATGCTTTAGATGTATTATCTGAGGCAGGTATGTTAGGTTGTAAGCCTATTGATACACCTATGGAGAAGAACCATCGTCTAGCATATGCCGAGGGGGAGCCATTCTCTCAACCGGATCAGTATTGTCTCTTAGTTGGGCAACTTGTTTATTTATCTGTCACTCGTCTAGAGTTGAGTTATTCTGTTCATACTCTTGCGCAGTTTCTGAATAACCCGTAGGTACAACATTGGGATGCAGCTATCAGGGTACTATGCTACATCAAAGGTAGTCCTGGTCAAGGTATTTTGTTACGTACTATGAAGGACTTATGCTTGATGGCTTTCTGTGATAGCGATTGGGCGGCGTGTCCGCTCACTCGTCGGTCTTTGTCTGGGTATATGGTGTTTCTTGGTTGTTCCCTAGTTTCATGGAAGACTAAGAAACAATCGACAGTATCTCATTCTTCTCTGAAGCTGAGTATCATGCTATGGCGGTTACAACTTGTGAATTAAAATGGTTGAAATTATATTGTGATAGTCAATCCGCTCTCCATATTGCTAAAAATCCTGTTTTTCATGATCGTACTAAGCATATAGAGTTGGATTGTCATTTTGTTCGTGAT